TACTGGAGTCTTTGGGAATCCAGTGCTGCAGCACCTGCTGGTGACATGAAGTTCTTTCAGCACAAAACCAGACTCACGTTCCCATTCTCCATCACCACACATTCTCTGCCAAACAATCCCAGATCCTTGCAGGGAATGCAGTTCTCCCAGGTGCTGCACCATTTGCTGAATGCAGAAAGGGAAGGATACATCTGAGCCTCACACTCTGGCTTGCAGACATTCCAGTCTGCCGGCGAGGCACAAAACACAGGCATGTGGTGCACAGGGGGCACTAATGCAGCTCCAACACCCTAATGGACATTTCTGAGAACTGTTTTGTCTTAAATACTTCTTTCCTCTAAAATATCTTACCTCCTCCATGTCTATCCAGACCCCTTCACTGGTCTCCCACCATCCTGCAGGGGGGTATAGTAAGAGTATGTAAGTATATAGTATATATAAGTCTATAGTAAGAGTATTTATATAGTGTCTAAGTATATATAGGTATATGAGTATATAGGTATATAGTAAGAGTACATGCAAAACAAAGTTCTCTTACGTATTTCTACCTAGCATAATCAAAGAATGGAATGGAACGAATGTAAGCAACACACATGGAGGAAAAGCCCTACTTTCACCCATCAGCAGGGCACCCCTGCCTACGGAGCAGCAGAACCAGGAAAAGGTTCAGAGCCAAACCACGGAGGCTCTTAGCCAGGTTCAGCATTCCCTTAGGGCAATGGATCCTTTTCTGCTGAAAGTTGAAGTGGCCATTATGGACAGTCCATGTAACCTAGTGCTCAGCAATAAAAAAGACGAGGGGTGTATTTTAGGGGCCTTAACTGTCCTTTGCTCAGGAACTGTTATATTAATCTAACAATGGGACTAGATAGTGGTGAGTGATTGCCTCGGCATCACTTTTTTTGCTTGCCTTCTCTCTACTATTTATTGAACAATATCCTCTTCACTTATTGAACTATAACACTGAGTTATTTATTATCTTAAAGCCAAAGTTTTCTTGCTTTTACTCTCTTTTTCCTCTTCCCTCATCTCACTGTGGGGGAGAACAAGCAAGCAAGTGGCTCTGTGATGCTTAGCTACCAACCAGAGTTAACCCACAACAGGAGGGCACACATAAAAAAGGCATACATCTGTCTGTTTTCAGCAGGGAAGAAGAGCTACACCGAGGGAGGTTTCTGCATCGCTTCCAATTTTGGCAGTAACAGTGAAAGTCTAAAATACTTAGCATCATTTGGATAAGGTCTTTTTTAGCTAATAGTGTGGAAGAGCAGCAAGGGAAATGGTGCTTTTGGTTACCTGACACGATGTCCCATTGGCATCCTCCTGTTCTGCAGGAACAACGACACGCTGGCTTCCATGACTACACCCAAAGAGATGCTCTCCAACATGATGCAGGTGCTGCGATACCTGGACACCCGTCTTCCAAACGGCAGCCACGTGATTTTAACAGGCTTGGTGGATGGGCGCTTCCTGTGGGATAACCTGCACAACAGATACCATCCCCTAGGTAAATAGGAGCTGCTGTGAGGTGCCTCCTGTTCTCATTTGTATCTGGGTAAAGGATCCTTTTTTCCATCTAAGCAAGTGGAAAAGTTGTTGTGATCTCAGTTCTCATCTGCAGAGAGACAGAAGCTAAACCATGTCATTGAAACGGTACATTACATCTTCACGTGATTTTGGCAACCCCTGCTACTAGAGCTTTCAACAGACTCTGTGGCTCCCCAATCACTGCCGCTGTCTCCACAGCTTCTGTGTTACCTCCTGTGGGTTATTTCCCCCCTCAGAAGTACCTGCCTCTTTTCAGGGAGTCGGAGCTCTCCATTTCTGTTTCTGACACCTTGTTGTATTTGTCTCTATTAAGCACTGCACTGCTCCCCAGGAAAACAGAACAGGAACATCTCAAGCCTTTCAGGGAGCCTGTGATCATTATTTTTAGCCACAGAAACACATTTCTTTTCCTTGAGTGCATGAGTATCACAGGGACAGTTCTGCTGGTTATCCAGGTATCAGAGCCAACATGAAGCACTTTTGGGCACAAGACAAATGAGGAGTGATTAACTATGGGGCTGGTTGGAAATACTTTAGAAGGGCTGATTTGCCTTGGAGGGACCCAATTAATCCTAAGCAACATGAGATCACTTCTGGCAGATCCTCTGATGGGTGGTAAGCAGGTTTCCTCACTTGGATGCAGTCAGAAGGTTTGGCCTGCTGAATCCCTGATCTCCCTGACAGCCCATCCCAGCAGGCAATGCCTTTGGGCCATATGGGTCTGGGACATCCCCAGTATCTGGGAGTGATACTAGGTCCTTGAGCTCCCCCTCTTTTGCTCCCCAGGCAGCTGGTACCACTGCTGGGTGATGGGCATCAATGAAACCATAGGCAGGAATCACCTCTCCATCAGGGCACCAGTGCAAAGTGACCTGAGGAGCCGGTTTCACTCAGCAGAGATCACGCTTTGCATATTTCAGCACTGCAAAACCAGTGAAGCCTGTTGGGATGATCGCTGTGCTACGCACTCAGAGACCTGAACGGCCATTCCATTTCCATATGGGTTGTAGCTAAGAAGCATAAAAGGTGGAGAAAATGGGTGATTTTCTTGGCAAGCCAGGCTGTTGCATAGCACAGCATCAGCTGTGTGTTTGACTTGGTGGTTGAATTTGCTCACCCACACAAGCATATCCACTTCCCTCCGTGACAGCAAAATTGTTCCTCCCTGAGGCAAATGCGAGACTCAGAGTACGTACAGCAGCTCCAATCTTCCCTTCAGCTTCACAAGCCCTGCACTTCTTCAGAGGGTGAGAGACACGTGAATGGGTGAAATATCAGTCACGCACTTCGGGCACTGGCACAGGCTGCGGTGACTAACCCCGTGTGCGAGATGGATCACCCATGACAGGCTGGAGAGGGATGTGGGAGCATCCCGGAGGCTGTGGGCACATGGGTACCTTCAGCAGGAAGGATGCATCGGTGGGATGCACTTGGTGCATGAGAACAGACAGACCTGCGTTTGGCCATCAGGCACATGATGTTTCCCTCTCTGTGCTTTGCAGGGCAGCTGAACAGGGATATCACATACAGCCAACTGTATTCTTTCCTCGACTGCCTCCAGGTAAGGTCTTTGGCTGTCGCTTATGAGCCCCCTTTCCCCTCGCCCCACTGCTCAAGCCCTGCTCCTTGTGCCTGGCCAGGTGAGCCCGTGCAGGGGCTGGATGACTCCCAATGAGACCCTCAGGAACTTGACCTCAGAGGTAAGTCTCAAGGAAGGCCTCTTGCACAGACGCTCCTGTGCCTGAGGATATAAGCCTAATATCTCAAAGGCAACATGTCAGCACACTTTTTTCTCCCAGAGGTGAGGAGAGGATGGGGAAACATCGATACCCATCCTTTCAAATGCCTCTGAGGCTCTGGGTGCCAGCATGGTTAATGGATTCATGAATGTATTCCCCTTGCAACCTCTCAGCTGCCCAAATTCATTCTTAAAGGATGTGATCTCCCAGGGAAAAAATTGAGTTTATATTCTGTAAGGAGAAAACATACCTGATAAGAAAGACAAGGGTTGTGGGTCGTATAGCAGTGAATATGAAAAGCCAACTGCATAATTTTGCTGGCAGAGTGAGCAGGCCCCTAGAGCAAGAGCCTTAGCCTGTCTTCATTCAGGATTTGTGCTAATCTGCCTCAGACACATCTCTGTGGACTTCACCAGCAGACGGTGTGACCGAGGAGCAGCCGGGCTCAGCGCAGCAATGGGAACAGATAGAACAGAGATGTCCTAAAATTCACCCTACAAATCTGGTTTCGGAAGTGAATGTCACAGCATAGCAGACGCTTCCTCCCTTACAATGCAAGCTGGGTTTTAGCCCCAGCACCCCCTGCAACCCTGTGAAAGGCCCAGTAACCAAATACGTCATCTCCATGTATAGTTGTATTCATGTTTGCATTCACTAAACCAAAAATATGGCCTTAATTTCACCAGGGCTTACATATGTGCTTCATTTTATGGCCTCTCTTGACTTCAGAGAGGCAATTAAGCACATCTCTAAATCTTTGCAGGATTGCAGCTTATAAATTCATACCAACAATCCAGAACATGTCACCTCTGTCCATGACCAATGCGTATGTCTGCAGGGTATGCATTAATCTTCCTTCTGAGCCCCTGTCTGAAACTAATTGTCTATGTTATTATCCAAACGGCACAGCTTAAATATTTAGGAGGTCCTGATCTCTGTTACAGCTGTAGGAATCACACTGGATATATCACTCAGTTAGATGTCCATTTACTCTGCTGACAGTAAGGGCACGACATGGTATTAGCACCCACAACACAGTAGCAGAAAGGATAATGGGAAAGGAGAGCATTTTTGCTGTAGAAGCTTCAGTTTTCTCTAAGAGCCATGAAAATGACCGGGCTGCCGCTCGTCAAGAGACCCCCAACACAGAGAAATTCAGAATATTGATAGAGGCTTAGACACATATGCTGTATTATGACCTCAGCTGAGGCCTCGGTGCAACCTGCAGTGATGGCCTGCATGGTGAACCGCGTAGCCCAACGGCTGTTGGTGCTTATGCAAGTCTATATGATGATGAAGAACTCCATTCCACCTCCTTCCCTCCAGCTAAAAGGACAACGTTAGCTTTCACATTCCTGACTGCACATCAGTGACAAAAGCTGAAGCCATGCAAAGCAGCGTGAGTAGCAATGAATCATCATTAAATCACTTGGTTTTTGCAGAGAGCTTTACAGCTTTCCAATGTCCTGAAAGAAATAGCGAGATCTGAGAAATTCGCCAACTTTGATATTTTCTACATGGATTTCCCACTGAGACAAAGTAAGTTGCTTTTTTTTTCCTGACTTCCTCACAAAGCATTTACTCAAGTGCTGGGCTGGTGGGATGCTCTCCTGGTTTAGCTCTGTACGGGGACCATAGGGACCATAACCTCCACACCGCTCCTCGCTGCTGGCACCCACAACCCTGCTGTGCAGCACGCTGGGTGGCAGGGAGTGGTGGTGGTGAGGCTGGAGATGGCACATCTGCAACGGTGAAGGTGGTCTTCAGGGGCTGTAGTTTACCGTAGCACTGACCATATTGCCTCCTCTGGGATGAGCAGTTGCCTCAGGCCTTCCTGAAGCACCTGTATGCTACTGTGACTTACGACTTAGAGAGCTTACAGAACTCATCCTTTTGTGCTCTTAAGTGACATTAGGTAAGCTCATTACCTAAATCACTTCCTTCTGCACTGACACTTAAAGAAAACCCACAAAAGAACCAGAAACCTTTTCTTGTTATGAAATGGACAGTGTCCTTGTGGGGCTGGGGACAGACGCTTGTCCCTGCATCCCTCTCAGCTCCATTTCCCTTGCAAGATGTGCGTGGGTCCATCTTGAGGCATCACTCAACATCAGCCCAGCTCCATCGCAAGGAGAAACACACTCGCTCTTCCTATTTGAGAACTGAATCAGCATGAGGTGAGGGATTGAGTTCATATTCACATAGAGAGGTAGTTCTGTGTCAGGTTCAACACTGCAGCACAGTGTTTCAGGATGTCCTAGGCTCTTTGCAGCTTTCGACCTAGCTACTTAATATTTACGAAGTCATTAGGGTTTGGATCGAGCTACCTGCTGGGTAGGCAAATTGCTTTAATAAGTTAAATGACTAACTTTAGGTAATTTATTTGCTTTCACATAAAGAAACATCTAATATAATTTGCTGTTCTGATTACATCGCATTAAATGAAGGAGGTAAACAACATTTCACATGCACATACAAACATCAGCGCTGGAAGGCACTTTGCAAAGTTGCCCGAAGCCCCGGAGCCAACGATTGGAGGGAGCTTGCCATAAGGAAAGCTGTCGCTTCGTGAGTGCTCCAAAGGCAGCTGAGCCTGCTGACCTACTTTTCTGGCCTCTTTCTGAAGCAAGTGCAAATCCTCCCCTAAGCTCTCCAGACATCAAATATTTAGCAGTGGTTGCACACTGTGATGAGCACATTGATTTCAGGCTGCCCCAGGCATATATATATATATATATATATATATATATATATATATATATATACACACATATATCAGCTCCCAGCTTTCTAGGAGTAAAATTTGGGTATACTAGTATTGATCCAAGGTTTAGATGGACAGTCAAGCTCAGGTGTTGGGTGCTGAGGCGCTGGCACAGGGTGCCCAGAGAAGCTGTGGCTGCCCCATCCCTGGCAGTGTTCAAGGCCAGGTTGGACACAGGGGCTTGGAGCAAGCTGCTCTAGTGGAAGGTGTCCCTTCCCGTGGCAGGGGTTGAAGCTGGAGGAGCTTTAAGGTCCTATCCAACCCAACCATTCCATGATTCTCTGTTGACTTTGGATGAAGAACTTAGTGGGTCCTTTAACAAGTAGCGCAATAAATAGGGTATGGGGTGGTTGTTTCAGCTTTTTCCCAGTGTGGATGGGAGCAAACTCTAGTGTAGCCAAGGCAATAGGCACTTTTAAGACAAACTCATGGCATTGTTTGTGGGTATTTGTTCAACTGCTCTAGGATGTTTGCAGGTCAATTATAATGGTCTACATTGACCTACCTTGATATAAGCCTTACTTCTCTTACTCACTCCTCTGCTGTTTCTGATGCTGGAATAGTCATCCCTCTGCAAAGCAAAACACAGCACATAGCCTTGGACTTGTATCATATATGAGCAATTAGGCAAGCTCATTCTGTGCATCTGTATGTGTGCTCCGTGGTGTAATCTAAGGTGAACCTTCTGTGTCCAACGTACAATTTGAAACAAAGCTCCAAGTCCTGTGTCTTGAAACAGGTTACTTTGGCTGTAAAGCATCTCAAGTAGGTTTCTATAGGCAAAGTGGGAATATCAGCCTTCTGTGAATTCAGAGTTAGTATGGGGACCCAAACATCACTTTTTGACAGGGCCCATCAAACAGCAGTGAGTCTATGTCAAAACCATGGTGCTTGAACAGAGAACGTTTTCCTCCTGACAGGATGCCCCCATAATGCTGTTAAGAATTCTTAACCTGTCATTATAAAAGAAATCATTGAGTTTACAGTCTGTTAATGCCATATCCACTAGTCCTATGCTTAATCACTCCACAGCCCTTTTGAAGAGAGAAAGACTTTTACTTCTCTAATGGCTCTGGGGCTTACAGCGCAGCATCATTTGCATTGACTGTCATGCTTCTGTAATTCAAAAGGTTATTTTGTTGGAGCTGAAAAAGGCTGCTCAGAAGTAACTGAAAATGACAGCCTATTCCTGCAGACATCAGCCCATGTGAATACTGTGCTGCCATCTCTGTCTCTGAAAAGCACTGTTTTCTTTATCTCCCTAGGTTTTTTGCACTGCTGAAGATGCAACTGAAATGAGAAATGCAAAAGTATTAAATCAGTGTTAAATAATTTACAGCTTTACTCGCTACAGCATCCATCTTGCTAGGGAGGGAAAGTGAATTGGTTTACGATCGTTTATGTTCAAAGCACTTCCTTGCATAAATACGGCAGAGGAAAAAAAACCCAGACAATAAGGGCTTAAATACTGCCCCGCGCAGAGGGGATTGCACAAGGTATGGCTCTGACAGCTGTGTGCGAGTTACCATCATCTGCATGCAGAGCTCTCTGTGCTTTGAGGGAAGGGGTACATCTCTGGGCAGGCGCCTGTGTGCTCACCGGTGGTAACCCCTCTGCTTACACTGTCTGCAGCGGCCGAGAAGTGGCACAGGATGGGAGGTGAGCCCTGGCAGCTGATCGAACCAGTTGATGGCTTCCACCCCAGCCAGGTAAAAACCCACCCCTGGAGACGGGTGGGAGCAGGGGGGAATGGGCAGCACACTGCAGGGACCGGGTCTGGGGCATTCTCCTCCTGTTCTCTGCTCTGGGGAGACCCCCCTGCAGCCCTGATCCAGCTCTGGGGCAGCAGCACAGGAGGGACGTGGAGCTGCTGGAGCGAGGGCAGAGGAGGCCATAGGGATGCTGTGAGGGCTGGAGCAGCTCTGCTCTGGAGCCAGGCTGAGAGAGCTGGGCTGGGTCAGCCTGGAGAAGAGAAGGCTCCTGAAGGGGAGACCCGAGAGCAGCTCCAGTGCCTGAAGGGGCTGCAGGAAAGCTGGAGGGGGGCTTGGGACAAGGGCCTGTAGGGACAGGCCAAGGGGAATGGCTTTAACCTGCCAGAGGGGAGACTGAGATGAGCTCTTAGGCAGAAGCTCTTCCCTGTGAGGGTGCTGAGGCGCTGGCACAGGGTGCCCAGAGAAGCTGTGGCTGCCCCATCCCTGGCAGTGCTCAAGGCCAGGTTGGACACAGGGGCTTGGAGCAAGCTGCTCTAGTGGAAGGGGTCCCTGCCCATGGCAGGGGTTGGAGCTGGAGGAGCTTTGAGGTCCCTTCAACCCAAACCAGGCTGGGATTCTACAATATTCAAACTATTATTTTCTGAACTCTGTAAGAGGCACACAGAGAGCACGTTCTGCCATCAGCTACAAACAAAACCATTCAGTTTTCTATACACTAGCTTCAGATCTGGAACACTCACACAGAGCAAAGCAGCAGCCAGTCTTCCCCATACTGCTCTGAATAAAACTTTACCCAAGCTGAGGCCCTGTGTAGCAGCAGTGGCTCTCACCACAGCAGCAGCTGCTCTCCATCCCATTTACTTAGCAATGGCTCCAGAAGTATCTTGCTACCTGCTGCTATGGGGGAAATGCGCCCTCCAAGCAGCCAGCTCCACTCCCAACATCGCTGCCCAAGGACACAGGTCCGGGTGGCAGCTGGGAGGAGGAGTGACAATCCTCAGTGGTGTTTTTGTGGTGCATGGTACCAGCTCTGTGCCGTGGCAAGGGGAGTTTGGAGAAAGGTCTTCCACCCCATTACAACCAAGCCATGCAAGTGAACCCCACCACGCTGCCTAGCCCCTGGCAGTGCTGCTTGCCTTGAGCTTCCCCTGCCCAAAAGCAGGGGGTGAATTCATGGACTGGTGTTACCATGTGAGCCAATACCCCATACCTGTTGACTCCCATGCCCCCATCACCAAATAACCTGATGGGGTGCTGTCTTGCACCCTGGGAAGGAGCAGCCCGTGGAGAAGCACTTTAATGGGCATGCACTGCAAACACTGATAGATTGCAACATTTCAGCAGCTTCCCCTTCGGCTCTGCTGTCAGTTAAGCCAGGGAAGACCTGCAGGGAAAGCTCAAAGGCAGAAGATGTGCTTCAGTTGCTATCTTTTAGACCCGTGCTGGTTGGCGGGAGCAGCACGGTGGCTTGCTTAGCCTTGCCAAGTCCAAAGAGCCTCCTGTTTGAAGAGGGGCTGCTTCATAGCAGAAATTCCTACCTGGCTACCATACAGTACCAGGAGATAGATGCATGGAAGTGTGAGCTCGCAGCCTGGGGAGGTGGAGAAAGCTTGTCTGGATTTCTCTGCTGCAGGCCTTTTGCAAGGAAGCAATTAGAGAAAACTTGGCAAATGAAACGAGAGCGAGAACAGAGATGAAATGAGCCCCATTCCCAACCCTGCCATCTGTGCGATACCAGGAGTCAGGAGCGAAGAAGAAAAGGTCTCTGTTTTGCATTTATCTCTTACCTTGAGGCTGGCCTGAGGCTTCTTATGACCCCCATCAACAGGCTGCTGTGGAAGCCAGGCTCAATGGATCACAGCCTTTTACCCCCGCAGCTGGAAGGAGGCACGTAGAGCTGAAGGCAGCGAGTATTTATGTGAAAGGGATCCTGCCTAAGCCAAAAGCAAATGACAGAAGGTCACTGGAGGACCCTGCACACCTACACACAGCCCCCCGAGTGCCGCGCTGCAGGATGAGGCCAAGCGCTGCCGTATTTCTCTCGCCCTGACCTGCCATCCTGCAGCGGTTCTCATCTCCCCCTCCTGCTGTTAGGATGACATTAATGCTTTTATAGGTACCTTTTGCTTTACAGCCAAGGTGCCAGCTGTAGATATGCCTCAGCCCAAGTGAGCTACTGCCCTCCTGGGGTTTATTAATTAGCCTTATCCAAACATCCACTGCTTTAAATCCATTTTTCTTTCCCTGCTAGTATACCCGAGCCTGTTATCAACACACCACTATTTGGACAGAGACACAGCACTCTGCTCTGAAAGAGTGGCTCTCTTAATAAAGGGGGGGGGGGAGTGAGAGCAGAGAGGGATATTTAAGAGCACACTTGAGAGAGGTGATAGACAACTCGCTCCTCAGACTAGTTTCAAAGTTCTGCTTTGTGCCAAAGTGAATGCCTCTGGCCAGGTAGAGCTTTCATACCATACATACGCCTTGTGGGAGAGGACCGATGCTGTGCAGCTTGTCAAGTGAAGGAGGGCACTTACTTCAATCTCTGCAGCTATTCTCGTGCCTCAGGTACAGCTTGACAAATAAATACAACAGATAAGACCCAGCCTGGGTATTTCTACTGAATTTCCTCCCTGCAGATCCCAAAGCACTTGACAAATATTCTCCAGCTGTTGAATCGAGCAGCAGCTCTCCTAGGAAAGCATTAACATTTTAGCTCTTGACAGATGTGGGGAGACCTTGGAGTCTGGGACACAAGAACCACAGTGCCAAGGGTGAGCTGGAAGTGTACCGTGATCCCCAGGCAGGATAAGCCAGTGGCTGATGTGTCCCCTGGATGTCACCTGCCATTTACTTGCTGTCCCTGTAATTAAACCACACTAATCTGCTGGTATAACCATGGCAGAAGCATATGTCAGCAGGTATATCCAGTAGTCAGTTCCACCATGCAGAAGGGATAGAGGAAGGAACTGAACCTTCCTACCTGAGGCTCCTCATTGCAAGGAGAAAGGAGAGAAAATAAGAAAGAAAGACAAGGACAGATAAAGAAAGAAGAAAGGAGCAATGCTCATTTGTTTAGCCCGGCCCAGAGGCACGTTCCCTCACTGCAAATGTAGTGGAGAGGAAGGGGGTTTTCCTGCATGTTTTTTATTAAGTTGCAAACAAACCACTTATTCCTGGCATAACTGCATTCCTCTTCAGTGTCAAAGCTAGAACAGGGCTCCATGAGGTGCTCCTCCACAGCACCCAGCTCAGGCACAGGAAATTCGCACATTTTGGCACCTAAAAGCCAAGTGCATCACTCCGTCCTCCTCAGTCCCCTCTAGAGCTCCCTTTGAGACACATCACTCCCTAAAGTCCAGCTCGGTTGTCCTTGGAAGAGCTGTGACTTTCTCTTCCCATTGACTACAGAAGGAGTCCAGGGATTTGTTTTTTCCAGCCTCTCTTCCTTACTACAACATTTCACTGCAAATCCTTGTGAATGCCAGATGGCCTCAAGGACATCGCTTCTCTCTGGACCAGGTTTGGATGACAGGGCCATGCGTTTCAACAGCATCCTGCATAAACAGCTTCATTTCTTGCTTCTGTGAAGTTAACAGGGAGAACACAAAAACCCTGAGCATCACAAACTGGAACCTGAGACGCCTGTAAGATCCTTAATGATTATGTGCAGGCAGGAAAGCACAGCTTGGGCATGATTAGCTTCTCCCTTTGCTTTGCTGAGAAGCATGCCTATCACCAGTTGGGTGCAGCAGGAGAAAACAGATAGCCAGAAGCTGCTGAAATAACTCAGCCACCTCCAGTGGCAGTCATCCAGAGTTCAGAGAGGAATGGGTAATATTGGCTTTTAAAAGAAGCACTTCATCTTCACCAAAACTTAATTGCAAACCCCACATGAGTTATAGCAGCTCTCAGAGCACAGCAGCATTGGAGTTTAAAGACAAGCTGTAAGGTAAGTGATTTCCAGAATCATGAATTCTTCTCTGTGCCACATTACTCATCCACAGTGAATAACCAAAATCACCGGGACCACATGAAATGATGTCCAAGCAGGACCTACAGAATTTAGGGCAGTCTAAGCCTTCAAGTGCAGTCACCAGGACTGTGAACACTGTAGAGCACACCTCCAGTGATGCCTTTGCAGAGGCTGCACTGTGCACAGACAGCAGGGTTTATAAACAGGCAAAACATCCAACCCAGCCTGCTACAAAACATATGGAGGGTTAGGGACTTGTGAAAGATGTTTGGAGACTACCATGCCAGAATGGACCCCTCTGGCAGGGATGGGTCTCAGCCCTCTGGCAGCCATAGGGTGTCCTAGAATAACCACGACCAGGAGAAAACACCCTATTGCACAACCTCCTCTATCCCTCTTCTCTGCCAGTTCCTCCAGGAGCTTACCGAGATCCCAAGTGACCAGAGCCTAAGAGCTTCCACCGCACAGGTGTACATGGGCTCTGAACAGAACAGTCATTGTCTCCCAGCCCATCGGTACAGTTTCTTTCAAAGCACAGGACTTATAAAGAAGCATTTAAAATTCCCCAGAGGCTTCAGCCTGCTCCCAAACTCCAAACAACAGCGTTGATTCCATAAACCACCTCCACCCTCAACACAAAGGCAGGCTTTGATAGCCCTTTTAAGCCTCACAATTACAATCAATGCCAGAGTGAGTTTTAGGGTTGAAAATAAAGTTGCCATATAAGCAAAATGTAACTGTGGGTCAGAAGCTAAAACAAAAATGCATTAGCAGGGTGTGAAAACTTGGTTCAAGGAGAAGCAGGCTGTTGTCTCTTCCCCTTTCTGCTACATCCCCTGATGGTTTTCACCCTGCCAATACAACACATACAATTTCTCTTTGGTGCATAACTTCCAGGGCAAAACAGAGCTCTAAAAGACAGCCTGCAGGAGGCACAAACTTAGAGCATCAGAGCTGGGTAGTTTTAATCTAGATATAATTGGGCCTCTTTCTCCTCAGCACCTATGGTTTCTTTACAGGACAATATTTGCTAGAAGTATCAGAGGCATTTAGAAGCATGAATTCCTTTGTGCTTGCAAGAGTTTTACACCTTATATTCAAGTGATGCTTTAAAATACTGTCAAAAGGCCTGGGAGTAGAAAACCCAATAAAATCAGACTCTAGGGCTTTGAATATACATTTATGGACCAGACATCATAGGCAGCAGGAAGCAGTTGGGGACTATCGACCGAACAACTGGTCAGGGAGGTGTAAATATTTAGTCCTCACCTAATTTTGACTGTCCAGAAGGATTTCCTGGTCAAGCAGCTGGAATGAGGCATCTTCTTTGATTAGAGGTTATGGTCCATCGCATTGCTGTACACGGGAGTCGTCTTTAGGGCGGGGTCTCCTAAATGCCTCCAGGAAAGAACTGCACAAGAAGTTGACAGTTTGTGTGCTGTTTGCAGATTGCTGCAGCCCTCGGCACAAGCATCACCTGGCAGAAGGCACTGCAGGAATGGCCTCAGGTGCTTGGAAAGGAGAATCCATTCAATGACCAGATAGAAGCTATATTCAAAGATCAAGGTGGACACTGACTTCAAACGGCCGGAGCTCTGACGTGGTTTATGGTGATGCTTCCCAGTGCATGCCACGGAACCAGATGATTAAAGACACACACACTCAAAAAGGGAGAGGGCAAGTTGTCAGAGCCAGTAGCAGTGGACATAACACAGCAGCGCTCTTTTCAGTCTGTATCTCACACCTGCACAAGTAGGCTATGCTATGCAAAAATAAAAGTCAAAGGATACCTGCCAGCTAGACCACTTGTACTTGCAAATCCATATGGGATTTTAATGCCATAGATAGCAAACTTCTACCCCTGCCTCCTTTCCAACCCCCTGCAGAACTCCTAGGCTTTCCATTTGTGCTGTTCCAACAGTTAATCTGATCCCAGAAGGAAGCGGTGGGTAGGAAAACCCCAAACTCATTATGCTGCTCTAAATTGTATGGAATTGCCCTGAGTGTCACTACATTATTTAGCTGCTATTTCCTTATTAAAATGTGCCAGGAATAACAAGGTGCTGGAATTTGGGTTTGCCTGGCAGCATTAGTACCAGCTGAGCACAAGTTCTCTTCCCCACACCCCCCCCCCCCCCCAGCATTAAAAAGACAGCAACTTGACAACCCTTTGTGTCTTTAAAACAGGTTGCCTTTTCAACCTTTAATAACTCTTTGCTCTTTTTCTTCCTATCAAGTCTGATGTACCTAGTCCTGTAGCTTTTGCAGGTAGGACCCAGGGAATCGCTGAAGACACTGGCCAGCCCTTACCTGCTTGGCTTCATGCAGACTGGAAGGTTGGGAGCCACAAGCAGGTTTTTCACAGATTTATCCAATAACAAAATCAGCAAACACGATGAAATTAGAGGCAGCTGTCCCCTGCTCACAACCTTAGCAGTGATGAAGGGATCAGACAACACAAAACGGCAGCACAGTCAACACTGCAGCTTTGAAGGTAGAAATTCCTTTGGGACAACTGCTAACATTTAAGTAAATATTCATGTCGCCTGCTTTAGGAAACCAGTAGGGATTACATTCCTTAACTGAATGATACTTCCTAATAAGGCCCAAAATTCATTGAAGGCGTTTAAATGTTAGCAAAACACCCCCTCTCCCAAGAAGCCGTTCCAGCTCCACAGAGGCATGCCTGAGGAAGGCCAGTTAGCATTAGAAGGAAAAGGAAACCTACCTGCTTTCCATGCAAAGTCTCTCCACCATTTGCTGCACACTGGCCAGGTAGAACGCCCCTAAGTATCTTTTATTACCTGTTCAGGCTTCCTATCTTCCATTAAAAACAAGTGGGTAGAAGGAACAAGTGCATCCACATGGTTTTACTATAGACCAAGTACAGCACAGACAACAATTAGAGAATATCAGATAATTGCCTCGACGCCAAAATACAGAAGCATAGCAATTAAAAGGGGGAAGGGAACAGTATGTGTTTAGAAGCCCAATTTTCAAGCAATCTCATTGCAAATTATTGTGTTTCATTTGAGGTTGGGATTTAATAACACCAATTAGGAGTTTTACAAGCTAGTAAGACTGAAATTTCCTTAGCTAAAATAAGCTTCATTGCCCAGAGCAAAGCATTTTCCATTTATAGACTTATTAGTGAACATCTTGAATTTGTGAACAATGGGGAAAAAAAGCTTTCTTGAACAGCATCTTCTCAAAGATGACCTGGAACCCAAAATAAAGCTCTTGGATCTGCCCAGTGCAATTGCTCTGTGCTTGGCAAAGGGTGTCTTAGGGACATAACAAAACAAAAGGCTTGCCACTGGCCAAAGGAACACAAACAGACCTTGGAGGCAAGCTCTGCAGGAGCTTGGCTTACCAATGCAGTAACTATGCACAAATAAAGATGAATTTGGGGCATATTAAGCCATCATCTTTTACAACCACTCCATCTTTCTAGTGCCTAAAGGGGCCTACAAGAAACCTGGAGAGGGACTTGGTACAAGGGCCTGTAGGGACAGGCCAAGGGGAATGGCTTTAACCTGCCCGAGCGGAGACTGAGATGAGCTCTTAGGCAGAAGCTCTTCCCTGTGAGGGTGCTGAGGCGCTGGCACAGGGTGCCCAGAGAAGCTGTGGCTGCCCCATCCCTGGCAGTGTTCAAGGTCAGGTTGGACACAGGGGCTTGGAGCAAGCTGCTCCAGTGGAAGGTGTCCCTGCCTGTGGCAGGGGTTGGAGCTGGATGAGTTTTGAGGTGCTTTCCAACTTGGACTGTGTCCACTGTCCATGTAGTATTGCTACTCCGAAGGCATCACATTTCTTTCCCCAATCAAGTAGTATTTTGAGTTTCACATTCTGAATGGGAGAATCCTTTCTTAAACATTTTTTGCAGCCCAGCTTTTCTTCTTCAGCCTACCAATTGGTATCTCAAATGCACAGAAGACACAATGAACCAAGGAGAAAGTGTCTTCTTTATTTTAAATGAATAAAATAAATCTCAATACATAGGTTGGAAATATTTAAAGACATCAGAAAGAGAAAACTAGATGTAAAAGAAATGACATAAGTGGCAGGATGAAAACAGTATAAGCTAACAGAATTTAGTGTTTCAAGTGTGAATACATGACAGCAATAGCAATTATAAGTATTCCACTATTGCATTTGCAATTAATGAGCTGGTATTTCACCAAGCCCAGTGAAAAGCTGTGAAAATTGTAAGTTTTAACTGAGAAGTTTTGTTATTTTATGGATGGCTCTGAAGTGCTGCTGTTAGCTGCATTTATGGACATGTCTATGAAGGGGGAGAAGAGCCATACTTCCCGTCAGCAGAGCATTAGTTGGTACATAGCAGCTTTGTAGTGTCTTATATTAAGAAAAAGCACTTTTACAATCTGCTCCTGGTTCTCAAATGGAGAACTCCAACTTGTAAAAACCATAAGCCCCAGGAAATACTGACATATACAACCCTAATATTATTTTTCTCTCTTTTTTTAATATAGCAGTCCTAACAAAAATAATCAAGACCATTCATCTCTATCAAAGTGCAGTATAATGCATACATAATTCCACACCTGTAAACCACATAGTATACATGCCATGCACTTATCCATACCAGTTGGTATGAGAAATAGCAAAAGATGTATGAATATATTGTGCATGTGTTTTGTTCTGGCTGCAAGGACACTGTGCAAGCAGGAAATACCTGTAATGCATGTTGTAGAATATAACTTCTATGCCTGATCATTACAAAAACAACCTGGCAAACCCTCCAATAGTAAATGTTCCTCAGCATCGTCCTTGTTAGGAAACTCTGAGCTATTGTTTCTTTCAGGGAGCATAGTTACCTAGGAAGCTTGTTTTTTCACTAGCTTGCCCCCCTTCCTCCCCTGGAGTGCGATTTCCTGCAGTAGTTGTTTAAAGAAAAGAATGTACTTAGCTAAAAAAGACTTCCAAAAAAAAGAGGAGTTATCCAGCACATTTAGCAGACAGCTGATTACTTCCATCATACTCAAAAGCTAGGAAGTAAAAAAAGCTTTAAAATTCTTAAAAGTGAAACAAAAATACTGCATAATATACTCCTGTATAATGTTAAATACTCTGAAATTTAAAGCATAAGTGACCCAGAAGACTTCCCACATTTCCATTTCTTTTTTTTGTTATGAACTTCATGCAGGTTTTGTACACATATTTTCTTTGCATTTCCCTTCCAGAGTTTAAAGCTTTCCAATTGGTTTATAGCAGGCATCTGGCTGCCACATGCGAAGGTCAACAAGGACTTGGTTGAGCTTTTGCATCCAAATATTACGCTCTTCTTTAGTATCAGCAGACAGCCAGTTCCTAAAAGGCAAAGAACCCAAAGGATTAGGTATGCCTTTCTCTGCCTCTACTTAGTTCTTCCAAAAAATGTCAAGATGATCATCCACGGAACACTAAATAGCATTTTATCTATCTACTCACTTTGTAACACAGAGGGTGTCTCTGCACTGGCTGACAAGAGTCTCTCTGTCATCTTCCCTCTGAGGTCGGACAGTTATTAGTTCAAAAGTGTTGGGACGGGCACAGAACTCCCTGTTGGCAGGTTCAATCTGATGATTTGTGCAGTTAGCCAAGTTTATCCAGCCCAAAGGATGCTGAAAGTAAAGCTCATCAGTCAAGAATTCTGCAGTCAAGAGCAATTCTGACTAATATATGCTTTGAACAATTTTTGCCATGTTAAGTGACACGCCCAAATCAATGACTCCATACAAAAACAGGGATTCCCTTTTTGGCGTTTAAGAGCCATAGAAGAAGCAAGATAATTGACAATGGAACATTCCCTGCTCAACCACATACCATACAGCTAATCCATCCCTTACCAAAGGCTCTAGACAGATATAGCTGCTCTTTTCTTTATTCTTTTAAAAAGCTCTAACTCTCCAATTCAAGACAATTTCATAATAAAATCCAAATTGATAGAATAAACCTTGTCAAAGCGTACAGAAAACAAGCACTTTAGGGATGCTTGCATCATTCTTGTCAAAGCCTATAAGCACACACATTCATCTTCAAACATGCAATAAGGAAGGCACCTTAAGTGCCAAGTCTGGCTGTTTTAGCTCCCCCTGTAATCAAAGCTAGACCCCTCCAAAGAGGATGTCTGGTTTCAAGCCCTTTCTCTCTTTCTGCTGACTATAGACAGAGGCTCAGCTGTATGCCTAAAGTTAGTTACAGACCTTGGCTCCTATTCCTCGCACTTACAGAATACCTCATCAGGGAAACATCATAAGCTGCTCCTGGCTTGGAGAAAAGCTGGCTATTTACTGGGCATGTTCCCAATATTATTCCATAGAGAAGTAGAATACCCAAGTTACAGCAAAAAGGGTAGCTCCGTTTCAAGGAGCATTAAAAAACAGGTTGGTGATATACATATATACATATATATATATATATCTCCACACATATACAGCCATGGGAAATTTGTTAACAAAAATATTTCACAATTTAAAGCAATCATTGCCCACTACTGATATTTCTGAGGTACAGCTATCTCTGCATGCTAGAACAGATATAGTAGGGGTGAGGGAGGCATTTAATAAGGATAGTTTAATATTGCTGGGGATGATAGTACATCAATAGAACACAGTTGACCCTTTCTCAGAGTAATAGTGAAACAAGTTTAGAAGACTGTCAAGAGAACTGGAAAAAAACCCAAAACTGCTTTCCTGCAGACAATGGTAGAATGGGAACCTTTTTCTTGCTTAACTCATTTTTTTTGCCTATCTTCTATTACAGTAGGCAATGATTTTTCCCTCTCTCCTGGCACAAAAATAAAGCACACTGATATATCTGGCAATGTCAATTATCAGCATATGGTGTTCCTCTGTTAGCAGTGAAGAAACTAAACTCAGGCATCTGGATTGGCATAGAAGACCCAAAAGGACCAAAGTTTGCAACAGAGTTTGGGAAAGAGAGTGTTCTGCCAACAAACAAGCAAGCGTTTAGTGGTAAATTACTCAAGTGAGTCAGAAAAGCCCTCTTGAAATCAGTTTGTGAAAAGACCTGGAAGTATTTCAGCACACACTGTAAGAACAGGCTAAGGAGACAAGGTTCACCTCATGACAGATGAGCCTCTGATTTGCCTCATTAGCCAGACAATAACTTAGGTTTCCATGAGAACCATTTAAAAAGTACCAGTTTCAGCTATAATGTAGAGCTGTGAAAAAGAGACTGCAAATAAGATGGTCCATAATGACAGCTATGCTTCTGCAATAAGAAGGATTGCCCACTCTAGTTCTTTACCATATTAAGCATTAGAGTCATCATTTTGTCTCCAACTTAAGGCAACTAGATACGGTCTGCTTATGAAGCTGTACAAGTCTGATTAATTTCAATTAGTCATTTTACAAGCACAGTGGAAAGCCTTAAGACTAAAGAGGAAATTAAATATGGATCTTCCTCCACTTTTTCCCTTTGGCACTAGATAAAGCAGCATGTTTCTAAGTTTGCCCTGACTGAGGTCAGATTTATGAAGGTGCCTCCATGCCCCAAGGAAACATTATAAGCTTGAATCTCACACTTTGAATGTACTTCTTTGTTTTAAGCCTACACTGCCATTAAAGAGGACCAGCTAGTTGTGTAGAGTACTAAAGAACCTGAGACTTGAGCTTTAGAAAACAGCATTACCTTTCGTTTCTCATCATCTGGGTATGTCCAGTAAGATATACAGTTTCCAGACAGCACACACCAGCGCCTATGCCATGCTCCAAATCCACTCACATCTTCAAACATAGTCTTAAAAAAACACAATTAAAACCAATGAGGTATCATTATACCTTGACTGTACTCAAGTATTTTTTGACCAGGTAGTTCTGCAAGTACAACCCTTCACAGGAGGAAACATAAGTGAAGGAAAAAAATATATTCACTGGGAGAGACTTCTGTTAGTATAGCATATGTATATTCCAGATAGCATAGAAAAGACGCTTACACTATCATTCTCAAGTTTGCAGACTTTTGCTCAAGATGCAACTATTGCTGCCCTTTCAAAACACCAGATTTTAATGTTCACAATGGTTCGTTCTGTTACTTTAAGATAATGGAGGGTTACTTATAGCAGATACAGGATGAACAGTTCACAAACCATGCTTAGTATAACACAATTTTTTATGGTAAGTTTTCCAGTACCTAAAGGGGCCTACAAAAAAAAGATGGAGAGGGGCTTTGGATAAGGGCCTGTAGGGACAGGCCAAGGGGAATGGCTTTAACCTGCCCGAGGGGAGACTGAGATGAGCTCTTAGGCAGAAGCTCTTCCCTGGGAGGGTGCTGAGGCGCTGGCACAGGGTGCCCAGAGAAGCTGTGGCTGCCCCATCCCTGGCAGTGTTCAAGGCCAGGTTGGACACAGGGGCTTGGAGCAAGCTGCTCTAGTGGAAGGGGTCCCTGCCCGTGGCAGGGGTTGGAGCTGGAGGAGCTTTAAGGTCCCTTCCAACCCTAACCACTTAAATACCCAAGTCACCTTTGACTTACTATTCAGGATTACAAACTGTTTAGCTATTCAACAGGACAATCAGCAGTCCAATCAGTTTGAAAGAAACTGGAAATTGCTTTTTAAATGCCTGTGTTGGCAATCATTTTACTGGATGCAGGCTTATGCCAATTTCAAGCTATGTTTCTTTAATACTGAAATGGAAAGCTCAGTATAGGACTTCTATTCCTAATCTCCCTCGAATGCATACAGAATTCCCCACACCCCCCCAATCAATATGTTGTGTTTTTCGCTCTTCACCATTCAGATCCTCATTTTTATTGTGTAGGGAGTTTCCAAACCCTTACTCTGAAAAAACCTGAATGTGTATGTACAACATTGTTCAGGTTCTACATATTGTATAGTAAACAAGGCCTTTGTTAAATAGTACACAAAACCATGGGATAGCAAATACCATAAGCACATGAAATGTTTTCATCTAGTGAAATCTGTTCAACTTCAATTAAGAGTAAGGAGACAGAAAGAACTGCTTGAAAAGAGTGTAAAGAAATTCTAAACCCACCAAAATAAGAGTGTTAATGTTTTGCTGCAGTATTTTCACAGCACATTTACTGCCATCTCCTGGACACGATCTCAACAGCTCCATCTACTAGGCCCAAGTATCAGCTGCACTTCCCAACTCCAGTTTTACAAAGAGAACTGCTCAAGATGTTTCCCCCCAGAAATACTGTTTCTTCCAAAGCTTGTGCACACAGGGTGTCTGTGTGTGTGTGTAACTTCTCTAGGGAGAATTTGGTTTTACTTCTGGCAGAGAAGTTAGGATCTCGCATCACAGATTATAGCAAGAGAAGGTTAACTGAAGTTCATAGTAATAAATGAACAGTGTTTAAGAAGAATGATGAAAATGTAGCTTAAATTCAGGCATGTTTAGAAGATAAACTAGGAAAGGTTTGAGGTCTGGTTCAGAGAGGAGCAGGGAAAAAATGAGCTAGTTTTAAGCTTTACAACCACTACGAATACATGTGTGAACTTAAAGAAGTAACTACATTTAACAGGACTTGTAATTTCCATGGAAGCAACTTGAAGTAAGTATCTTACCAGAAACCCTTTCTCTTCCACAGAGGAGTCCACTTGGCATTTCAACTTCAGATATATATGACCTTCCAAAGGAGACAAAAAGGGAACCTGCAAAAAGTAAAGCAATTAGTCATTTAATTTGGACACCTCTCAATCCTAGCAGTTGAAGCAAGACACCTGCACCAGGATGTTAGCACAGTCTTGTTCTTAGGATCTTTAGCCAGAAAGAAGTGGTCAGTCTACAGCAAGACAGTAATAATCACTTTCTGTTTCAAGTTTGTTCAGAAGCTTTTCAAGATTTGTTGGCTTATTAGTTTGCTCAGGACATATGCACAAACATGCTTCTGTCTATAAAAACAAGCACTCCAAGCATGGTTAAAACAACACACAGCATCAGTCCACACCCTGCAAGCTTCTGTCTCAGTTTGACATTAAGCTATTTGGAAAATGTCATAGTGGGCTTAAACAGGATTGGTACTTGGATGCCATGAGCATTTTTGGCAGATACTGATGTAGCAGTGCCTACTCAGAGAACTATTTGTACGAGACCTGTAAGGGGAAAAAGTAATGAGAGCAGTTCTCAACTGGCACTCAACGTGTTGAAGACCAGCTTAACCAGGGTACCAGCGGGTGGTTAAATGGTTATTGGATACTGAAGAGTTCTGAAGAGGAACATGCAATAAAGCCTGCCTATTGACCTCTTCAATCCCTCCAAACATGTTGATCAAGTGGAATTAAGTTTTCTAGTAGTTCAGGTGAACAAGAGTAACCCCATTAGATCTACTCCACTAGACAGCATGCATGGCTTGCTCATGTACTTGGCCCTACCGTATAGCACAGCAAAATTGTGAGCACCAGGTAGGAATTTACATGACCATTTGAGAAGCAAAACCAGGAAAATGTTTCCACATAACAATAATAAGTTGCACCAGTCCTGGATTTTTATCAGCAAAGATAATTTATAGCCCTGAATGCTACACCAGGGAACATTAGGTTGTGTCCTACTAAACCACAGTAAAAATATTGCTGAATGAGGACCTCAAGTTTGTCCAATTCCCCACTTGAAGTTTATTGGGTTTGCATTCCTTTCTAATGTAGGTCAGATGAATCTACTTTGTAGATTAAGGAGCTCACCAGTGAAGAGCTGGGTGACAGTAAAACAAAAAGGCTGTGCAACAAATGGAATGGGATCAGTTATTCAGAGCCTGCAACACCACTACTAAAGCAGGTCTCAAAACACCCTCCGTTAAAAGTAATGAGAAATTATTACACCCTAGTTAGCAACATATCCCTTTCAAAGGCAAGTGGGGTGGAGATAGTAGAAAAAGTTGCAACAAGTTAAACCAACACTTAGACCAGCAATTATTCTTCCCCGATCTTGCATCAGCAGAGTAGCTCATTTTATGTCCTGTGCAGCTCGTCAGAAGTTGCCTGGAATTTCCTGACTAGCAATCTTTAAGAGACATGGATTTGTTCTGAAACAAGAAACACCCCCCCTCTAGTGATCTAGGGAGAAAAACCCTAGGTGGCCTGAATTACATTGAGTTCTAGCAGCAAGCTTATTATTGTAAGAGGCAGGGAGTAGAATTCTGCAAGTCTTAAAGGCTCCTAATATTTCATGGTTGGTTAGTAAATCTCTGTAAGCATTTAAATTCTGCAACCAGGCCAGGCAGATATGAGCAACATGCACTAGGAAGCAGTTTCCTATTAAAAGTTATAAACTAAAGGATCATAGCAACCTGGTCCTGGAACATATAGCCCAACAGTTCTTTTTCCACCCCTTCAAAATTTATCTAGGGAAAAAAGAAACATGCTCAATGCAATTAGTGTAGAGTTAAGGTTTAATAAAAAAAGGACAGTTATACATGAGTACATTTTTGTCCTTTCCACCCTGTGCATAGAAGTGGGAGGAATGAAACTCAAAATACCCACTGTGGCAGCAGTTTGCTCCATATTAGAAATGCATGGAGTAAGTTAAAAAGAAGCTGTTTGGTACAGCCATGGGCCAAGTCCAAACCGAAGCTTTACAAATATGATCACCTTTTTTAATATTATTTTATCAAGTTATTTGACATAAAAGGGGAATTCTTATTCATTAATAACTGCTGCAGTGTGCACCTGGAAAAAAGTTAACCAGGTGATGATTTCCCTGGAGCTCCATTTGAACCTTATGCTTGTCCTAGTTCACTAGTCCAGTCCAGTCCCGTGTTCTGTCCTAATGAGTAAACCAAAAGAGTTTAAACCCAAGTTGCTAAATGTAACATAAAATGCAATTCCCATAACTCCAAGAATAAAGGGTTTCCAAGAACCAAGCCATACACAAAATGAGAATTCTGCATGTAGTTCTGGTTAAGAACAACATTTATGCTGAAGAACAAAGCAGGTACTTCTGAAGTTCATGCAGTCAAAAAGTGAAGTGCAATTCAACTGGTAAGCTCTGCAAACTGTTCCAGTAATAAAGTCTGCTTCTTTCCACAAAAAGCAAAGCTTGTAAAAAGCAAATTGGGATTATTGTGATGTTTCTAATCTTATGCACAAGCAACCAATTTGTTTTATCTCATCACTCAGCAAAAGCTATAACTGCAATACTAGTGTCATCACAATAAAACTTAACTAGCCAAGGAAAAAAAAGTTTATTCTTCTGCTGCTGTTTGGATAAAGCTGTAATTTAGTACCACCATAAGATGTAGTAGCTTCGGAATTTAAGTTAGTTTAAGATAGTGCTGGCATAAACACCTATTAAAATAGGTTTCAGGTATAAGATATTACATGGTCAGAGACTGTAATGGACATAAGATTGTACGTGTTTTTTATTTCCGATAGTAAACGTCAGTAAGCATATTCCGTTCAGACATGGAACTAATAGTATAAAACTCAATAATAGCTCTCAAGAATTAAAATTATTTGCTTCTACAAATTGAATTAGGATATGAAAGGAAACTCTTACTCCTAAGAGTATATTCAAATGGCAATTTTTAAGTCAATTAAATGCAGTCAATTTCAAATACTTCATTATCATTAAAATACAATGTCTTATTTAGGGGTAACTGCAAGACTAAGAGCAAGGAACAATGTGAAGACCACATACAGAGATACCAACTGCATACAACAATTTTTCTTGTCAGTGAAAGAAAAATCAGTAACTAAATGCCTTCTTTATCTTTGCATAACTATACCTTATGTGGAGCTACAGAAAAGAAAACTCCTGGCATAATATATTATTTTTCTTTTGTATCTCAAAGTTACATTTCAGTCATATGAAATGGAACAGGAACAACTAGACAGAAATGTTATATATACACAACATTTATATAAACTTATGTTTTGTTTCTAGGATGGTAATTTCATTTGAAAACAGTGAACCAGACTCATAGCTGTTATTCCAATAACATGCAATTACATTTGGAGTAGTAGCCAATAATTTCCATTACCTTGTCCAATGCAAATTTGGCATTTCCTACAGAAGACAATGACAGCTTGTGGGATCCAACAAGGGTGAAATTTGTACTGCGTATGGCATTAGGGCCACATGGACTGGCCATGGCTGTGGAGAAAGAATTGACAACGCAAATCATAACACAACACAAGTCATAACACCACGCAAGCAGGATGCTGCAAGGCTTACAAATGTTTTATTAGTACTGCTTAGCACTCCAGGAGGAGTGCCCTTGCAGTGCGAGCCCAGCAGCACATTCAGGCAGGAGCTTGCTGCACCCCATTCCTCCTCAGCACATCCCTTCTTTCAGGAAGCAGTTTTGAAATATTCACAAAAGACAAAGCATTCCAAGAGGTCTCAGGGGAACAGAGAGCACTCTAGGTCACACAACAAAGTGCCTGTGCCCTGTGGTGGAAATGCGACTTTGAAATCTCTTAACCTCTTCTCATGGGACACCCTGCAGTCTTCCAGAATTTGTATGCAGAGGAATACAGGCACTTATATCAATAGAAACAAGCACTATAGCTCAAGCACAGGAATCCGAGTAGTTGCAGCAGCATGGTAAACATTCCAGAGTTAATTTATGAGCTCCTTATTGGTGAAATTTGTACTTAAACTAGCTCAAGTATCTCCTATTGCAGCCAGACAAGCGTATAACACATTTCTATATAGTCAGAAAACATTCAGGAATGCTGTTTTTCTCCCCCAAGACTCAGAAATACATAAACGTGTTAAAAATACTACACACAAGCTATCCCTCAGAATCTGTTTGCATTTTCAAGTTTTTTTCTGTATTACTTAGTTGACATCAGACTCTGGTTTAAAATCTTAACATTCATGTGTGTTTACCTTCTCAGGAAAAAGCATGTCAACTACAGGTATCTGATATAAGGTACTAGGTCTGATTTTGTGAAGAGATCTTCCATTAAACAGAATGATAACTCGGGTAATAAACACGGCGCCAGTCTCTGAGCTGGCAAGCTGGCATAATTCTGTATTTATTACTCCCAAATTATCATCTGTTACAAGTATTACTTATTGATATACTGCTTTAGACAGCAAATGCCAAGATGAATAATCTACACAAGGTATTTAGATTTATACTTACCTGGAGTAAGAAGTGTGCTTTTCTAGAAGGAGAAAGAGAGAAATAAAAGCTCAGTGGAAGAAGTAATTTCTGCACATTTCTACACAAGACTAAGCAGGTTAGAAAACCCTCATCTGAGGTAGCTTAACAAGAGAACGCATCTTGAAGGAAAGTCCCACTAAATACGTAGTAACTGCATATTTCCAGCATTACATATTTAATGTAACGTTGCCTATTTCTTGAGCTGATGGCTGAAGAAGTTCGCAGAAAGCTGGACAGTTACAGAGTTTCTGTAGAGCCTGCTATGGGCAGAGCCTTATTCAGCGTGAGAATATGGCCTTTGGAAGAGGTCATAAGCAGATCGTGTTACAATATTACATTCATACTTACAGAGGTAATGGATGTTAATAATCTCTTTGGAGTAATAACCTACAAAAGAACAAGATGATAAATGCATTTTCTACTGAATTTGTTCATCACATTAGTGTAAATGTTAGACAGTGAAACTACTGAAGGCTTATCTAAGTAAGTTTTGAATGGATACTAGTTGTTGTAATGAGCAGGTCTTGGTGTGTATGATTAGATGTAACACTTCAGTGGAGGGAATGCTATATATATATATCAAAGAAATATTTACTGCAGAAAGGTTTAAGTATGCATTAGCTTGGGATGAGAAGCATGTGTTTGAGAAAACAATCTTAGGTGCTTATTAAAGGTAAGAGTTAACAATACAAATACAGAGCTGTTCAGTGTGCTACTGGTGTACATCATCTATAGTTCCAAGTGAAAATATCAAAGTTTATGTGAGACTGTATATTAATATGAACTGGAATTATGTGCTCATCTAATCTTGAAACTGAAATACAAGTTTAAGAATCTTGTCAAAAAGCAAATACAATATGCTATCAGCAAACCTGTAACTCCACATCAGCAACTTACCTACAGTGACACAAACCCATTAGGTTTTAAGTAAAGATTCCCCTAAACTGCAGCACAGGAGAGAAAGGAACCCTGGACTTCAAACTGGTTTTACTGGGGGACAGGTGGAAGCGTGCTTTCACCGTGCCAACTGAAAGTTAAGATTAAGAGAAATTCCTATCTGTTTGCAGAGACAGGGTTTAAGTACTCATTGAAGCTGTTCTAAAAGACACTGAAGTTTCTTGGTTTTATTAAGCTACCATCTCCAGAAAGCCACTGGCTAGTTCGGGGTCACAAAGCCTTAATAAAGCACAAACACTTGAAACATGCACCCTGTCCGAGCTGAAAAGTTTTAATAACTCCTTGGACATAAAAGTTTGCTTAAAAAAAAAACACCAACATCTAGTGTTTTTACTTCAGGCTAGGAAGACAGACAGATGTGTTGCAATTGATAACAGAACCTTTAAGATAAATCAAACTGCAAGGTAGAGCATATTGACTGATGGTGTTTAAGTAAAGTGGAGAATACAGGCACTAAATCACAAGCAGAGGCACCATACCCAATAGAAGTTTGCAAAGCATATAGTTTTGCTGAACTAGTAAGACTTCTCCTTTCCCTCCAATATATTTTAGACTCAAGCAAGTGCTGCAGGTCCAATCTACTAGTAGCTGCAGGACTCCATAACCCATCTGTCATTGCAGATGTTCCAATAAATAACAAGAGTAAAAGCAAGCAACAGATTGTCTAAGACCATTAGTCAGTTCTCCCTGGACACTGCAGTCTTCCTAGTGTACCTGCTGTTGTAAATACAACATGCTGATTATGTTGTTTCATTTACCTTAGACTTATTTGCCTTTTTCCTTTTATCAGTGCTCAGAACTTCTTTTCTCTGTACCTGTAAGGCAAGAAGGTATTAAGAAAGTACACCACCTCATTATTCTCCTTTACACATCTTAGCAAGAACTGATACATACCAAACTGTAAACTTCAATATTTATTTCAAAGTCATTTGACACATCATGCCTAAAAGGAAGAAGGGAAAAATGAGTTGAAGAGACTGAAGCAAAGAGGTGGCCCTTTTAAATGGTACTCTTTACTTCTTCCCTCTTTCTACTCCTTAAAACAGGGATTAAACAGATTCTACACAAGAGAATTTGATTGTTTCACTTCTACAGTAATACACTTCAGTGCAAGCAGCACTGCTGTTTTTAAGACTTGAGTGTATTACTATTTCAAGATACTTTCTATAACTCAAAGATCAGAAGGGGACGGAAGGACAAGGAGCAGACAGTGCATTGACCATTTCTCAGTTTGCACCCTTCAGTCCAGTGCTGGCACACATTTCTATGAACAAAGATTGGGTGGTTTGTTTTGAATAAATATCTCTCAGTGAAAATTCCAGTTAGGTTGGATTTTCAAAAAGGAGCTTGTTCCTTTATTTTAGAGGACTTTTGCTGAAAACCACCTCTTTGAACTCACACCTTTTAACTAACATATAAGAGTTGAAGTTTTAAGCGTACTATTTTTTTCCAGATACCAAAACCAAATAGCTACATAAAATGTTACTTGCTGAAAAAGGGAAAAACACACATCATCCATCTGTCATTGCAGGTGTTCCCTGGAGAGAACAAAAGTAGAAAAATAACAGATAACTTAGCTGATGGATGGTGGAATAAGTCTAGATTGCTCTTTTGAGAGGAGTGCATTCCAGCTATTCCTTGAAGTGGGAAATAGCAATACAAAGATGTCACTAAATTTGTTGGTGAAATATGACATCCTTATATGAAGCTGTTGCACAATTTTATGCATGCTCCATCATCAGAGTTGAAACTGGTTTGAAAAAAGTTCCTTTATACTCACATAGTAAATGTCGTAGTAAAAGTAAGAGCATCTCCAGTCAGGGAGCTGGCAGTACTCGCTAATGGGGTTGCAACCATGTTTTCTGCTCCAGATCTCAGTATTATTACATAGTAGTAATTTGCTGCTTCTGTAAATAGAAATCAGATAGGTTTGTTAGCCAGAGGTGTCCAAGTATCTAAAAAACAAAAAAAAAAACAACCCCTCAAACGCTGCAAACATCTCCGTTTCACCCCTACTTGAACACTTGGTTACAATCAACATTTGCTTATAAACTTACTTTTAAAACAAGGTTTTACTTGTAACCACTACTGCCTCCACAGGATTCACAACTACCTGGCACCTCAGGCCAGCCCTACACTACCCAGCATGTGAAAGGGGAGAGGAACTTTCAGGCAGATGCAGCAGTTCATTTTAGTTCCTTATACTCTGGTTGTTATTCTCTAGCCCTGCCAGCTTAACCATACGTCAGCATTGCTACTGCCTGTTCTCATACATTTTTCACTCCTGTGAAAGAACTGGTAATTCAAGCAACCCATTTTCCCTAACTTTTCAGATAAGGGAGGAAAAACACCTCTCAACAGTGGCAGGAGATAATCCAGAGTTTGTGCAGCAAACTGCTGAACGGGAAAAGCAAATATCATACCACATTAGACAAACAATCATTCCCCCCCCACCCCAACACTTTGAGTCCCAGCTTTCAGAACTACTGTTGAAGACCCCAGTAAGCAATGACTCGTACTCTTCTCTGAAGAAAACAGCAAAGGTAAAAGTGATTATTAGAGCTTCTAGTGCACAATGTATAGCGAACATTGCACTTGCAGAACCAAGTTTTGAAAAAGTTGAAAGTTTTTTGAAAGTTTTGATGACAAGTAGTTCATACTTCTCTGTTCAGAGAATTTGGTTTTGAGAATTACTGATGGGAACTAAACTTATACTATTGTAACCAGAGATGCTTTTCTGTAACTGAGACGAAGCAACTCATGTAACAAGAAGGTGGAACATGTTGGGAGTGGAAAAGGGGTGGTAAATTAGGTCAGATAATTTACTTTCATATTCTTGGCTGTGGTTTTATTTGAAGATGTAAAAAGAACCACTTCATATTTCATTGGACAGTTAATCAAGGAAACAAGAAAGGCTACATAATAACTAAAAGTTTTCTAACCAGTATGAAACACAATTTTGTCCTATGTCTTTTGTCCTCAAGCCTTACCGAGGCAAAAAGTAGGAATCTGTCCAGCTACAATCATATTTGGTAGCATTATATAAAATAACACTGGTTATTGTGGGCTTGCAGATTCTTTAAACAGCCACATAACAGAAGCTTACTATATTCCAGGGTAAGTCTAGACCTACAGAGAGATATTGCCAGAAATTCTTCTGGAACAAAACAAGACATAAATTCACATTTTAACTTTAAAGTTAAAAAAATTTAACTTTAAAGTCAACTTTAATGACTTAAATATGACACAATAATGGAAGACAAGCCTTTGTAAATGAAGTACTGTGGGATGTTAACAGAAAGACTGAAAAAAATTAGAGGCTTAATGAGTCTGTCAGAATTTATGTAATGATATTTAGGCACTACACTTGCACCCATCAATAAAATTCCAAGGCAGCAAGACAGAATACAACCCAAGATACAAAACTGTACTTCTTCTCCAACAGGGTACACAGGACCATAAAGATCTTTAAGATTGGCTGGAAAGGTCTTGATAAGTTTCTTGAACTTCACAAGCCAGAACAGGATGAAACTAAAACCATCATGGAAAATACTGAAAACCTAACCAAAAAGCAGATCAATTAAAAGTAATTGCTAGATTTTCATTGCTCCCTGATCTATGAGAAACACCAATGCAGAAGACAAAAAAAACAACCCAGGGGTATGAACCAGAAATATGTGAAGGAAGGATGGGGAAGGGGGAGGAAAGGGGTAAAGTTTTCAGTTGCTGGTTTTACCTGGCTTTTGAACTGTACCACATACAAAGTCTGCTTTCAGAGGTAGACGCATTTCTGAAATGGAAACAGATCCCCTGGATGGAGCATATTGAGTGGATATAGAAGCAGCTTTATTTCTTTTACTATGAGGTCCCTCACTCTTCAGTCTATTCAGTTCTTCCAATAAAGCAGTTCTCTTCTCAGCTGCATAGAGAAATTAATTATAGTTGTAACAGAGGAAAAAGTAGTACTGAACATTCTTTTCTTCCCCCATAAGCATGTAAAATGAAGATCATTAACATTTCTGTTGCAAGAATAGTAGGAATATTAAAGGCAAGAAAGATACCAAAAACATCCTCTTGCCTATACAAGTGAGACAAAACTTCACCTGTTTTCCAGGTGAAGAACTGTAAATAAGCAGCTACAAGGTAGCATAATAAATTCATTGCCAGTCTTGTTCCCGCTTCTTCCCAAAGTGTTCATGACAAAGAATTAAACTTGGGTCTAAAAACCTACTTGCTAAGAGAAGAAGTCTCTCTGCTTCTGCTTCTTCTTGTGACCCTTTTCCATGCTCCTCATCAAAACAACAGTTCAGAGCTTGACTGGCTTGATAAATCACTGTCTGCTGCATGTTGATCTCATTATTGAGCTCCTAGAGTAAATTAGTATTTAAAATAATTAGTAAGAAGAGAAAGATTTAGATTCACACATGGAAATGTCTTGAGATTAGCATTTTGAGGGCTACTGATTCAGAGAAATTAGACTACTTAGCTAGTGAACTACAAAGATCTTGCAGTTTACAGTTACTTCTGCAAAAGAATGTTGCAGCACCATTTTTTTTTTGGGCCTCAGAAATCATTTAAATAATGGGAGTGACTGACTTCAACATTTGTATGCTCCATATCCAGGCTACTCTGCCCTTCACCAGGGGAAGCAGCAGTTGACCAGAAATTCAGTGTTGTACAAGAAAGACGCACCACTAAATATCAGAATATTGCCTACTGTAATTATGTAGTTATGAATCCTGCCTAATTCAAAGGCAGTAATAAGATAAAGGTTCCCCATTCCCTTCTCAAAATGACAGCTTGCTTTCCCTACACTTCCTCTATAGCTTGAGCATTTCAGGAGATGCATTAAGCTGTGCAGCTTATGCAGTATCATTCCCTACCACTGGATATTTACGCTAAAAAGCCTAATTTTGCAGTTCCAAGTAGTGTGTTTAAGTCCTGGACATTCTCAAGGGAAATGAAGCAAGGAAATAGTAAATTAGAGAAAGGATTTTAAGTAGTACATTGCATACCTGCATTTTCTTTTTGATATTGACTTGATCAGATGGCCCATTATGTTTCATTTCTAGCTTGGAAGCAACATCTTCTTTGCGAACAATGATTTGCTTTATTGAAGGACGATCTGTTTCTTTAAATCTTTGAGATCTGTATGCATCAATGCTTTCAAAAGAGGAAAACCCATTAAACCTTTCACAGCTGTAACAATGTTTTCTGTTTTTTTCAATATACATACCTATGTATATATCACTTACTAATGTTTTCCAACTTGCTTAAACCACTTTAAAACCCATTTCCTCATTTTAAGTTTAAGCATCATACATAGACTACATGGGGACTACTTTTGATAAAGGCTGAAATTTTGGAAGAAAAGGTTTTTTTTGTAGTTTAAGCAGTGTGCTTCATTAGAAGAGAAAAAAAAAAAAAATAAAATCCAGTGTCTTAAATTTGCCCACTTACAGAATTAGGGGTGGGGTTTTACATTTATTACCTATAGGGAAGGTTGCGATCGTCTGATATAGAGCCAATGCTGTCTCCAGATTCTGCCCTGGGGACTTTAGTCCTTTGGAACTTGTCAGACTTCAGACTTATATCACTGATACTGCTGCCTTCACCAGTTGACTTAGAAGGAGAAACAAAGGCCTGGGGAGAAGAAAAGGTTATAAAGATATCTGGCACAATAACCATTATCTACTTTCTCTCACATTTAATAGGTCTTGCACATAAACAGTAAATAGTATTAAGCAGCCTCCAAACTTAACACACATTTTACAAGTATTTTCTAGGACATGGAGCAAACTAGTTAGTTTCCTAACTAGTACAGCAACAGTTTCTTCTCAGATTTTCAGTGACCAGTTCATTGAATGCATGTATACCACTGGAAGTCCAGCACAAGTAGTAGATACATACTTGAACTTGATTTAGCAGAAGTTAAACCACTTGTTTAGCAGAGCTTCCAACATGCTCAGCTATTTTCAGAAGAAGATAACTTTATTACGCTTTCTTAAGCAAAACGTCTCTTGTAACTTCTTTATTTGCCCACGTATCACAATACAACAAAATACTGTTGATACAAGCAAGTTCTACCTCTCTGTGATAAGCAAGCCTTTACCCATTTCTTAGGAACTCTCACCTCTGGACCAACAGATTCCACTAAAGGGGTTAACAGAGACATCGACGAAATATTAAGTGACTCTTCCTGCTCATCCTCATCACTTTCACCTTCCAGGCTCATACTCATTTCTTTCTTCAACTTTTCTATGTCTGGACCATCTTCTTCAAGAACTTCAAAAATCTCATTTATCACTTTCGAGCTATTCATCTCATCATCCACACTCATTTCAATTTCATATACTTCATCTAAAAAGTGATATTTAGAACATATTAGTAGCATCAGGACTAATCTCTTCATTTTAATTAAATGAGCAGAAAGATGTTAACAGATAAGACAACTATTTCTGCATTTCAAGTAAGCTTGATTAAAAAAAGACTTACAGTCAGGCATATAGAACCCTAAAGCATACTTCCATCCTTATTTTAGTACACTATTATCACATATACTGCATAATTGACACAGAAAGAGAATAGAGAGATGCATCTGTGAAGCAAGTTTCAAGATTTTAGCTCAAACAGCTATGAAACTTAACTGCAAGCCCCACAGTAGAGCAGTCTTTTCCCAATAACTTTTTAATATCAGCTTTTTAATATATCTTGAAGACTTTAATGTCAAAAGAGAAGGATTATGATGAAAGAAGACTCCTGATTCATTTTATATAAACTTCATTACAAAACACACATGTCAGCAGATGTATGGTGAACTCATTGTCCAGACTTGCAGGATATTGACACTGTGCTGGACAAGTGGCAACACACAGTTAAGTGCATTAATATACATCTACTCAATACAAACCTTTCAGTTTCTCAGCACACTGATCAAGTTTTGAGACAGACATTGCTTTTACAGGGCTTTTTGGCTCATCCATCTTCAGAGGACTGGGTTTCTGAGTCTCTTCACATTTAGGAGCATCTAAATAGTTATAAAGAAGATGTCACTGAAGATTATGTCTAGCCTTTGAATTTTATTTTAGGTTTGGATTTTTTGGGCAGTTGGATAATACAGCTGACAACAAGCCCACTAGATTAAGTTAGGTTGCTGTTAAATAAAAAAATCATTAGAATACATACCCTCCAAAACCCGTGCAACTTTATCTTATAATCAGAAAGTTGATAACACAGAAAGCAATGCTGAAACCATAGTAGAGTACACTTGGAGTAGAGAGGGTCATTTAAAAAAACAAACAAGCAAAAAAAACCCACCACACAAAAACCACCACAGCCAAATCCAAGCCAAAAGCAGGATTCTCATCCTGGTTTTCTAGAAGCACATTTGATAGGCTGCTTGCCCATAGTGTCTAAAAGAAGTAGTAACTAAGTTGACTTTTTTCAGAGAACTGGAAGCTTTTCCACTGGGGAAGCACCAGAAAGGATGTCACAAGCCTCCCTGAATTCTTTTCATGTTCTGTACAATAAGAAATGATAGCATAAAGGTCTACTGACAAGAGAAGAGTTCCCTCCCATTCGATTATTGTGGAAATTTGGATACTGAGGTACAGTATAGATTAAATCTATAATTGATGATTTTCATTCACTCTCCTTACACTTAACATACATGAAAGTATGAAAATTAGGTAAAAAACTGAAAGGCAGTTTTTCCTGCCCATCTTTCAAGTGGCATAAGAAGGTAGAATATTATTATAAGACAAAAAGATTTAGGCAGGTCAGTAACCATATAAGAGGTGCAGTTATATTTAGTGCTACCAGCCTCTTTATCTGCTCATGAACATCAGGGGCAGTGCTTCAGTCCAGCATTAGCCACAAGCAAACAGCGACAATTCTTACCTGAAGACTCCACGCTGGGAGACTTTGCTGGCCTATCTCTTGCTGGTGTGTCTTCTGCTGATGCAAAAGCGGTGTCATTGGAACAAGGAGAACGTTTTGGACTACCCCGAGATTGGCTTTCCTGGCAAAAAAAAACCCAACATAGTACATTTAGGTGGTAATGGTTGAAGGGACTAAAATGCCAGAAAGAAACACATTTCAACACCTGCTAGGAAAAAAAAGGCTGCTGATCCAATCTCAAGAAGGCTCCTATTTATTTATGGAATAAATTTAGGTGAGGTACTAAACACTGTGCGAGGAGCTTTCTTTTGCTTTTAAAGTTATAGAATACTAAACCCCACACTCAGAAAAGCCACAGATAAGCCAATTGGCTCAAAGCAATATCACTTCTCTCCTTTCATGATTCTGCAGGAGGAAAAATATCTCTACAAATTTGTTAATAATCATACAACCAACCACTTGACAAGCAGGCTTGCACAGCCTGAGCACTGGCTTTATCTTTTATTTACAGTTGCACATCTGTCCTGTGTTCAGAACATGTTAAAGCAGTTCATTTGCTTTAACAAAAGACTATCATCTCTATCATCTTTTGATACACGGCAGTCGCACGTTACCATTTTAGCTTCTGGAAGTTTTCTCTTCGGACTTCCGTTTTCCTTGGCACTCCACAGATTGCCCCTATCAAACCGGCCACGAAGACATGCAAGTTCTCTTTCACGTTCCTAAGCAAATAAAGGGCAACAGGGGAAAAAGTTAACAGCTTTAAGATGTCAAAACACTTCAAGTTCCTCGGGCAGGTGCAGAACAGTATCTTCCCCAAGCTCATAAGCAAACTATGAATGTAGCAAAGTCATTACCTGCTTAAGCTGCAGTGCTAAACTGGCAGTAGAGGAATTTTCATTTTGTTTAAGAAGCCTTTCCTGGATTGTCCTAGTATTTGGGGTAACAATGGGTGTTCTGCACCCTGGAGTATTCGTAGCAGGACTCTGTGCACTGCGCTCTTGACAACGCTCTCCAAAGCGTTCCAGGAAGGGTTTAATTCCTGATCCCCCTACAAGAATAATTGTTTTGCCTTGAAAGAGACTCTCAAAATCACAGAAATCACTGCATCTTGCTAAAGCTTCTCAATGAAGCAATTAATCTGTCTCCTTTACAGCTCTTTAACATGAACTAAACCTGAAGCGCAAATCACCACAGTAACAGAACACTGAAGGTAATAAAGCAGCAAATCAGAGCAAATAGATGTCATCTGCTTGCTAAAGTCCATGTGATCCACCAGTTACTTAGATTGGTTTGCTTTTTCAACACTTCCTGTACAGCCAGCCTCACTTGCACCCTTCCTGTAAATGAGCATTCTAGTACATAAGGTAGATACACTGTTTTGCATCCACCTCACTTTGTCTTTTATTGACAGCGTATCTAGAAGCACACACGTGCTCTACTGGCCACCTTCAAGAAGTTCAAGCTGTTAGTCCAAGCTTCTGATCCAACAAGCAGTTGAATTTAAAATCAGGGTTCATCACTTGTTTCGACATCAGTGCTACCACTGTAAAGACTGCAAAGCTGGAGCATCTGTGTGACATTTAGCTTTGATTTCTTCTAACATATGCACACTTTTTACCTTGTATTGTTTGGAAACACAGACACAGACTCCAACAACTTGCAAGAAGCTTTAAATAGTCTCAATTAACTGATGTTAGCAGGATACATTTTTACATAGAGAAAAGTTTTGCTCTCAAGAGTTACTAAAAGTTTGTCCAAGAAAATATCCTTGCAAAATATGGAAACTGTATGATTTATGATAATTATCACAGAACTCTTCAGGACTTCAGTCAAGTTACAAAAGGAAATAGACATTACCTGATACCTTACCATAAATTCCTAATTACTATGTAGTTTTCAAGTGAGGACACACAAGCCTAATTTAAATAAACATTTATTGAAACTGATAGAACACCTTACCTGGTGTTGTGGGTTTACCCTTAGGTTCAGGTTGCACATGTGTTCCTTTGACTGGCTCTTCTTTGGACTGAACTGGTTGAGGCAAAGTTGATTTTGCTATTTGTGTATGCTTTTCAGTTTTCTGAGGGCTGCAGGGATTCTCTGTTAGCGGTTGTTGTACTGCAGATTCTTTAGAACAGGGAACAGTGACTCTTGAGAATCGTGTTAAATTGTTTGGATCCTTAACAAGGGGGAAAAAGGAATAACATTAAAATCAGACTGTACATTCTCATTCTTTCAAGAGGAAAATGAAAGCGTTCTGCACAGCATACTATAACATAACACACCTATTCCATCAACAACAGAGCTGAGAACAAGTGTTAGAAGCTCTCTGTAGATTTTTCCTATCCAGTATTTCAAACTCTTTCAGCATTTGATTCCAGGTGCTTTTCCCAGCTACTTTAGGTATCTTCCCACATGTCCCTAAACAAGACTGCGCATTGCAGATACTGTTATTTCATAAATGGCTAAGTTCAACAATAGGTATCTGGCACTACTAATTTCAGCATTCTAATTCAATTTTCATACAGCAATAACATTTAAGTCAATCAACCATATGAAGTTACCAAGCGAAACCCAGTATCTCTGCAGAAAGCTCCCTTCTGAAAGTCAAGAACAGCCACCAACTACTTTGACATCAACTTTTACAAGACTTAGAAATATTATGTTCACCCAAGTCTCAATAAAAGGGATTCTAAGCTGTTTCAGGTCTGCTATTAAAAACAGGCATGTGGGATTGCAATAAAGCAAAAGTTGTAAATTGACTCAGATTGCTCGCACCAAATCTTTAACTGCAGATTAAACAGCTACGAGTTGATATTCGTGTCACCCCCCCCCCCGATAGTCAAATAGATTTTTAATCAGCAGCTAAATCAGACACTCACCTCTATCTTTGAGTTTGCTGGTTTATTAATAGAAGCCTCAACAAGCCTCTGAGAACAGGATGCAGCTTCCTGCTTTACACTGCTACTATTGATTCTAGCAGATGCTCCACTTGTAGTGGACAATTTGGATAAACAAGTAGTGCCAGGCTGTTCTTGTGCATTGTTTTGCTTTGCAGATGGATGACTTAGGTCATCTTCCCAGGAACCAATTGTAGCAGCAAGGTTAGCTAACCGGCCTCTTCTCCCAATAGGGGTATCACTTGCCAGGGCATTAGATGCTTGCTTAGGTGGAGAAACAGGCAGATCCTTTGACTGGAGGGGAGACACAGGAACATATTCAGAGGGATCTGGAAAAAAAGAAAACACATTTATTTTGCTAACATAATGAAATATAGTTGCATCTTTTACATTTTGCTAAATATTGAGTTTATCAACAGTTAAATATTCTTACTGAGACTAATCAAGTTAAAGCTTATTACAAAGCAAATAAATTTGTAGCCAAGGAGTTTACTAGGTTTATGCCACTGTTGTGATGAGCAAGGCATCACACTAGGGTGGGGGAAATTAAAGTAAAAAATTAAGCTCCAGTCAGGTTTCATTATTTTAGGCCTTTCCCCAGTGCTGCACAAGAATTCTTTATGAAAACATTAGTATTCATACACACAAAACTATCTTCTGCTAGCAAACAATCATAGAACCACAGAATAGTTAGGGTTGGAAAGGACCTTAAAGTCGTCTAGATCCAACACCCCTGCCATGGGCGCCTCACACTAGACCATGTCACCCAAGACTCTGTCCAACCTGGCCAGAGTCATCAATGCAAACACTGAACACCACCAGGGCTGCTTAGTAAATGAAGCATACCCTCGCTATCCCAGCGGCGCCGCTGTTCTGCCAACCTCTGCATACGTGTTTTCACTGAAAGAGCTGCAGGAGTTTCCGATTCGGTGTTTGTTTTTCCTTTCTCAAGAGGCTGAAGCAATGAAGCTCTGTTAGAAGCAGTGATGTGCAACTCCGAAGTCATCTCAGGAGAATGCTGGCTTGTGGAACTTGAAGGAACTGGCTGTATGTTCTCTGAACTGGAAGACTGAGACTCCACATTGTCAGGGCAGAGCCTCTTTGACGGTGAGGGCTTTGTACCAGGTTTCACTGTACAGGTCAGAGTATTCAAACATATTAGTATTCAAAGAATCCTCAATATTTTTTCAGACAATACAGAATTGTAACACAAATAAAGTTATGGCTTAGGAGTAACTGATATGCCTCTAAGAAACCTGCCCTTCCCAGAACTATCAAGCACAAAGCATTATCTTTGGCAATATACAATTATTTTTAAATAGCTTTCTAATTACTTAAAGCATCTGCTCTCAAGTAAAGCTAAACATTAGCCATAATCAATCCTAGTGGTCAGGTAACTTCATCCATCACAATGGAAGATAAACACTAAGGGGTTTCACTTGCCCGTATAAAAAGAGATGGACTTGTAGCAAAAGACAATCTTTGTTGCATAATACCTTCTTCTGCAGGAAGAGGCACCTGGTTCCCAGTTTCTAACAAAGGCTCTCTGACCCTCTTGGTCTGCACTGTGGGTCTCGCTCCCATCTTGGGCCGCTCAGCCATTTTCTTCTGCAGGTTCTCTCGCCTGGCACGGGTTCTTTCAAGGAGTTTCTGAGTAGTCAATAAATCATGTGTTACTACTGTACAATGCAATAGGTGTGCTAACTAGTAATAGCCCAAATTAAAAAGGATTGAATTTTATATAGCATGTACCAAGATCCACAAGACCAGAAATTTATAGTTAAGGCTACATTAAGACAAATGCTGCTCTTGGATCTTGCTAACTGATCTACTGTGGCACAACGTGATCGAAACATTCAAAGTCTGGTTTTCTGTCTGGCTATCCCCACCTGCAAGCAGAATGAACAAACAGGTTTTCTACACTGCCAGCTACATGTTTTTTTCTGTCTGCCTCCTTTTGATCGCTGTGATAACCCCAGATCTTCATACTTCAACTTCACCACTGCAATACCCAGAGCTTCTCCTTGTTTTCAGCAAGTACCCGCTAGATAAAAGGTAGCTCACACTGCAGCACATTCCAAGCTACCTTCTTGCTATCTGGCCGATCAGTACAGGTTTGCAAGTTATCTGAAGTCTGGCCTACCAGACAGACAACAAGCTGCAGCATTTTCTTCACAGAGCCAAGGGTTTGGGTCTTTTTACCTAGCAACAAACTTCCATGAAGATTGAAGAAGCAGAGAAGTTTGAGACACCCATTTAGCAAGAGGTGAAGCCAGCTAGTAGGTTTCAAAGCTCCAGCCGTAAAATCAACTAGTGTCTCACATCAGTTTGGCTTTCAAAAGAAACCAGGCTAAAGTGACAAGAGCAATGTCAAAACTAAATAAAGAGAGCCTGAAGAAGGCAATCTTGAACTGTCAAGTCTTGCTAGTGGGTTATTTTGACACATTGCCAAAGTATATGGTCAAGTCACCCGTTACGCTAATCCTGTAACGAAATAAACAACATTCAAGTGGTTGCCAAGTGGTCATAAAAAAGTCATTAAATTAGAATTGTGGCTGTAAAAAAAAGAAAATAAAAATGTTGCTATTAATACCTTCTACATCAAGAGGTAAATTTCTCTTCCTCAATCATAAATTTTAATAGAAACATTAAAAGTTAAAACTAGCTTTCTTAATAAACAGGCTATTTATCATAATATGTCTGTAGACAGAAGAACATATAAAGTGATACCAACTAAGCTACCCAACAACATTCTCTTTCATTCCCTACCCATTTGATATTTGAACACTATGATCACATTCCATACAAAACAGCTGGTTTAGTAAACATACCACACTAGTAGAAACTGATTCCTTGTAGCACCAAGTTCAAAATAGATTGTGCTGGGTTTTTTTTTTGCCTTTGTTTGTTTTGGAGTGGGTGGGTGGGGAGGATGGTGTCTGTTTTAAATTCTGCATTCACGAATCATTTTCACTCTGTTTGATCACATCTGAAGGATAATTAATTACTCCTTTGATCTAGGTTTTAAGGTCTTTTGAGACAAGAAATTGTGTGAGTGAATTAATGGTCTTTTTGAAGGGAAGAATATAAACTGCACTTTTTTGGTAGCACGTAAATTATTTTGAGAACTGTGCCAGCCATTATCTGTCCTGTTGCACAGCAATTAAATCCACATTTCACATTTTTAACTGTCTAAGGCTGAAGTCTTCAACAATGTTCCATTGTAGGGCAACACAGGACAAATGGATGTCAATCTCAACAGCTCTTTGTGACCTTCCATAGAGGAGGATGATTTTGGAGAGAGGAAAAAAAGAAAGGGGGGGGGGGGGGAAAGGAGAAGGGGGCTGGAGGCAGGCATGAAATGCCAAGAGTGCCTTGAATTTAATTTTCATACTAGTTTGTCCACAAGTCCCCTTTCCTTGTTTCACCCTCAAAAAGATAAGACCTACAAAGCGCAGGTAACCCCCACTGGAATAAAATCTTACAGGCTATATACACTAACTGTTCTTCTTGCACAAAACTCAGTATATACTCCACAACACTATTCATACAATTCTATTCAAATACAGTCACACATTCCTTTCTGTTTTGTTAGTTCAGTAAAATGGGGTTTCAGTTGCTACAAATAGGATGTCACTTCCCAAGAATGCACGCCTCTGTTGTTGAACTCCAGCTCCTATTGGCTTTTGGTATCTCAAGTTTTCCATGCAACCGCCATAATTCAAACTCTGCTATTACACATGATGAGTAAGCCAGTCACCAGAACTCAAGACCTACTTTTCAGGTTCATCAACAGGGTATTTGCTACAAGTACCTTCTTCAAGTGTTCTGAAACTCTGGCTGTCATCAGAGGAGGACATATCTATTTCTTTACATCTACAAGCCTGAGAACTACCAAGTGGAAGTTAGAGGATCATGTTTTATATGGCAAAAACAGCTTCTAAAAATCAGATGAAGTTTTCCCACTTCAAATGCTGATGGACAATCTTGGTATTAAAAATGTATGTTTCAAAGAATATATTTTGCACCTTTAGAAAAGATACTCAGGCCCCCATGTGATTACCAGAATTTGTTCTACCTTGCTTTACAAGCAGAATGCAGCAAAGGGAGCAAGTTTAGCCACGACATTGAAGTAACAGTTAACTTCAAACTTCACATATGAAAATTTTCCTCTGAGCAACTGCATCACTTATTTCTCTTTGGCCATCCTCCATGCTAGGAAACCACACTCTGCTCTATGAATGTTAGTAAGTACTTCCAAGTACAAAATAACCTAGACTATCTCTCTAACATTCTGGAGTAACAAAGCCTTTTCTGCAAGAAAGGTGAATTATACAATCAGCTATAAACTGAAAGCCACAAATAGTATGTACATTATGATTCTAAAAAAGAATCCACTGCACCACCTCCTCTGTGCACTCTGTATTAATAATCTGGTTAAATTCAGAAGAGTATTAGTTTTTGCTTGTAAGCCGAATCAAAAGAAACATTATTTCAGAACTGTCTGATTTTAAAGCATTCAACTGAGTCTTAAAGCAAGATTTATTTGAGCTTAAATTCAGTGAGACCAGGGCAAAATTTGTTGCTGTAAAGTGATGAGCAAACACTGAATTAATAGCATGCTTTGGCCACTTAAGGCTTGAATTACACTGCTTTACATGACCAGCACTTACAATACACTAATATTGGTTAGATTTTTACACAGCAGTGGAATGCCCTCCGCGGCATATCCAACACTCTTGATAAGGCAACATTCTAGGCACTCTGCAATGCTAGCCAACGTTTGAATGAAGTTTACTCAAAGGAGTGGCCTCACAGTTGGCCATTGCTTTTCCAAGTCAGTTACCTACAAGAAGGGTGTGCTGAGGTTGGAATACTTCCCAGCACGCCAAACCACTTTGAATTTGATTGAGTCAGCCGGACTTGAAGTTTATTTAAAACAAGTCAGATCATGTCACCCACTACCAATTAAGGAAGGAGGTTTTAGATGTTTATACTCGGCAAGACTTTACGTGAGGGTAGGGTAGATCTGCCTTGGTATAATGTATTTAGTTAATATGTTCAGATCAATACCTTAAACCGTATCTGTGCAGTCACCTTTTTTGGACACTCAGTTTATTTAAAGCTTCATATACAGGTTGTTTTCAAGGGGAGGGGAGAGTATTTCCCCAAGCTACTCCATTTGGGGTTACTTTCAAGAGCAGTTTGGGTTTTTGCTTAGGCAGGCTGCTTATTGAAAGCCATCATTACTCAAAGCAGTCACAGGACAGCTCTGCAAGGTGCCACAGACGTGTGACATATCAACTCAGGGTACAGCACAGCATCTCTAAGAAACCTCCAACCTTTACACAGACTGAAACTGGCCAATTGCACTCATTCTGTTACAACTTTGCCCCTGTAAAACCCAAATGCACACACACACAAATCCACCCTAATGACAACTTCGTTTCCTTTTTCAAACAAAAGAGGAACTGTGCCTGCCAATGAACCTGACCAGTGGCAATTCTGTCTAAAAGGACGCATTTTAAATCAGATTAAGCTCCTGCTTTGGGCAAACCTCACGCTCAGCCTTCAGATGTGGCAGGCACAATGCGAGTCAATATCACTCCCGTTAGCTTCCAGGGCTCCTAGTTTCAGCCGAGCGTCTTATCTGCCAGAGACACATGACAAGCAAACACTAAAGCGCCAGGAAACGCGGTCAAGGATCCGCTCAGAAAAGGGCCTGTCCCTCGCAAACCCTTGCATGAATAACCTGGAAGAGCCCTGACGGCCCACAAGCAGCAGCAATACGAGGGGGCTGCAGGGAGCGAGCCTCACAAGCCCACCACCCCCCGGCAGCGGGGGTGAGGGGCGCTGACAGACCTCACCCAGGAGCCGGGGCTGGGAGAACCTCTCCCGCCTCAGGACCCGCTCTCACCTCGGTGAAGGGATCCATCGCTGCCGCCTCCGCCGCGCTCCTCCGGGCCGCCCGCAAGCACCAAATCTCCACCCCAACCGCTCCCCGCGTTTGAATTTCAGCGCCCGCCACAACTGCGCACGCGTGAGGCGGTGGCGCGCGCAGGCGCTCCCGTCAGTCAGGTTGATTGGCAGGAGCGCCAGCCAATCAGACGGCAGCCTGCCCTGCTCGTCCCGCCGGCTCCGTGCCGGGTGAGGGAGGGCCGGCAGCGGGAGCGGGGCTCCCGAGCCCCTGGCGGGCTCTGGCCTGACCCCTGCTGGCGGTCCTGTGCGCTGCGCGCAGGGAGCGCGGCCCGCCACAGCGGCCTGCTCGCCGCCTCAGCTGGGCACAAGCGGCGGGTTCATGGAATCATGGAATGGTTTGGGTTCGGTTGGAAGCCACCTTCAAAAGTCATCCCGTGCAACCGCTCTGCAGCGAGCAGGGACATCTTCATCTAGAGCAGGTTGTCCAGAACCACATCCAGCCTGGCCTTCAGTGTCTCCAGGGATGGGGCATCCACCACCTCCCTGGGCAACCTGAGCCTGAGTGCTTTCACCCTCATGGTAAAGGATTTCTTCCTCATGTCCAGCCTGAATCTCCCACTTTTAGTTTATTACCCCTCATCCTGTCACAACAGCTTTTCATAAACAGAAACCGGAGGCTCTTACCTCCGTTACAAGTAGGGCATCACTGCCAGGTTGACCCCACCGTTGCGCAGGAGCGGTGCCAACCAACAGGGTTATCCTTACTGCCCCAAAGGACCAAAGAAAGCCAGGCCTTTTCAGGAATGGTGCTGTAAAATTGCTACACCATTCATTGTCTGCATAATGGTGGGGGTACAGCCTGTAGCAATGGAATTTCCAGTCAGGGGTCTTTTTCTTCATTAAAAGTATTTGCAACTTACGCAATAAAATAAATAAATTTTAAAAAATATTTTAAAAATCAGCTAATGTTTCACAATGGGAAGGCCTAAGGAAAAAGAGAGGGAAAGAAAGGAATGCCGTGTTGAAATCAGCAGAACAATGAGCTGGCTCTGCCTGCAGAACAGCACTAGATGTTATGCCAGCCTTTTGCATTCAAACATTATAAATTGCCCCCTTCACTGTCTCCTTAACCCCATGTGATGTGGTTTAAGATTGCTTTTTGCCAGGGGTAAGCTAATGAAAAGTAATCCCTTCCAGAACAAGAAATAACACAATACAGAGTACTTGGGGAATGGGTTTTGCTTGCTTGCAGTTTTCATGGAAATTGAGAGCATGGGCACAGAATGCAGTCATTTGGCTTTTAACATGGCAAGAAAAACATTTTTGCTTCCCCAGGTTTTCCTTCAGCAGTTTTTAAAGCATATTCACTGTTTTCAGGGGTGTATTTTCATTTTCAGAAGTTTGCATTAGCACTGTAATGAGAATGGAGCAATTTTAACTAACAAGGAAAGGACTAGCCAAAGGTTTTGTAGCTCTGGCTTCCTTACAATACCAATACAATCACAAATGCAAAACACTGTAGGTGAAAATGCTGATTTTGGTGTATTCCACTGTATAGATCCATTCTGGAATCCTCAGGTAATATTTCCGAAAGCGTTCTTTCTAATGAGAAATGGAGTTCATTCTTCTGATTCCAAAGGGAAGATGAACAAGATGCTTCCTTTGATTGACAGCAAAATCTCAGTAATACACTCAGAAAATACACTCTTCTGCTAATCACTTGCTGTCATGATTCTGATACTTATGTCAACACTGGTACTATGATTGCATAAGATGCCATAGAAAGGAGAAGCAAATGTATAGCCTAGGACACAATGTCGTGCATCATTATTTCTGGTTTATAGTTTCATTAGCATTAATTCTTCCTAGTGACTTCAGACAAAGGCTTTAACCCTGGGGAACAGGCAAACAGAGCTTCCTGAGGCTGTGCCACCAGCACAGACATCCCTTTCCCATATCCCACCATCTTTTTGCCTCCAGTGAATCCTGGAGGATGTATGATGCAGGTCTGACTCTGTGTCTTGATGCCTAAGATGAAGCTGGGCTGTTACGAAACTCCCTTCTTCACAAGCCCTGCACCAGGACCCCTGTATAAGGGAACCCTGCATTAAAGAAGAGTGGTAAGAACATAATATCCATCCTTTCCTCATTGATTCTAACATGAAGACCAAACTGTGCCCTTGGATTGTGCTGAATATCCCAGCATGCCAGAGACTTGGCCTGCAAAAAGGCCATTTCACCCACGTCTGGAAGGTTGGTAGACCATAGGTAGATAGATAGAAGGGCTGGTCTATCTTATGGCAAAACACAGCAGTTTGGATTAATCTGTATTTCCTATTGCAAATACTACGTAATCAGGAACAATTTTGATGGACAGCATTTAGGATCTCTGTGCCAAACCAAAGCTGATTAAATTGCTTTTGTGTGCTCCTATGATAATCACAGAGGCAACATAGGCTGACATTATCCAGTAAAGGAATATATTTAGGTCAGGAATAAGACAGGTTTCCTAAGTAATCCAACGTGTGATGTGGATTTAAACTAGCATTGCTGAGAGCACATCTCTCTTCTAAGAGCCCCACTAGAAAAACAGATGAGCAGCTCAACCAGACTTAAAGAACGCAGCCACTACAAGCTTGACTTTCAGCTGGGACTGTGCTTTACTGCACCAAAAGGCTTCATTTATTACATTACCTTGGTAAGTGTAGTTGGGGCGGAAATCCTTTAAACTGGACATTTGCTAGGGGGAAATATGCTGTATTTTCAGAAAGTACAGACTGAGTTTCAAATAGTGTGAATTTTATTTGTTCCCTTGCTTTTCATTTGTTAAATAAGGGAGGTTCTCAAGAAAATGCTGGCTCAATGTAAGGCATTTATATTAAAGGTTGGAAAAGCACACTGTCATTTATATTTTACACTAAATTGCTGTATGATGACATGGATGCATTAGTGTCAACTGTTGTCAGAGCTCCCTCATATAACTGAGGGAATCTGAAATCAAAGCACACAATGAGGAGAAAGAAAGAAAAATAAATAAGGGAGGATAACAAAAGAAGAGAAAATATGTTAAAATAGAAAAATACAGAAGCAAGGAACGAGACAAAATTCATATTTCATTAACAAGAGGTAGCTGTCAAGTGGACTCAGTTTCTGGGTGGTTGAACTCTGCATTTTTACAAGGCTGTGGGAGTTAAGAAACATTTGCCTGTCATGCACGCTGAAAAGATTTACTGAGTTCATAGTTTTCCTAGTATAATATTGCATTTGTGTCGCTAAATCACAGAAAGTTTCTCAGGCCCTCTCCTGACTGATTTACACAAGAGATGGGGAATGAGACTTCCTTCTTTTATGTTTCAGTTACAAAATACCCCCTGTTCTTTCTTATCCATATGGTGCAGCTGTACCATTTGCTGACAGAATAATTCTGCACCGGAGCAAAGGGCCTGAGCGAACTTCAATGCCATTATGTTCATTTAGACCATGATGTTAATTTACAGTACCTGAGACTGGCAACTCTGCGGCGTAATGCACATGGATTCATCAGATCATCACATCAGCAATTTCACCAGCCAAATTGTAGCACATTTTAGATCCTTGAAATCATTTTCTGGACGATGGAAAAATGAGGAGATTGTTAAAAAATACATTTTTCACCAAAAAAAGTGTTCTTACCAGCTCTAGTTCCTTTAGAACTTGCAGTTCCTGGAAGACTCGTTATGCTGTAAGCTTCAAGCAGTGCTGACCTCATTCTTGCCATCTTCTTCTCATATTTTAAATGATTAAATGAAACTACAGAACACAGGTAAAATAAATCATAAATCATGCATGAGAATGTTACCTACAATATTACCTTAAAGTTTTTAAAACTAAAGTAGGTGCTCCAGCATACATAGCCTGTATGCTTTGGAACGGAAAGGGCTGAGTGCATGAAATGGGTTTTACATGAGTTCATGACATTTTTTTCTTTACTTTCCATGTTATACCTCTGAACAAAAATCCATCCAGGAACATGAAATCTTTTCTGCAACAGTAGCATGCTTACACTAGAGGGTGCTCGTTAGACAGGATTTGGGGCTTCTTAGGGAATTGCTTTGGAAATCTCTTTTTTTCAATAGCTGGGGAAAAAATGTACGTGAAGTAAAAAGCAGTTGTTTTTAGAGGGAGAAATAATACTGAGATTGGAACAAACACAATTAAAATGTATCAGGGATGATATTTCCCATACACATACCCATGAGGGACACTGCCAGTATACATTTCACTAGAGACTACATATATAATTACATTGAGGCTCTGTTAACAGATGAGTAATCTGTAATATTTCAGTCTGCTTTTGCTTAAAACTCTATTATGACGTGGAAAATAGATTAACTAATGGAATATGAAAATAAGATCATGGCTGCTTGGTAATGAGGGACAGAAACATCCAATGGAATAAAACAACAGTCTGTAGAAGCAGTCCATAGTACAAATACAGCCTCACTGAACGTCTGGTGTGATATGATGGAGGGTTCTCTCACCTTACAATAAAGCATGAAAGAAGGTAAAGGGAACGGAAATAAGCCAAGAGGTTAGTTTAAGATGGTGTGTGCCCTGCACTGCCCCTCACTCAGAGATTCTGGAGCTCCATCTCTGGGACTCTAGTAACACCCTGATAAAGTGGTACCCAGGGAATCCCAAAAAATCTGACATGAGATGGAGGAGAATGAAGTCTGAAAGGAACTCTGTCTTGGATCATGCTTCTCCCAAGCTTGAACACTATTTCTGTCAGCTGGATTTGTCACTGGTACCACTTGAAAGGTAAGAAAGCCCCAGCTGGTTTATAGTCCTGTCTAACCCCACAGACTTTGCAGGAACCTGCAAGATAAAGCTAGGTAGCAGTGCCAGGCTTGTACTTGGAAACTGGAAAAAGAAAGTGGGCTTACAACTTGGGTTCTGCTCCTCATCAAGTCCAGTGCTTCTCCTTCAGAACAGGACTTACCAGAAGATCACCTTCTCCAGGCCTGGCAAACCCATCTGCTCTGCAGGTCCTGTCCTAAGTGGGAGAATCTGGATATCCCGTGAAATGAAATGCTTTGATGAAGAAGTACATCATCGCTCTTTCCCTGGTGGGACTTTGCCATTGAGGTCAACTGTGGTAAGTCATCCTGCTCCCAGCACTGGTGCTCTGCCGGGCCCTGGCATACCGGTGAGGCCTCTCTCTCCAAAGCACCATGCAGTCATACCTACTACTGCACAAAACACTGCATGGTGTTTTGTGTTTCTGGGATATCCCTACTTCATTTTCTACATCTGCTGTAGAGCCTGGACCAGCAAAAAATAGGGGATCAGGTAGACAGGGTGGAAGAGGAAGCGATAAGGAAATGAATGGCAATAGTGGAAGGAACACTGCACTTTTCTCAGGTTAAGAAAAAAATGAAGTCCCCACCTGATCAGCCAAAAATCAAGTGATATATTATTGAGAACATGTATGTTCTTGCATGAATATGAAAACATTTGCTTTTCAACCAATATTATCCCAGCACCACAGAGGAGTTGACAGACTTCAAAAGGCCCAAAGATAAAGTATGAGCATTTGTAAAAATCTCATTCTTTGGGGACAGATTGTCACTAGCCCCGTGCTGCCTGACTTGGCATTGTGTTGCCACAGCAAGGTATCCGTGACTTGCCTGCAGGGGTTTGCAGTTGGGCAGGCAGCCTCCTCCGCTCGGGCTGCCTGCCAGTCCTGCCTGCCCCTGCCCAAGGCAACAGCCTGCCTTTCTCAGAAGGACCCCTACAGAGACAAGGCATTGGTTAGAGGAGGAGAGGTCAAGAGGGTTATATGGGTCCATCAGTCCATAAGGAGGCACATGCTTTACCATGACTGATGTATTTATACAACCCAGCTCTCTGACATAGAAAAGCAGAGTCTTTTTTTTCTTACTAGGTGTAAGTGCATTTGTCAGTGTACAATAGATATCTCTGATTTTTTTCCCTGTATATCAATGGACAACAGTCAACTATATTCATAGCTTCATATCCTGAGGCTCTTACATTGCTTTCACTTCTCTGAACTTTACTGCAAGGCTTGTCTGCTGTTTGTTTCCCCTTGTTGGGCTGGATTTATGGTATTGAGCCTCCTTAGCATAAAGCAGGAACAAATTTAGTGGATAAATCTGACTACTGGAGCTGTATCAAGTTGTGCTCTTCAAGGCATCTTAAAATAGCAGTCCCATTGAGTAAGACTATGAGCAAGCAGCACCCACAAGCATGTGCTGCCTTTGCTGTGTACTAGAAACGTAGATCAGACAGCAGTGTTAGACATCTCAGGAGTTTCTAGAAAGAACATGGCTGGAAGGATGGTCAGTTGGAGTCACTTGGTCAATGAAATTGTTCAGTCAGAGGATACTCAGCCAGCTAGGAGCCATGAAGTCAGGAAGGGGAGGCTAACCTTGCCACACTGATGGCCCTGAAGCTCTGCCAAATTACATAGAGTTAGGTAAGGACTCTCATCTTTCCTTCTTGTCAGTACAGAGAAGCAGAAGAAAGATGTTGATGTGAATATGGGGGAGGAATGAAATAAAACCGATGTTAAAATAAGTGTCTCTCTATACATGTATACGTGCATTTAAAACCCAAATGCACATATATGCATATATATTTATATGTGTGTTTGCTTGAACTGTGCAGTGTTAGCTTGTGACAGATGTAGAGATGTATCACTGCTCTTCCAGACTGTACATGTTGCAGAGCTTATTGATAATCGGACACAGCAGGTGGTAGCTATAAAAATCATAGACCTTGAGGAGGCAGAAGATGAAATAGAAGATATACAGCAAGACATAACAGTTTTAAGTCAGTGTGATAGTTGTTATGTAATTAAATACTATGGATCATATTTAAAGGGCACAAAACCATGGATAATAATGGAATACTTGGGTGGAGGGTCAGCTTTGGATCTTCTGCATACTGGCCCATTTAATGAGCTACCAGATTGCTACCATGCTAAAGGAGATCTTGAAAGGTCTTGGCTACCTACACACAGAGAAGAAAATCCACAGGGATATAAAAGCTTCCAATGCCTTATCAGAAGATTCCTAATAATATTCCTGTATTGCTATAAAGACACTCTTCTGCATGCATGACATTGCAGTATTTTTGACTGGGCGAATATGAAAGGCATAACCAGGTAAATCTGCAGTTATCTCTGGAAGTAACATTATGTTGAAGCTGAAGTACAAGATGCATGCCAGGTTTACTCTGTCTCCTAGCAATGGAAACGATACAAAGATATAGATCTATTTGTATTATGGAACTGTGTTGTTTAAGCTGCATTCCACAGTGTGGCTCACCTAAACCTTACCATTTGTCCCCATGTCCCCTCAGCTTGCTGCAATGGATCTGTGCCAGCTGCACTGATGGCCACCAGGAATGACAGAGTAACTCATCTTTTTCCCACTGTCCGTCCAACAGACTTGCAAGCTAAGATGCTTTTGAGGTCAAAACTCCTAGATGTACGTTAAGTACATACATAGAATTCTTGTCATATTGAGATACTTTGTAATGTTTTTCTTGCCTGAGTTTTCCACCTTATGCTTTTAATCAACAAACGTGACAAACCTTGCTGAGAGCCAAAGCAGCAAACAGGGGCAGGTGGCCTTTTAGCATCCCTCCTCTGTGCCTTCTGCTGCTGCCTTTGGCATCCTCCTGGTAGAGCCAGGAGGCAGCATGACCTAACAAAACCTTCAGGTCATTCTGCGAAGGAAAAATGCTACTGGGAAAAGAAAATAGAAAGCAGAGGCAGCAGATTCAGTGGTGATGGAATCTGAGCACGAGCACTCAGTGAAAAAGGTCTCATGGACACCAGGGAGAAGTAGGTAGGATATAAGAAACATGGAGAGAAGGCACCCACTGGAGAGAGCAAGGAGGAGGAAGAGATGTATAAAATACACATCAAAAGCTGGAGTTCCCAATTTCATTGCTATGGCTTCCAAGCATGTATAAAGTTATCATCTCCAAGAGGAGAATTTAGGCTCTGTACAGCAAAACCAGGGGGAAGTTGTGGGAAAATGGTACATGGGCTTTATGCATTAGTAGCAATCTTTCATTCCTGCATCTGCTGTGCTGATTATTTGCAGTGCTTGAACTATTTTGGTTCGTTGGGGTTTGTGTGTGTAATTGGCACATATCACAAGCAAACTCCAACCCAGCAGTGATAACTTTGTCTCTCTAAATTTAAAAGTGTTTATTCAGCTCCTGCAGTTGGAGATTTGGAGACAAGCCTGGTTCAGATTCTACACTGTTAGCAAAGTACTTTAGAGGGTATTTCAGGTTAAACTGAGACATGTTGACAGAGCATATCTCTTCTCTCTTCCTCAAAGAACTCCAGTTAAAAGGGACATCAAATTTGTCAGCTAGGTGGTAGAAGCGTGTTTCAGCTCTAGGTCTTCATTAGCAGACAGAAAAATGACACCTCAGTTTTTTCATAACACACCTCAGTCTTAAGAGTGCCTTTGTGAGGCAGTAATAATGTGAAAAGGTGTACTTTAAACTCTTTTTTCTCAGTCATTGCCTTTGAAGAGTGGCGTGAAAGCAGACAGAGCTCTCTGATGAACATCCACTCACTTCTGATAGGAAAGACTCATGAAGTAAAGTAAATTTTCCAGGTAGGACACAGAAAGGAGTTCTCAGAAGTATCTGAGCTATTATCTGTGGAATTCCCATCTCTGCTACACGATAACACGGCCAGATCTTATACCTTACAGAACAGTGTTATGGAATGTATGTGTACAGTCCACTGCAAGTATGAATTTATTGATGGGAGGGAAGGTGACAGGCTTTTACACCATTCAACCAAAGCAGCACACAACTCCCTGGCTCTCATCACCCTGGCAGATCACTACATTCACATAATGTATATTGAGCACTGTTGTGCTGTTAGGTCACTTTCAGTTAAGTTGCTTTCTCTGCTAAGTGTTGACCATTCAGAGAAGTAAATGCATGAACAGACTAAAACACATTCTTGTGTAGTATGACTTCAGCAATGTCCTTAAGCCTGCAGGAAGAGTACAGAATCTTCCTACACCATGCCTACATTAACTGGTTACAGAACTGTAACTGCTAAGATAGAATAACTCGTTCCTATTTGATGTGCAACAGGCACTTCAAGATGCGCACATTACATTTCAAGGAAAGGTTTCACAAGCAAAGCAACAGATTGCAAAACAAGTAGAGCAACAGACGGCCACAGTGTAAAGCCTATCTTCTGCTTTAAATTCTGCTTACTACTTACCAGTGTTTGATAACCTTCTTCTTTACTAAAACTGGTTATTGCCCCAAACTGTTGCTCTGGTGCAATCCCTCTGTTCTCCTTAACAAGTGACAACAGGCACAAGCCCTGCTGAGCGCCCTTATCCCATGCAGCCCTTTGTCTGCCAGCCTTAGCCTCAACAGATAATTACCAATCAGACCAATTATCAATCACAATGATGACAGTCAGTATTTACCGATGCGTTGCGGCGCAGTCACTGAAGTCGGTACCAGTTGTACCTGCTGGACTCCAAGGATAATATCAGGGGTGAACCCGTGCTTGTCGCGACCCGTCAGGCCAAGCCGTCCCGGTGGCAGTGGGGCTCTTCTGGCGGTGGGCTGAGTGCAGCTTGGAGCCGCTGTCCCCCCACAGATACCTCCCGTCTCCCGCACTACAACTCCCAGGATGCAGCTCGGGCGCCGCCCTGCGCAAGCCCCGATTGGCTGGCGCAAGGGATGCCGGGACTTGTAGTCTGCGGGCTGGGCAGGGTCTCAGCTCCGCGCCCGCGGCTCCTGCCGGCCTGGCCGCGTCGGGTCGGGCCGGGCTGCCGGGCCCAGCGGGGCTCAGTCTCCCGTGTAGCGGCGGGGCCGAGCCGCCTTCGGTGAGGCTCGTCCGGCGCGGCTCGCTGGCTCCTTCCCCGCCTCTCCTCAGGGCTCCCCGCTCCTCCCCGCGCAGGAGGCGGGAGCCCGCCGCGCAGGGGGAAGGCAGCGGGGCAGAGCGGCGGCGCTGCCCGGACGAGCACCATGCTGGAGTCCATCCGTGTCACCGGTGAGTACCGTCCCCGGGGGGCCTCAGCCGGGCGGGACCGGCGCACCGGGGAGAGGGGCGAGGCCGCGGGGCAGCGTGCAGGTAACCGGCCCCTCCCGGAACAAGACTCACCCGAGGAGGCGCCGAGGGGTTCAGGGGCGGAGGGAACCTGCCTGCCCCGAGGGAGGACGGCGGAGCGGGAGCCCCGCAGATGAGCGCGGACCGGCGGGGCGAGGGGGAGGCGATGCGAATGAGGATGCTGATGAAGGCGTGCCGGGTTGTGTCAGGTGGCTCTCACACCCCTCTCCTCACCAACTGTCAGACAGGTTAACAGATCCTAACGGTATATGTATAGAAAAACTTGTGTTATGTTATAGGTGACCTGCACCAGGTGGCCCTGCCTTGCGGGGGGGGTTGGACTAAGTGATCTCCGAAGGTCCCTTCCAACCCTAACGATTCAGTGATTCTGCATACATGGTACATAGGAAAACCTTCAGTACAGCTGCTGCTGCAGAGAGTGTTTTCACTCTGATCTTTTCCGTGTTTAGGTTTGACATCATTTCCAAGCACAACTACAGGCTGAGTAGACTGCACTGAGAGCAGCCCTGAGTGGGTCTTGGGGGTGTTGGTTGATGGGAATCCCACCCTGCAGTGAGCATTTGAGCCCAGAACCCCCCATGTGCTGGGATGCACCCCCAGAGTGTGAGCAGCAGCTCAGGGAGGGGATCCTGCCCCTCTGCTGTGCTCTGGGGATACCCCCCTGCAGTCCTGATCCAGCTCTGGGGCAGCAGCACAGGAGGGATGTGGAGCTGTTGGAGCGAGGCCAGAGGAGGCCACGGAGATGCTGCGAGGGCTGGAGCAGCTCTGCTCTGGAGCCAGGCTGAGAGAGCTGGGCTGGGTCATCCTGGAGAAGAGAAGGCTCCTGAAGGGGAGACCTGAGAGCAGCTCCAGTGCCTGAAGGGGCTGCAGGAAACCTGGAGAAGGGCTTGGGACAAGGGATGCAGGGACAGGCCAAGGGGAATGGCTTTAACCTGCCAGAGTGGAGACTGAGATGAGCTCTTAGGCAGAAGCTGTTCCCTGGGAGGGTGCTGAGGCGCTGGCACAGGGTGCCCAGAGAAGCTGTGGCTGCCCCATCCCTGGCAGTGTTCAAGGCCAGATTGGACGCAGGGGCTTGGAGCAAGCTGCTCTAGTGGAAGGGGTCCCTGCCTGTGGCAGGGGTTGGACACTCGATGATCTTTAAGGTCCCTTCTGACCCAAACCAGTCTGGGATTCTATGGTATTTGAGTGGGTGGGAGTAAGACTCAGGTTAAATGTCCAGTTCCCAACATCCTGCATCTCTAGTTAACTAACATGCTGTGAAAGTAGAAAACAGTTCAGCACCAGTCTATGTACAGGGGCTTACTGACTAATTCTACAGCTAAAACATTTTCAGTCATTATGGAGAGATGAGATGTTCCAGTGCTGTCAGATCAAGTTGCCTGACACTGCCTGGTCAAAGCTTGAGTGTCTGTAAATCTTAAAGGTGTTTATAAATCTTAAAGGTGTTTATAAATCTTAAAGGTGTTTATACAGGTGAGGAAATACACTACCAGATTCTGTTATGCCGCAACCATAAGCCTGTGATGGCTGAGAGGCAGTGGAACGTTACAGATTCATATACAACACACTCTGTTGCCTGTTTCTTGCAGAATAGTCTTTTCTACAGCCCTCTGCACCCACAAACCACACAGTCTGGAGCTCATAAACCACAGGTAGTTGTTAATCTATTTATATTAGCTGAATATTGACAAATATTTCTCTGTAATGTAATTGCTCAGTTGCAGTGTGTCAGAGAAGGGATCTTGTCACATCCATGCATTTTCTGCTCTCCGTCTCAGACTTCGGTGTCATTACTTGCAGACAGCTCTCATACATTATTTACAGTTCTGTCAGTCTGAAAAGTGAACCTATTGGAAGCAGTTTCTAATTTGGACAAGAAATTCAAGTGTAATGATAATGGTGAGCTAAAAACCAAAAGCAGTGGCTCAGACCATGGCATTCCTGGGATAGCGGGAACTGCTCCGAGAACATCTTTGCTAAGCACCTTAAGAATCATACCTCCAGTTTGGTAAGGATTTGGCCGTTTTGCATATGTAACCTGAGTGACAACTACTTGAAAACCACAGGAGCTCTCTACTTCTTTTAGAGCAAGGTTAGCGGGACAGAGAGCGATCTGTACCCACAGATATCTATGATGAACCTCATTCCACCTTCGGGACAGGTATTTAAGAAGCTACCCAGTAGTGCAGAGGAAGATTTTTCTACAACACTCTCAAAGTCTGGAAAAACATCTTACATTGTGATTTTACCACAGTATTATTAACATGATAAGATATGCTCAGTTCATCAGTTTCCAAAGGATGGAGACAAATAATATAACGTAGGTCCCAAATAGAACATAAAATCCAACACTTCTCTTAATCTCTGACAAGATTAGGCAGTGTCTATGGTTACAAGATTCAAAGTTAATGTGACTGGGGTGCAACTTAGACATGGAGAGGATTTCATTAGTGCAGAATCATAATGAGATCTGTGGTTCCCACATATCCTCTGTTAGCAGTCTTCTCAAACACAGCTGTCACGCTGGAATAGCTGCACGTATATAAATGAACTTACCTTATGGGGTAACATAGTCCAAACACAGTGGATCTGAAGAGAACTCTGCCCAAGACAGACAAAGTTTCTATTGAACAGGAGGGTTTTCTGTCCTTTAGTACTCTAAAAATGCCAAAAAGGGGAGAGGCAGCTCTTCTGCCCCTCCTCGCTTCCTCACATCATCACTTTCCACGTTTCATTTAGCAATTCACCTGTCTCTAGGATCTATGTTTTTATTGTTGTGTTGTTGCAGAGAGGAACAAAATATCATTAAATGGAAGTAAACATAATGGGAAGTCTTTTGGGGAGAGACTATGCCTGTTTTATAGTGCGTGTTTTTAACTGTTGAAGAATTTTGAGTGTTTGGAAGCAAGGGCAATGAAGACAATCTGTGTACGTACATGACATGATTTGAGGGAGGTTCTCAAAGGTAACCAGAGGCTTGGGCATTTGCCCTTTGATGCTTTGCTGCTGCAAAATCTGAACTGTGTAAAGTCAGGAAGTTCAGATTTGTGGATGAGATACCAAAGATAAAAGCTACATGATCTGTAGCATGATGTGCAGGACAGTGTTATGCAATAGTACAATGATGTTCATTTTCGTCCCTTTTACAAGTAATCTGTTCTGTGGCATCCAGATTTTACAAGATGGAAATCACTGCTAGCCAATCTGTGTAATTAATGGGAGTTGATAATCCTTTCTCCAACAGGCTGCTTTATAGCAGCAGTACAATACCTCAGTACATTTTGAAACACAGAAGCACATTTTCAGAACACGGGCTGTGCAATGAATGGGGCTTATATTCAGAACACTAGACTCCTGTTTCAATAACCAGGCATTGATCCTTGAAAACTCTTGGATATAGTTGAGTTTCCTGGAAGAGAGTGTGGTTTTAGTTTGGTTGACATGTCTGACTGTTAAAAATGATCACTATTACAGATTAGTGTACTGGAGAAAGAACTTTCAGGTTTACTGATTTGTAACATGATTTTGACATTGTCTCAAGCATTATTTTCTAGTTTATTTTGTAAAATAATGATGTGCACAGGACCAATCAAAAAAACTGAGTTAAGTGACTTATGTGAGAAGTGCAGTGTTATTTAATATAATCTCTCAAATCCAATGGATTAGCACTGAGTCTGGGTTTCTAGCACAAATATGCATCAAACTGTATCCTGCTTTAGTCAGGAGGAAATTAAGGACACGCTTAGTTTGGCAGCTGAAAAAACACTTTGCTGTGAGATTGTACATACAAAGTAACTACAGAATTGGGGACAACTATTTTTGATATCAGCCATGTGCACATGAAACCTGCCAGCGCGTGTTCAGCTCTTGACCACCACTGATGACACTGGCAGGAGAATTAACATCACTGACTTGTGATACTCAGTCACAAGAAATTATCTCGCTATAACTGCATTTATTACCAGCCAACTATACTTCTTACCTCTGAAAGCTTACTATCAGGAGATTTTGGTACTGGATCAACACAAGAGTTTGAGGATGTTAAGGTAATTTTGAGTTGTTTCTTTGAATTCTGTTTTCTATTTATCACTTCCTAGATACAAGTGTGGTATTAATTCAAATTATTCCCAGTGCAGTAGTAATTTAATTGATTAGTACAGAAGGTGAAGCACTACCACTGCTAGCGTTACATTATTATCTTGCCTGATTTAAGAAGTAGCTGTAATTTCTTGCTTCAGTTTTATCTACAGAAGCAGTCACATGCTCAGAAATTTAACATTTCTGTACTCAGCCGTTCTGGAAACCTTGCTTTTCATTTGCCCTTCTTAAAAGTAAGGGTTCTCCTACGATAATAACTGGGAGAGGTCTGAAGTCCATCTCAAATCCTTGTGAGAGCAGCCATCCTATTCTGTTATCTCGTTTTAGGGTAGTTGTTTTGATACTGTGATGGGAACTGTGGTTTCTTACCATGACAGCTCATGGTAAAGCAGGATAAGCCATGTAGGCAGGTGGTCACATATGTGATGAGTATGATCTGACAGAAGTTGAACAGGAATGCCAAGGACTACACCAAGAATAGAAAGAGAACTCGCAAGCTTACCGTGAAACAAAACTGACCTTGCACAAGATGTGCATGCTTTAGTGAAAGAGAATAATCTAATGCTTCTATCTCTCTCTTCCCAGTGGAGGAAACACCCAGGCTGCAGATTCCCCATCGCATGTCTGGCAAACAGGACCTCTGTCTCTTTGCTTTTCAGGGCAGCATCTTCACGAGAACTGGGGAACACAGATGGACATGAATGCAGAACTTAGAGAGTATGAAATATGTTGTCATGGTGCTTCTGTTGGGAGCAAAGCCTAATTTTACTGGGAAAATAAAGCTGAAATTAAATTGCTATTGAGGTGTTCTTTTTCCCCTTGGAGGCATTAAATGATCTTTTGCTAATGTTCCAGTCAGAGTATAATTACTGTATGTAAAGTAATTACAGCTCATCTATGTATAACTGTGGGCTGCAGCTCAAATCCCTTTTGCGGGCTGTAATCAAACTCTGGCCATATCTCCTGTTCTGGTGATCTGTTCATTTCAGGTGCACAAGTCAAGCATTTCTCTGTGGCAGGACCTGTTTGTGCCCTTACTTTCAGCTCACCTAATGTTCTAGGGTGAGCCAATTGAAGAGAGAAGGGATGGTTAGAAGCAGTGAAGAGAGGTCACTTGTGTCTAACAAAGCAGCACAAATGTCAAGCACAGTTTTAATCCTCAATGACTTTTCCATGCAGTTGCCCTGCACCAGGGACCTGTCTCCCCTGAAGGCTATGCCAGGGGTCAGAGCAAGAAAAGAGGATTCATTCATTAAAGGAACCTTATTCTCTTCTTGTACTCAGTTTGGTTTGCAGTGTTTCTTCTCAAGTGCTTTTTTAAAGTCAGCTGTTATTTCAGAACAACACCAAATAGATGAAACAACAGCATTGTCTTAGGGATTCTGAGGGCTGTGTTTGTAACTAGCTGATCTCTCTCCTCTTTAAATATGCCTTATTGTCTGTATTAAGAAGGTATACATGAAACTGAAGTCTTTTAAACTTACCCTGCTGTTTGTATGGTGGTGTAAATCATTCACAGTGGCTGGCCCATTCCTGTGTGCTCATCCTTTCTGAGAGTAAATTCTGTGAATGAGACTTTGCAGCTAAGCCCACTCCAGACTGCTTATATCACAGCACAGATCCCTGTGGGACTTCACTGTAAACACTGCTCACATACTCCTCTACAGTTTCCTATTTTTAAAGCTACTCTTTATCCATATGGAAAGTCTTCCTTGCATGGTAAAGATCAAGCAGATTTTGACTGAAAATTGGTTAATGGAAGAATAAATACTCATAGTGTCCTACACAGAGCCTTGTTTTAAACAAGTTTGTTCTTAGCTCCAAATAGAGCACTCGTACGTGGAGATCCAAGCATAAAATACTTGTTTAGCTGGATCTTACAAATCCGAAAGGACACAATTCTCCCGTATGTCAGGAAGTTAAGATTGACTTGATGCGGTTGCAGTTAAAACAAGTCTTGTGTTTCATTTATGTTGCGGTTTCCAGTCCCTAAAACTAATATTGCTGCATGGAACAATTAAATTTGTCCTTAGTTTTATTCTTTTTTCCCCCTCTTCAATGCAGAAAAACTTCACTGGCGTAAAACAGAGCTTTCTAAGAAATCGCTCCTGAGACCAGAAGAATATCAGCTGAACGTTAATAGTGAAAGCAGCCTCCAGCACCCACCTTCAGGGATCCTCAAGGACATTTTCACAACTGGAACGAGTAGCTACAATGTCCTTCTGCAGAGCAAAGAGGAGAAAAAGCACCACGCTCAGAAGCAGTCATCTGTTCACCACAAGAAACACAGGAAGACTACAAAGTGTTCCCCCACCTCCCGAAGCAACGAGCACCACAAAATCAAGGTCCCGCTACCCTTGCTCAGCCCCGGCTGGTACTGCACAAACAGACAGCCCTCCCTCATCGTCACCAGCCCAGTGTCTACCAGCGTGAAGTTCACCAGCAGCGTTTCAGTTGCAGGGAGCAGCATAGGGCTGCCATCTCGACCCAAAAGTAGAACTAAGAGGCATTTGAACCTAACAAAGCCAAAGCAATCCCAGTCCTCAAAAAGCCATGCTAAAGAAGGTGATGGCTCTGGCCGAAAGCTCTGTTTACTGACTGCAATCAAGCCTTCCAACGTGGAGAAAGAGAAGATTAAATTCTTCAACTCAGATTTTACATACAATCCTCAATTTGAATATGAAAACCCTGCTCTGCCAAACATGCTAGCTAAGCACAGCCATGCGTCCGACAGATTCCTTAAGCAGGTATAGTTACTTTATTTCTTCCTCTTCCACTGATGAGTTTTTCCTGCACCTATTAAGGTGGTATTTGGCTTTGTTTGTAGCAAGTTATTTCTCCTTAACATCCTCCCCTACTGTTTGAAAAATGCATCAAAGAATACAACAGTAGTATATATAATATATAGTAATATATACTATATTAATAGTATAGTAGTATATTAGTAATATATATATACTATATAATATATAGCAATATATATATAATAATACTGAAAGAAAATATTTTTGATTAAAAAAGGAACCTCTTCCTCATATTTACAGGATGCTCTAGGGTAGAGGCACAGTTCCTTTTAAATGGGTTTACATGAAACATGATTTAAGGCAAGAAAGCTTTTCGGGCAATGAAGCAGAGTGTAATACAGGAAAAATACAGTACCTAAATAGGCTTTAGTAAACAGAGGAAAAAAGGCAGTGTAGAAATCCTGCCAGTCCTCTTGGTGCCACAGGGATTGGGAGGGGTTAGCAGTTATTTGAGGTCATGGTTATCGGATAAGCAGATGTTGATGTTGCTTGTTTTAATCAACTTGGAAAGGATATTTGCATATACATGAGGCTCAGTCAAGCAGCAGACAAGTTCCATTCCAGAGAGGGGTTAAATTTAAACAGAACTCTCTCCCCCCACCTCAGTACTATGCAGCCACATTGGTAACATAGCTGCAGACATTCCTGTTCTGTGTTACTACCTTGGCTTCCTACCTGTCTTTGAGTTACAAACCCCCCAAAACCAAGAACAAGACCTTGCTTTCAACTTTGACCTAAGTGACAAAACCCAGTGCTTATCTGTGTAACAACAGAAGCAGTCCTCTTCCTGGTTTTGCCATTTTTAAATGGTTTATAAAGATCTTACTCAAGTCTGACAATCTTTCTAGAGAATGTCATGTTTCTAGTGATTACTTGGGAGGAGATCCTGCTGGTCCATGAGTTTCACTTCTTTGTGATATGAATATTTCACTTAACCCCTCCCCAAAACACATGGTGAAAAAGATACATAAATTAAAGTACCATGGATTCTAACAACTGGCCCTTGGCTTGTGAAGTGTCCGACTTTCCAACATCCAAGAACACGTGTAGGTGTTACTACCCCTTGTATTGTAAGGCTTGGTCTGTGTTTTCCCTCAGTAGCTGGGTTTTCTTTGTGAGGACAGCCTGTTCTGTACTTCAAATCAGCTTCCATATTTCTAAACAACCCACTAAATCACACTGACACCAAACAAGACTACTCCTTTTACAGGTCTGCCTTTGATTTAGCTAGCAGTATTAGCAACAGTAATCATATACAACAGCGAAGTAGCAATAACTAATATAGCAAACTGATTAATACAAATTATCCCATTTAGTATGAGGTAGCAGAGCCTTAAAAGTTATTTCACGCAAAATGATTTCATGGAATAGGCCTATCATTAATTTACCCTTCTTTTAATACCCCCCCCCCCCCCAAATAATGGATATTCTGTTAATGAGTGATTCCTCAGTATTATTCTGTTACTCTTTTTCCCTTTAAATACAAAGCATGGGAAAATAAAGGCTTTATAACAGCTATAAAACGCAGTGAAGGATTTAATACTCAAGGAGATACGATAATTCTGAGACTTAAAACAGAGGACGTAAATTGTTTCAGAAGATTCAGTTTAAGTTTCAGAAGTTCTTCTCAAGAAAGGCATTTATCTCCTGAAAATACTGAGCGAGTGTCTTGCACTTCATAGAAACGACCAAAAAAGCGACTTTAACGCAGCCCCAAGCCCAGCAGGTGGCACTCTCTGTTTTAGCTCCATCTCACTCGAGAAATTCTCATCTCCTAGCAAGTTTTCTACCTAGAAAAAGCAGCATTCCTCACCATTTTAATCAGCAAATACTGCATGAGCACTTGCATTTCCTTAGGATGATCCCTTCCAACCCCAACCACTCTATGATTCTATGCTTTTCCTTTTGCCATGCAGGTTTTATTTGTCAGAAGATACCTGTTGGTATCTTATAGGAAGTGGCTGTGAAAAAGTACTTACAGTGTCATGAGTAGGGTCTGCAGTAAAACCAGAACTGTGTGCAGCCACCCTTTTCCCTGCAACAAGGACAAGTTCAGTTTGGGGGTTTATTGAAGCACTGCTGGCTTTCATTTGTTGCATACATATTTTAGGAAGCTTTGGTTTCCATGAACAGAATGATTCCCATTTTACAAGAACCTATGAAGGGTGCTTACAGCAACTTAACACTTGCTCTTCTATGACTATTATCTCTGTAAACCCAGATTTTACTGACAACTCATTGATTTTATTGGGGGGGTGGGAGGTTAGGATACTTCAGTGAAATGAGCTCAAAAGGTGCCATTTCAGAGCTTTAGAGGATTTTTAATAACATCAAAAATACTTTTATCCCCAGCTATGGTAGCCTGCTAGGACATTAAAATAGACTGTGTTTTCTTCTTGCCCTTTGTGCACATCTGTGGAATTGGTTAGTACAGAATTATTGCAACGTGTCTGGAAGATGAATCACACCCTGCCCCATTTATTTGGATTATGTTTTTTAAGGCAAAGAATGCTATGGATTTGGAAACCATTAACACAGCAGTGCTGCAGTGGGGAGCACACAGGTTTGTAAGCACTCACCCTACCCCCAGGCTTCTGGTCAGCTCAGTGGTTTAAAACCATGGGCACAGCCCAGCACATTTATTGACTTCTCACACTTTTAATCAGTCCATTTGAAAACAGCGTTTTAAATGTATCTCTTCCACTTTGTTCTGTTTCTTTGTTTCTCTCCACTCTGTTTTCTTCATCATGAGGCTCGCTCTTGAGTCACACAAGATGTGCCTTTCGGGAAGAGCACTTGAGAATAAAAAATAGCACGCAGACTTGCAGCTTTTCACATTGACTGACATATCTAATAGTAGCGAAATTAATTCTCTTACTGCTGCCTTTCAAGGTCAGTGCAGCAACTGCGTGCTCTAAGTGCTATGAATGTTTTCTTGTTAGCTGCTTCTGGCTCAGACTGCCTGTGCTTCACTGTTAAGCTTTCTTAACACTTAATTGTGTTAAGAAACACTTGAAGTGTTTGTTATTTTTTCCACAGATGGGAGAGGTGGCAATACTTAGCTAGAAGTAATTGTCCTAGTGTTTGCCGAGTAGATGACTTAACAGTTGCAATTTGATTTAACCAGAATCAGCAGGGGAACTGCAGCTTCAAGTAACCTGGGTGTTAACACCTCATTGAATTCTACATGAAGGCAGGAGATATATTTTTATATACATAGCTATTTAGAAAGGAAAAAAAAGCATCATTTTGTTGATTAATCCCCCTGTGGAAGAGTTGTACATCCTTCCCCCTTGTACTCATCAAAATATAATAGCTTCCAGTTAATCAGTGTTTCAGTTGTGTCTTATTGCCAGTGTTTGTATTACTCACCTTTTAAGTCATCAATACAAGTAGTCTGCAATTAGCAAATTTATCAGATGTTGGAAGAATAGTTAGGTGTGGCTGGAAGGCTGAACAACATGGCTTTCAACACCGAGTAATCCTCTGCAACATCCAGGTAACGTCACAACTTTGGCATGTTGAAGATTCAAGAGCATGTCACTGGCTGTGAAAAGCACTCAACTGCAAACCCCCTCATTCTCCACTAGTAACAAATTCCTCCCTAAACTAAGATCTGCAGCTAAGGTATGTTTATATCTAACACAAAGCACATCAGGCCATCCAAGTAGCATAAATCCTCAGAGTACTACACAAACATCTCTCCTCTGCTACAAGAGACTGTAGATCAATCACTTCTGGTGATACTATAGTAGGAGTATAGGTTTATTTCAGAACACAGTCTCATACAAAAACCAAGTAAGTATTAATATTTAATTCCTTGGAAAGTACTTGGAAAGCTTTTAATTAAAAACATTTCTACCAGCTCTACATTACTTAAACATGCTCCTTATCACACCAAGAACAAGCACAGAAAAGACATTTTAAACACTGAATACAACTCAAAACACTACAGTGTACTGAATACACTGGTCTAAAATACTCTGCTCTTACCTCTCTCCATTATTTGCACTTGACCCAAAAGGGAGGGCAGCCACCATTTTAGGGCTGTCGATTAGACAGACAAGTTCCATCTGGTACCTCTTTGTGTTACCTACAGACACACCTAGGAAGCTTTCTCCTCTAGCAAATAAGCTCTGCAGGGAGGAAAGGGATGGTGCCTGCAAGCCTTGTCTGTCCCACAGATCTTAACAGAGGCTGCAACCCTTTTGTAGCAGAGCTGCTTCTGAACATAGGACGAGCTGACAGCGTAGGGGCTGGGCAAGGGAATTTGTCTTGAGGCTGCTGCTTCTTTTGGTACTCTTTGGTAGCTATAAGAGGGATTAAACCAGACCTTTTAGACAATAGTGAAAAGAACAAGAATTACTCCTCCTAACCAGTAATCTGCCCAGCCACATAGTCTTTTTTGTCCATTTTTTTAACCTAGTGCTGAAGAATTCACAGTTTGGCCTTATGAACTGTGGCACTTTCAGTATTCTGCTCCCCAAAGGCTGGAAAACAAGCTCACAGTTGGATGTTGGAATAGGCAAGATTTCCCCTTTCCCAGCAAGTTCTTGCAACAACCGACTTTGAGTCATTTCATCTCAGAAACATGAAGGGCTTGCTGTTGTATTCAGTGCTTGGGGTCCAAAAATATCCCAGACCTTTTCCAGCATCACTAGGGACAGGGCCTGTCCCATATATCTGTGTCCTGTGTGTGGTGGTTCTCCCTCTTGTTTCAGGGCTTCCAGAGCACTTGCCCACTTGGAAGGAATTACTGGGACTTCTGCTTAGCTTGAAACAGTCAAAGGAGAAGGTGATAGTCGTGAGCACCCTTATTAGTACTTTCCTAACCAAGAGAATGGATGTTCAGCAATGAGGAAGCTTAAGTTTAATGACTTTCTCAATATGCATAGGTTCAAACTTGTACCATCTATTCGGAGGTACTGCCAGGATGTAAGGTGGCACAGCATGGCACACAGGGGAAAGGAAGCATCCTTCAGTATCTCACCCTTCCTCCTGCGGTTGCAAACAGTGCACTGGGTTAAGGTGGGAGAGGCTGCTGTGTCTGTGCCTCTTCAGTGGAACATAACTCTGAAGAACTGCTGTTCATATTGTGCTGTTGATTCAGGTGTCTCACAGCATTTTAAGAAAGGCCTTAAACAGCTCAGGAACAGTTCAAGAGGGCCTTCTGACTCCAAAACTCATGCTGCCCCCCTTGGCCCACATAGGTCTTGGCTCCAGGGAGTTTGCTGTTACACACCTCCAAGCAGGAAGTTTAATGCACATTTGCAGTGCTTGTTTTCTCACTGTTTGTTGTGATGAGATAGCTTTAGAAAACACCTGCATCCAAGGTAGGAGTCCTCTGAGATAACATCACCAAATAAACCTACGCAACACTGCATCTCATAATAGTAACGTCTTTATAAACAGCATGAAAACAGAGAGCTGGTTAATAAAGTTTACAAGCTGTTCTCAAGCACCCGTATTTTTATGAGCTTTCTTGTTGAGAAGAAACTGCCCTTTTGCTCTCAGATGGTTTTGTCAGTCCTCTCCTTCATCAGCTCTGCTCTCATCCACCCATACGTGGCTTTGATCAGCTCTCTAGGTTTGTCCTGCTCTCTTCAGAAAGTATGTAAAATATCTTTGCTATTCTTCAAGCCTTTTATCTTGTGCTAGCTTTACTGGCTTCCTTCAGCCTGGGAGCCTCACCTGCCTGTTCTCCATACAAGGGCTTTATCATCACGTTATTGGAAGAGATTTTATTCACTGTTCGATATGAAATGGAGCTGCACTTGATGTTTGCTTTGCTGAGGGGCAGGATGGGCATCAAAATGTAATGTCTGGAACCCAACAGCCACATGATCCTTTCACTATGGCCAAATATTGATTGAGAGAGAAGTACTGCTTCACCTAAGGCAACACTGTGCCTGGGGGCTTACCAACCATTCAGCTCAATGGATGGGCCCCTTGCAGCACCTGAGCCAGTATTGTGACCTTGTTTGATTTACTAGTAGAAAGACATAGCCTGAGTGCTGGATACTTTCTGAAAGTTGCCTTAACATCCTTAAAAAGGAAAGGACCAAATCGTGGTGCCTATTGAAAATAACCTCCATCCCTGCCTCAGTTCCTCCAGTGAATAACTTCCAGAGAATTTAAAGCCAGACCTTTCTACCCACAGGTTCCACTGGGTTTTAAAGTACATTACTGAAAACTGTTGAGGGGCATGCCATTCTGTACAGCCATACATTTGAACACAGACTTATCACACACACAGTGTGTTTTGCTCAGGGAAACCAGATACACCAAACTAGTGGGTCATAGAAGGATCTGGCACATCACAAAGGAAACTGAAGAACTGTTATCATGAATTGCTCAGGCATAAACAGGGGGCAGGAATTTTGGGGTAGCTTCCTTACCCAGTGATTTTGTGTAAGGCAGGAAAATGCCTCAGTATTCACAGACACTGCAGAACTGATGAAACAGCCAGTGTTTATAGAAGGTAAAAATGATTTTGCAATAAATTCATATATAATTAAAAGGGAACCCTTTGGGGAAATAGACAAGCTGTTAAACAAGAGCTAGATTTTGCTCTGATTTGTTCTTTACAACTAGCCCTCGATCCTACATTTTGCTAGAAGCAATTGTCATTAATCTCCAGAAACACTAGGACTTGCATGAGGGATTTATGTGTTCCTTCACTTCATGCTTGCACACTAACCTTCCTTCATTTATCTGAGGTCATTTGTAAATAACAAGTGATGTTAAGATTTGACACAAGAAAAAAATATTTACTGCCATAGAAAGACCTCTCATCTCTTACTATAATCTTTTAGGCCCTGCTATACCTACATTACATTTGTACAAGGCCTAACGGGAACCAAAATCCCATTTACCTCATAGGTCACCAGAACAGATGCATATTGGTCTTTACTCATATTTCTGAGCAATAAGTTAATGGGAGTAACAGCAAAACTATCAGCACAATCTCTGTCAAATACCTGCAGCAGTGGGTCAGCAAAATGATGCCAGAGCTGCCCAGTTTGCAACAGATGAGAGTGTATCTGTCTTCTACTTTTAATACATCCATCTTTACAAACGTGGCTTGTTTTGAAGTCACAGAAGGGCTCTGCAGCCTTCCCAGCTGCAGTCCCATTGCCTCTTGTCTTCAGAAGCAGGAGGATTTATTTTCTCTGCAAACAATTGAGCCAGAGGTCTGTGAGGTGCCTGTTGATTCTCTTGGGAGTTACCTGTTTCAATGCTAAATGGGGCTGCTTAACCCCCACCATGGAGCTGTGCTGCCCTGTGTCACCATTGCAGTGTTGTCAAACCATTTGCAGTGGCTCAGGTGGTGGCCCAGCTTTCCTCTATTTACAGTAACTCTCTTCAGACATCCTGATGTCTGATCTGATAAAGATAACTCGAAAAGATAATGTGTTCCTCCGTGGTGCCTTTTTTCATAACATCCATTCCTTATTCACGCTAGCTCCAGGTCACAGCAGTGAGACAGTAGATGGTAGATCCTTCGCTTCCAAATTGCTTCACCTCCCCAGATGAAAGCCTTCTTAAAGCTAAACCCCCACAAACACACCTTAATCTGTTCTAAGGGAGTAAATTATGCTGCTTTCTTCATCCTTGAAAAAGAAATTCAGATCTGACCAGGAGGCCCTTCAATATTAATAATAAGTATTAGAGGCAGACAAAGAAATACTAAGCATTACGTGCAGTATTTCTTTGGCATTCAGGTAAATGATATTTCTCTCATCAAAGAGCCACAGGACTTTACACCTAGCTAGCATGTATGGCTTTCAGTAGCAATTACTCAGGGTTGCTTAGTTTCAACTTGAAAAAAACAATAGCATTGTTAGCAGCTGTGAGGGATACAAAATGAATCCTATTTTCATGGACAAGAAATCTGACAATGTCAGAATTACATAGCTGGAAGCAAGCAGCTTGGTATCAGCTTCATGCATGGGGTTAAGTGTACAACAAAAAGATTCCATCTGCAGAGTTTCCACCTTCATCATTACTGGTGTTTTCTTAGCAAGAACATTAATTTTTTAAGGTAATGCCAGTAATAATTTTTTTTCTCTATGAGATTCTTGGGAGCTTCTGCTATCATATCTGTGGAAAAAGCCATTCCCTGTAGCTGGGCTTTTGCTGGGCAAGAAGTTGCTTTCCTCATCTTCTTTCAAAGGTGTGAAATGACATGTTGGGAAGTAGATTACTGGGCACAAGCATTTCATACCCTACCAGTAATATCTTCAATAAGCAGAGTTCTGATCACATCATAGGCATCATTCTCTGCTCTCCACCCACAAGGGTCTTCCAGCAGCAGAAGGACTATTGATACCACATTACCTGTCTAATTAAACATGCCTCATTCATGTTGGGTGGTTATAAAGAAATACTGTGATTTAAATTAAAGGTTTAAATCATAGAATCTCAGCTTGGTTTGTGTTGGAAGGGACTGTTAAGCTCATGCAGTTCCAGCTCCTAGCAGGGACACCTTCTACTAGAGCAGGTTGCTCCAAGCCCCGTCCAACCTGGCCTTGAACACTGCCAGGGATGGGGCATTTACCACTTTTTTGGGCAGCCTGTGCCAGTACCTCACCACTCTCACAGTAAAGAACTTCTTGTATCTAACCCTGTTTAAGTTTGAACCCATTACCCCTTGTCCTATCACTACAGCCCCTGATGAAGAGTCCCTCCCCAGCATCCCTATACCCTCCTTCAGACACTGGAAGCTGCTCTGAGGTCTCCACGCAGCCTTCTCTTCTCCAGGCTGAACAGCCCCAACTTTCTCAGCCTGTCTCCATAGAGGAGGTGCTCCAGTCCCTGATCATCCTCGTGGCCTCCTCTGGACTTGTTGCAACAGTTCCATGTCCTTTTGATGTTGAGGACACCAGAACTGCACACAATGCTCCAGGTGAGGTCTCACAAGAGCAGAGCAGAGGGGCAGGATCACTTCCTTCTACCTGCTGGTCACGCTCCTTTTGATGCGGCTCAGTATAGATTAAAAAGAGAGAGGGAGAGAAAGACTACACAGTCCTACATGGGGGTCTTACCGCATTCATATTTGGTATGCTTTTGTATTTTGTAGTCCATTAACATTATGGAGCGGACACTGCAGAAGTATGGCAGCTATGAGAAGTTTGAGCAGGCCACTGGAGGCAGCTTGCTGACCAAAAGTCGCATCTGGAATCACGTCAGGAAATACATGGTGAAAGAAGGCTGTCTTGGTGAGGTAAGTCACCCATTGGATCAGGAAAGAAACATATATGTCGCTCTTAGAAATGACACATGGATGGGCCCCAGAGACCATCTGGGAGGCCTTTCCTCCATAATGAAAAGAATATTCCTTACATCCTGTTTTTCTCATGGCTGTGCCCAGTCTGATTGTTGAACAATTGAAATGATGCAGATTCCTCGTGAACGCTTCAGCCATCTCTGAGCCTGTTTCCTGATTCATCTGTGCTTGTTCTCAAATTCACCTCTTTGGGGAGTACCCCAGAACGACACCCTTCCTTCCCCTTTTTCAGCTCCTTGGAGACCAGCACATTTCCATTTATTCGTCAGCTCTGCCACCTGCTCTCTTGTATCAAGCTGTTTGCACCAAAAGGAAGAGTTAAGAAAAGGCCAAGAAAAATAAGCAGCAGTCCAGGAGGCTGATTTATAAGAAGCAACACAAAGGAAAGTGACATAAGTGAATAAAAATGTCTGAAAGAGGTTGGCTTGTTCAGTTGGTTTGAGTGCCTGACTGTAATCACCTAATTTTTAGAGCCCTATGCAAAAAACACTGATTTCCACCATTCAGAATGTCAAAAGTCCAGTTTGACTGAGTTATGCAGAATTGCTTGGAAAAGTCAGATGAAACTGGATATATAAAGAGAGAATTACTCCAAATGAAAGCAGCAGCTGACACAGACCAAGACTTGGATGAGATCACTGGCAGTGAGCAACAGGAGTCTGGAACGGGAGCTCCAGAGACAACAATCAGTTTCCTAGAAACTAGGTTTCATTCGTAAACATAATATTATTAGGAGGAACTGTTAAACTCGTGACACTTCTTGGGGAGACTCCAACTGGACGCTGCTACCAGACTTAGCTGTTTCTAAGACTGAGGTTATAAGACTATAGTTTAGAGCAAGCAGAAAAAAAAAAATCACATTTTAGGTCTTCGCTATGCTTTTATCTCCCTTTGCATTCATTTTGTCTTGGATTGTCTTCATGGAAGGAGGACCCTACATCCTCATCAGACATCCCACATCCATCTCCAGGAAATGCTTTACTTTTTCTGCAAAAGCAGGGTTAATACATCACCCTTAGCATGGTCTAAAACGTTCTGAAAATACTCTCTCAAGTCGGAGAGGTGTTGAAGTGGTACCTGTGCGTTAAATCTAAATCCTTCCTGCATCCTAAATACAGGATTGATGGGACTGACTGTTTGCTGTTGAACTTGAAGCCGAGTGACGGGGCTTGAAAACAGCGAAGTGTAATGTTAATACCATTGATCCCTGGGTCCTTTTTTGTTAACTGATATTAAAAAATTCTCTCTCTTATAGGTACTTTCCCGTGTACTCCTCTGAGCTGTACTGTTTCCTTAGGCATTACATGAAGAGGGAAAGATGCTTAGTCTTCAGCAAAGAGTTTTCCTTCTTCTTCCCATTCATTTGTTTAAAAAGTCTTTTTAAACTCAAAAATGACAAAATACATCAATTTGCATTAATTTCCTTCTCTGGCAGCTTTTGTTTTGATTACCAGTTTTCCATTGGTAATCACAAAGTAAGAACTAAATGGTATATAAATATATGCACACTATTTATATATACACCAAATATATATACCAAATACATGTATGGTATATGTATTTGTTTTCCTGGTGTAAAAAACCCCAATACCAGTTTTTTAATATTTCAGTTCTGCATCATGTAGCAGGAAATCAAGTACACAGTGCTTCCCCTTTTATTTATATGGCTTTAGAACTGCAACTAACAAGATCTAAGAGAGTCAAGTATATAGACACCTAGTTTAATTATGTGTGCTTGTCTAATATTTTTCATTACTCAGTAATACCAAGATATTTAGAGACAGTTCCAAAAAATCGGGTGCGTATCTCAGTGCACATGCTGAGACCTGAGGTTTTGTCAGCAGCACAGATAGCTCAGTGGAGTCAGAAGTGTCTCTCAGACTCGATTCCTGGTAGCAAAGAAGAGCTGTGAAGGTCAAGGGACCAAAGAGTAATGCAGTAATGGGAGGGTCAAAGGAAAAAGCAGGACTGGGAGTGCGAAGAGAGCTCTTTGCTACCTGAACTCTCTCATCTTTAGATTGTGGTCCATCTCACGGAGGACCTGCTGTCTCGAGCCTCAATGACAGTGGTGAATGGCCGCCCCACTCTCACTATCAATATCTCCACTGCGCGGGAGCACTGGCTGGAAGGGATGCTGAGACATGAAATTGGTATGAGCATGATATCAGTTCTCCATGCAAAGGGGAGTACTTGCATGCCTTCTGACTCCTTTTGCAATGATGGCCAGGCACTGTACATATACAGAAGGAACATTCCTATCTAAAAATCTATGCTGCAGGTTCAAGGGAAGGAGAAGCCTATTTATCACTGCACCATGCACTAAAAGGATTCCTAGGGTTCACGCACGTCTGCATTTTAGATTAGATCAGGAGTGGGCTTTTGAAGTGAGCGTGCCAGCTTTCCCACTTACTGCACTGAGGTTCACATGCCAAAGGAATCTTGGAGCAGGCAAAGTGTAATCTTCCAGATGATGCTAGCTGAGAGGCTCTGCTCCAGGGCATACCTTCTGTGTTGTCACTGCTCGGGGTCATTTTGCTCATGAGTTCAATTTAGAGCTAGTCTGGAGTTAAAAAAACCAAAGGGAAACAAAAAGATGCGACTCTTCAACCTCAGCACCAGCCACTTCACTGGACAAATCTGCTTCCATTATGCTGCACTGCTTGCAAAAGTAGGCATGCTTTAGGTGTGAAGAATTTACCCAGTGCCCCCTAAAATGGTGTAAGATTGCCTTGATTTTGCATTACACAAGCTTGGCCCAACCCTGTGGAAGGTTTCTATAAAGTTTTCAGTGACTTGTTCTAATTAAGTACATCAAAACTGGATAAACTTGGCTAGTGCCTGAATTTCAACTGAAGACTCACATAACTTGCACTGGACATAGAGGACATAGCCTCTTCCAAGGATTTTAAATCACCTTCAAGAGGCCACATTTCTGCCCCTTCACTTTGATTCTCCTTCCTTCTGTCCATTACAATGCCTAGCCTATGCTAGAGGCATTCAGCAAGTAAGATGCCTTTGAAAATGCCTTTCCATGGATTTGGGAACTCAAGTCCCTGCTGACATTTGTTTTCCTTTGGTATTTGTGGGAGTCCCATTTGCAGTCAGCAGGTGAATAATTGCACCATGTGTCTACATCAGACAGAATTCTCCGTTGTAGACAAGTGCCTGGTCCTACCAGTTTAGAGTCGTGAAATGGGCATCTCCTTCCATATTTTTTATATATATATATATATATATATATATATATATATATATATATATATATATATGTCTGTATATAAAATCATTAGATGCTACTGTTGTAAGTCCCATATTCTTTTCTTTTCAGGAACTCATTACTTTCGGGGTTTTAACAACAACAGCCAGCCTTGGTGCAACTGGAACGGACGTAGAAAACACGGGCTAAAACCAATCAACCCTACAGAAGAGGGGCTAGCAAGCATCCACAGCGTCCTGTTCCGCAAAGACCCCCTCCTTTGGAGAGCTGCCCTGCTGTACTACACCGTGTACCAGGCTAGCCAGATGTCCTTCAGTCAGCTTTTCCAGGACTTGGGGAAATTTGTCAAGGACCCCAATACTAGGTGGGATTACTGCGTACGAGCCAAGAGAGGGTGGACAGACACATCACAACCAGGTGGGTTCCCTCTTTGTCTTCTCTACTGTTGTACCTCAGGGATGTTTTCCTCATGTCACGCACTACAACCTTGCCAAAACAGAGCCATGGGATTCTGGACTTCCTGAAACAAGGGAGCAGGATTTCTGCTGTTGAAAACAAGGTTGAAAATGCACCTCCGTGAGGCTTTCAGACCGAATGTAGTAATGGATGGTTTTTGTTATTGGAAGTGGGAATATAACTGCAAAACACTGAAGGAGTTCATACAGTTTGACCTCCTTTCATGTTTATTATGAGAGATGTAATGGTGCTATGGGTATTCATAGGCACCATCTTCTGTGTTTGATTTCTTGCTCTGGCTAGTGGGTTTATCCTTTACTTTGTTTTGGGGCAGGTTTTCAAAGCCTGGGGTATAAACATCTAGTTTTTTTAAAATACAGTTGTTCTGCTCATGATGGCTCCTGGGAATATGCCTTGAACAAACCCTGACAGAGTACTGTGTCTCCTGCTTCCTTTTAGGCTGTTTCAATAAGGATCAGGTATACTTGGATGGCATCCTCCGAATCCTGCGATATAGGGAGTCCATTGATTTCTACCTTCTGACAGCCCTTGGAAAGGTGAGTGGACTCATTCTTACCACAGGGTACAGCTGTATCATTTCAGCACAGCTGCCTTTAAAGAGCTGTGAGTCATTGTGCTCTGCTTTTCTTTAGTCTCTGTTCTGTACAGCACCTTGTATTACACAGTGCAAGTTACAAATACTTGAGGTCCAAACAAATTTGTACCAGCTTTTCCTCATTCCTCACTTATCAGATTTAAGAGTTTATGGTCATATTTCTCAGACTTTCCTCCCTTTACAGGCTGGTATTTGACTTGCAGTACAATGGATTGCCTTGGGCAGCTAGTGCTAGATAAGGTGGTGGTCCTGATTGAAAGCAAAATGAACCATTTGATGCTAACATATCGCCATCCACAACAAGGAGTTTTCCATTTAAAATTTCTCTCACTGATGGCACCTGCAATGATTTTTAAAAATCAGTTGGTTTTGATTCTTCTCCCAAAATACGTCATTTTTACATTCACAGGACAGATTTTGTGCCATTCTAACTGCCATTGCTTGTTTGCTCTCAAAATCACACTAAGTAGTGCAGAAACTTTGTCACGCTTCCTGAACCAAATCCCTGGATTGCTAAGTTTCCGCAGTTCATAAAGCAGGGCTCATACTCACATAAACCAGGATTCAAACTGGTGTTGTTACGCTTGCATTTAGAGCTGGTACTCCAACATTTCTGCCTACTTGGCTACCAGTGGGCGATAAAGGGAAGCGGCATATTATGATTGAGGGTTTTGGTCCACATGTTTTGCCTTTGGTGTCAGAAATACCCATATTGGTGAGCAGAGCTATTTAGGTAACTGAACCAAGTTAAGAAGCTCTGAAAAGAAAATTGCACTATAAAATAAGTCTGTGCAACTTCCTTTTGCTTTAAGACTGCTTAACTCCACACAGCTTCTGCCTGCTAAACTCCTGAGCTTAGCAGGCAGTGCTCCTGCACTGCTTTATGCCTTTCTCTCTTCAGGGAGTCTGCAGGATTGTCAAGCCACTTCAAAAAACATGCTAAGTCATTAGTCATACGATTACAGATTCCACTATAATCCGCATGGCAAGGCATTCACATTAGAGGTCTACAAGCAATTTAATTCTAGCAGTATGATAATTTATAAGTGCTTGACTTTACAACTTCTAAAATCTAAAGAGGGATCTAGAAGACCACTCTAAATGCTTTTGCTGCATTCATCTTTTGCAGTCCAACTGGAAATCTGTGTAAGAGCAATGCCTGCTCCCAGCATCGCAGAACCACAGAGGTCTGCAGGGACCTCTCAAGATGAGCTAGTCTGACCCCCGTGCTTAAGCAGGGTCAGCTAGGGAAGGTTGCCCAGGACCATGTCCACTTGGGCTTTGAATATCTCAGCTGATAGAGACTCTACAACCTCTCTGGGCAGCCTGTCAGTGTTTTACCACCCTCACCATAAAAAAGTGTTTTGTGTTCAGATGGAATTCTGTGCATTTTAACCCATTTCCTCTTGCCCTGCCAGTGGGCACTGCTGAGAAGAGCCCAAATTCCTTGTCATTCCCTCCCATCAGGTGTTCATACGTCCCGGTAGAATCTGCCTGAGCCTTCTCCAGGCTGACCAGTCCCAGCTATCTCAGCCTTTCCTCATAGGAGAGATGCTGCAGTGCATTCATCTTACTGACACTTACTGGTCCTGCTTCAATACCTCCATACAAGTAAAACAAGTTCTGCGGGCATAGAGAAATACGGAACTTGCACTGATATCTAGGCTGTGGTTATTCCGAGTTTATCACTGTTCTAAAGGGTGATTTATTTGTTTGTTAAGGGTGGAATGGGAGGATGAGGTTGTTCCAAAGGGAGTGTTAAGCAGGGCTGGCGTGTCTTCCAGGTTAGACGAAAGAGCAGGGGATTTAAATATAGGGAAGCCCAGCATTGACTGGGAATATTTTCATTGCCTTTGGAAGATTCTCAGCGTTGTATCGTAACAAACGAGCTCATCTTTCTCAGCATGACTACCTTGGGCATATTTTCATTGCAAATACAATAAAGATATAAACATAATAGGAAACTACAGCAGTCAACTAGAGCGCTGACAACAAATAGCTTCTGTGCTTTAGCAGGTAGTTAACACAGTAGTAAAATCAAATCACTGCTTGCTCAGTGAATGTATTTAAGACAGAGCCAGGCTGAAGTCTGTGTGTCTTCTGTTTTCATTCGAGTGCTAAAGATCTGGCTGATGGAGGCAGCCATGCCTTCCTGATGCTTCTGACATTACTTACAGTGCAGTAGAGAGCAGTGTGTGGAAACAGAACACATGCAAGCTGTCCAGCATACCCGAAAGTGGCTAAGGAAAAAGCTTGAAGCCTGAGAAAATATACTTTTTAGCAGGAGCAGTAGGATAAAAACATGGTTTTGATGTCCTCAGGACGTCAGCTTCTTTCAGCAATTGCAAGGCCTGGAAATACATCCCATTCAAACCATACCTCAGGTCAGATACTTGTTTCTTGTTTGCAGCAGTAACAGAAACCTTGAACATAAAGGTGGAAAGTGCCCGTTTTGTTTCCTTTGGAAGGAAAAGAGGTAGAATTTCAAGTTGGGACGGGAAGGAAGGTCAGTATTTAGTCTCATTTACTGCTGTGTCTCCAGACCGAGAGATGATATGACTTCATACAGCTCTTCTGTATCTACTCCTAATCAGGTGTAGTGCCACCATCTTCGAACAGCAGTATCCCAGTGACTGGTGGAAACCTTGGCATGGGTGTAGGTTTGGCTTTTTAATCAGGATGTATCCTGTAACTAGGAAAGCACAGGTGTGCACTCAGCTGCAAATTCACTCTCCTTGCAGACTTTGTTCCTGTTATCATCAGTGAGATATGCAGCTATCTCTGCCCACCTCCATGAATCAGGCTCAGTATTCTGGATTACACCATCCTATCTTTCCAGAGAGGCCTTCCACGCCCCTTATACATTTGTAGATCATTCATGCTCACTTTAATCTTTAGAAACCATCACCTGCTAAGAGGCCAGATTGTTCCCAGGGAACCCTGGCTGCACAGTGCTCAGCTCCTTAGAAAAAACACAGGGTGAAAAGGTTGGAAGGCTCCACTCTGAAGCCACCTCGCACAAACCTGCTGTGAGGAAATAGGATGTGCCAGTTAGCAAGCACAGCCAGGCTTGGGGGTTTTGCCAGTACATCCGCTTCTGTCTGCAGGGTGCCCAGAACACAGCTTTAGACAAAGCAGCAGCCACATAGATTTCATCACACTGGGTAGCTGCCCAAGGAGCCCAGTCCTGTGCTTGCGGGCAGCTTGTGTAGCTGTTGCACAGCTAAAGCGTTCATCCTTCCTGGACCTTCACTCACAGCACCTTGAGCGACTGTGCGCTCGACTTGAAGCCTTAGCTTGTAGAATTATAAGACTATGGAGAAAAATCTCAGCTTTCATTAGGAAAAAGTAGTATGTCCTGTAGTAGCTGGAAAACATTTGGGAGTGTCACCCAGAAGGCTCTGGTCTCCAGTGGTAAAGTGGCAAACCCAGTCTTTGCCCTGCTATAAAATGGGAAAAAACACAAACTGGCGTGCTTAAGGGTTGCCCATACTATAGTAAGTTACTAGAGGTGCCTTTTAATTTAGCTTCGCATAAGCACATTTGCTAGTGAAAATGAAAACTCAGAGTTCAGGCCAGCTGCCACCATGCCCTTCCTAAAGCGGGAGCCTCCCTGCTTCCTATAGCATGCTGCCCTTCACTCCCTTTCTAGTCCCTCAGTCTTTGGCACAGTGTTTCTGCCCTTCTCTTGTCAACCTTTCCACCTCTTTGAGAAGAGACTCAAAGACTCATATGTGCTCCATTGTTTCCCTCTCAATTCCTGCAGCTGCTGTAGATGATTCTCATCCAGGTTGCTACAAGTGTGTTCACCGATTGGGTCAAAAGCAGAATCCGGTAGTGTGGCATTTGCTAAAATGATATGGGTTTTTTTGCATCTTCCACTGATGCACACAGTTACTCAGAGAATCACAGAGTGGTTTGGGTTGGAAAGGACCTTAGAGCTCATCTACTTCCAACCCCACTCATGTTTTCAAAAGAGTCTCACAAGCTTTTAAATCCCCTGCTCCAAAATATTTTCTCACATACAAGAGAGAATTTAGAGTCACAGCAGAGAAGCAACAGGCCTACAGTGTGAAGTTAAACCATGTCCTTCCTTGCAGATCTCATATGAAGATGTGGACCGCCTGAAAGGATTAGCCGTGATTGAGAACATGAGGGTACCACACTTTCTGCAAGACCATGCCCGGTACATGGAGCACTTGGAAAAGATCATGCAAGTCAATAAGCTGACTGATGAGGAGCTCCAGGATCTCATAAACTAACAGCATTAGCCCACCGTTCACATACTCTGTGAGGATGCAGAACTGGACTTCCAAGAGCTTGTAAAAGCGGAGTTACGAGAGGTGGCATGGGAAGGGTAGCCAGAATATGTGGAATTGGGGAAAAGCCCATTAATGTTCCTCTTGCATTGTGATTGTATCCTGATCATTTTTTAAGGCTTTTGTGCATTTTTTTACATTTGGCTTAGAAATTCTTTTGCAGTGATCTGTCCAATCTTCTGCTCTGTTTTATATGCTTGGTATAGTGCTTGACACTGCCTTTTCCCACCCAGGTTTAGAGGTGGAGGAAAGGAGAAAAAGGAGAAATTCCCCCTTAGTTCTCTTGTATTTGCCCCGTCTTTGGTCCTAGTTTTCATGGTTCATAGCAACATAACTTCTGCAGATCAGAACTCAGTTCCAGTGCTTTGCCACCCTCAGTGCAGAACTCTTTACGATTTGGTCACCATTGCAATGAAAACAAGAGTTTAAAAAGACAGTGCACAGAAGCAGGTCTTTGTGCCACAGGATCAAAGCTTTGTAATGCTCGAAAAGATTTGTTTGTTTTTAAATGGGAGACTTAGCATTTAAAAAGAAGAACCTGTGCTGGTTTAATCCCAGACTGGATTGGGTTGGAAGGGACCTTAAGGCTCCTCCAGCTCCAACCCCTGCCACGGGCAAGGACACCTTCCACTGGAGCAGCTTGCTCCAAGCCCCTGTGTCCAGCCTGGCCTTGAACACTGCCAGGGATGCGTATGACTGTAAGGAGGTAGCAGTTATTCCCCTTCATCACCTCAAAGATTTACACTGTTCCACATCTTTCTCTGTATAATACATGTTTCAAGAAGCTGAATTCCTGAATGATTCTCCCTCCTTTGAGGGCAAGCACCGCCTGTCTGGGATGTTCAACATGGCAGTGTTGTGGGAGAAGGATCAGGCAGAACTGTGGTTTCATGTCTTACGTGTTTTACATAAATTCAGGAACACAGGCAAGATTCAGCACCTCAGACAACACCCACCTGGGTCACCTGAGCTACAGATGGTGACATCAGCTTTTTGAGCAGTACTTCCATATTACAGCAACCTTCAGCTTGTCAGGCTCCTTGAAGAACCAAGATGTGAATGGGGGAAAGGAAGACTCACAAGTGCCCTATTCCTGTGTTCCAGCACTACTCTGAAGCAACCTTACCTCTGTTTTAACTGCTGGTGCTATATCCAGAACCAAGAAGAGAAAGCACCTTACTGTAAGGCATGGCCAGACCCATGATAAATAGCTCAGATGATGCAGGAGGACTTGTTACATAAACTACATTGTCTGATTCCAAAGTAGTATGGTATTACCAAGGGAAATAGAGTTTTGCACCTATAAGCATTCTGGCAAAGGCCTTTGTTTTAGTAGACAGCATTTTACCAGGGCTCCTCTGAACTCCTGGGAAGCAGCTGTGGTAGGAGAGACTGGGCAGGAGCTTGGACAAGGTGTCTGCCATTTCTTCCCCTTCAGCTTTGGCACACTGGTAACAGGCCTGGCAGTGTATAAGGCAAGGAGATGAAAGCAAGTTTCCTCCCCACCACATCTGCACAGAGTCCCTCCCTTCCCATTTATCCTGTTCTTTAATGAAACAGGATGGAGTAAGCCTTTAACCTTATTTTACACTCAGGTCATTACCAGCCATGACAGCAAAGCCTTGAGAACGTGTTTGCTGATCCATAGGGAAACACGAGTAGAAGCTCTCAGTTGGCTAAGAGGTCTGAAGGCTCTTGAATGACCCCATAAAAGCAGCTGCCTCTCTGGTAGCGTTGCAGGTGCTGTTGCAGCAGCTGCCTGGCTGCTTCAGAAAAGAAAACACACTCAACAAGCATAAATTTACTAAATTTGGTTGTTTTCAAGGCAGGGACCAAGAACTGCTCACAGTAGCCTTAATTTTGTATTGTCAGTATTGTTCAGGAGCTGGAAGACTTCAGCCTCCATATGAAATAAAAGCCCTTCTTTTCTCCTTCCCCCCTCCAGGCTGTGCAGCTGGAGCACTGGTGACTTCCCTTTACAGAGCTGTGCTGAGCAGACGTGGGGTTGCAGTGCTATAGAACCATCTGCAGGCATGCACCCATGGGCTCCAGGTTTTGGCTCCTTTGCCAGGAGCAGCAAGAAAGCTGCACATGGCTGAGGTCAAGTCAAAGGGTGCAGTCAAAAGATGCCTTTAGAGTAAATCGAGCGGAGATCATTTGAGCTACCCCATGGAAGAACCTGGCTGACTATGCTGACCCAGGGGTGTGCCAAAGTGACAGTCCTTTGTGAAAGGGACCATTTGGAACTCTTTCTTACAGAAACAATCCCTGCCTTCCTCCAGAGACTTCTACATAAGCAAGGTGCTTTTCCCTCTTCCCTGGTAGTAATATATTACAATCTAAGTTTATGTACATCATGTGTCCTTCAAACCAGGAGGCTGTGCTAGTCACCCTTCTGTGCCACAGGCCATGCCTACAGTCCTCCCTCTAACAGCCAGCTGACTCTCTTGCCACTCTGTAGCCCTGAAGACTACGACAGGCCTTTTTGCTCTACTCAAAAACCTGCATCACATTCCTTCAAAGCCATAGGTGCCATTAAACTTCTTTTCTTTGTTATTCTAGGGTTAGATTTACCTTGTGCAAGGCTGGAGCCTGGAATTGCTCAGTATCAAAGTGATACCATAGCAACAGATGTAGCCGTCAGCTCCTTTTGGCATCAGATTTGTCCTTCCCCCTTTGTAAAAGCATTCCAGGTTTTGCAGTGTAGCTTCTGTAAGTTCTCCTGAAGTTTCTTCTTCCCCTGGGAAGGGGCTGGTTACTCAGTCATGGTACTGAAGCTATGTAACAAAGCACGTGGACAACAGTGCACATGAGCTCATGTCCCTACACTGTGATGGTATCAATGACACACTGACAGCCTCTCCTAGCAGCTTGGTGCAGTTGCTTTGCTGTGCGTCCACGTTTCCCTACTTTGGCGTTATTCCTGTACAGAAACCTGGTCAGCATTGGAAAAGCCTCCCTGTTTCATCAGGCCAATTTTAAAATACATTTTATACAACTTATAAATAAAGATAAATGAAAGAATGGCTGGGGTGAGAGTATTGAAGTGTTACCGTGTGTTGGGTGAGCGCGTTACTCCCTTTTTACAGCACTGGATCTATGGCTACTTGAACATCCCATAATAATAATGTTATTCCCAGCATCCTTGCTCAGACATTTCTCTACCCTTCTTCTTAGGGCCCTCCATGCTGCAGCTATGTCCTAAATGTGCATCACTTCTGGGAGCCCCAGCACAGTTCCTGGCTGTCCATTGGCATGCTCCTGCTATCCCCCTGCATGTTTGCAGTCTCTCACACATCTCCTCCACCACCCCATGACTCTTTGAGGCTCCTTCATGGGTTCTTGGCTGTCCCAAGAGCAAAAGAGATCTCCTTCCTTCTGTTCTGAAGTGAAGGACACGGTTAAGTGTACCTCTGCTCACACCTTCCCAGCCTACAGCCCTGCCCATTACATCGCTGCTTTCCTCCTGCAGACAGGAAGGAGCAACAGTGGATCCCCAGCCTGCTGGGACAGGCTTATTTCTAAGCATAAAGCAAAGCATGGTGCTACAGGCAGACATCCTACTCTCTCCATCCCAGAGGTGACAGGCAGGGAAAAGCAAGGTACGTATCAGCTGACCAGTACTGCCACCCTTTGGGTCTCCACACGTGCCTCCACGCATCCCTCCAGGCATAGGGCAGAAGGCAGGAAGGAAACCTAGCACAAGTGCTTCCCCCCAGCACCTTCCTGACCCAAGGGAGCACCTGGGTGCGTGAGGACAGGGGGAAAGGTCCCTTTAAAGCAGGTGAGGAAACCTCACAGCAAAGGGGAAGAGCAGCATGACCACCAAATGACCAGGGCCATGAAGAGTCCTACAGCTGAAAGCATCAGGCAAAGGTTCCCCCAGATGAGTGTATACATGAGTGCCGAGGTGCCCAGCCAGGCACATACTGCGAGTGATCTTCATGGAAGCAGGCTGGCAACCTCAAGCAGTAAGAGAAAGGGGACATAAAGCAACCACTGCTCTTGACTAGCAGCATGCCAAGGGATGAAGGAGCTCTGAGGGGATGGTGTGGAGGAGGAAGAGCTTCCTTGAAGGGTGCTTCCTAAAAGCTGGTGAGAGTCCTGCAGGTGCTGGTGCTCCTTGCAGCACACGAAGGTTGAGCAGTTCAGGTGTGTGCACATGCCGTGTTTTCTTCTTCAGCAAGGCCTGTGCTTTCACATTGCTGCTGAAGGAACATCTTTGGACACCCCTCAGGCTGGGAGCATCCCATCACACAGGGTTACGAGATGGCCAGAAGGATAAGTCATCAACAGGTCACCCAGCCACGTATTTCCTAAGCACACACTTAACCTGTGTGTATGCAAGTCCTTTCAGCTGCTCTGATTAGAGGCAGGAGCTTTTCTACCTCCAGGTACAAAGGTAAAACTGCAACTCTGCAATCAGGTGCCTCTTAGGAGAGGCCACACGTATAAAGGACCATATATAACCTAAGGACACATGCATGTTCAAGCAGATCCTTTTCTCATTAGGTTATAGCGTGAGCTTTTTCTTCAAAGTCTTTGTTTTTACCCCCCTATCTGAAATCAGCTGCTGCAGGCTCTGTCTCCCATGGAAACCCTGCTTCACTGCCAGTGCAGCTCCTCACATGGGGGAGAACTAAATGAACAGAAGTTCCTAAACTCCTGAGAGCTTCTCCCATCTAGAACTTGTGTATGGAAGTATGGAACCTGGGAAGTCAAAGGCTGGGAACTGCCTGCGTGGCTTGGTCTTGCTTCCTACAGGCAAGGAAAAGCTTGTGAAGTGCTTGACCTTCCAACCTGGAGTGAGTCCTCCAGGGAACAGCAGATCCTGCCCATGGCCCACATCCTCCTTTAAGAAACCCATTTTATAACCAAACCTTAACTCATTCTGAAAAGAAGCCATTTAAACGTCTAGGACAACCTTGGAATCCCCTGGGCTGACCCTTTGCTAGGGATGCTGAGCACCAATTCCCACAAGGGCTCTAGAGTGCTGGTTACCACGTGTGATCAAGCTTCCCCCACTGCTACACCAAGATCCATTCAACCTGCGGCTGCCACGACCTGGTTCTTGGGAGCTCAGTCCCAGCACAGTTATTTAGCTGTGTCTGCTCCTCAGAGGTGTTGAGCATCTCTCGTGGTTCCTCCTGTATCAAAACCCCTTTACTTCCAGCTGGCCTGCAGCACTGCTTGGTGCTGCCACACTGCAAAGCCAGGAGACCAAATGGACCCTTGCCAAATAAATCCTCCTAAAAAGCCCACAGGATAAAGCAGAGGCTTTGCCCTGAAGCAAACAGGTTGGAGCAGAGAGGGAAGACGAGTAAATCTGGCTGGGAATGCTTTAACAGGCTGCACTGTGGGAGCCAAGAGGAGAGGCCCAGCCCCAGATGTGTCCCCCTCAGCCTCGGTGAGCAGGGCACTGCTTTAAGGTTTCATTGCAGCAGGCTCAGAAAGGCCACAACTCAGCTTGAAAACCTGCAGGAGCAATTCACTGCTTCTGGGCCACCTGCCTGGTGCTGCCAGGGCAATGCAGCTACTGAACACTGGGCTGGCCTAGCTGCTGCTGTAAGCACCTTGGAATAGCTATTGCTGTTCAGGTTTGCTCCCACCACTTCAGCTTCTGAACCACCGTAACATGACCAACGCTCTTGGGAACTCCAGAGTCCTCACAACCACCTCATCACCCTCCAAGGATGTCACACACACAAGGCAAAGCGAGCTTTTTGAACCCAGTGAAACTATCAAGACACTGATTCCCAACATGAAGTAACCGGGTACATACCTCGTACTGATGCTCCACGCAAGGCAGACCTCCATATAGGTACCAAACTCCTCTGTCCTCCTCCCTCTGGCCACAAAGGATCCATCTTACTCCAAGGCATCTTCTTAGGCACCAAACAATCACCTTTCCAGAGCTCCCCATTTCTCCCAGCAGCCTGGGCTGGCTCTGGGCTACAGACCAGCCCCATTTAATCCTCCCTGCAGCTCCCACATGGGTTATGAAGGTGGCTCTGCTCATTCCACCCCCATCAGCCCATGCTAATGGGCAGCCCATCAGCCACAGCAAAGGCTCCTCCCGCAGCAGTGAGTGCTGCTGCTTTGCAGACCATCACCCTGCGCTTACACCTGCAGCAGGTTAAATCTGACCTGGCCCTTACGAGTTTTGTTTCTAGAGCTGTGAAGTCATTTCAGCCTTCAAACATTCATATGTAAGGGAAAAGGACAAAGCAGAGGCAAGGAGCCAGAATGAAAGCTGGAGCTAAGCTCACCGGCTGGCTCAATGAGCAGGGACAAACGCCTGCACCTCCCATTTTCAACAGGGAATGCTGAGCAAGTAATTTGGTCTGGTACCTCTGAGTCATTCACTTAACCCCTTGAAATGTCAATGCTGCCTCCCTCAGTCTCAGTCACACCCAGACCATTCCACCTTCATCCAGGCTTAGTTCTGTTACAGTCAGAAAAGCTGCTTGAAATCTGCAGCTGTGTGTGTTTGCACCTGAGTTTATTCAGCTCTTGCTACCTGAAATGAGACAGCAGGTTAGAAAGTCAAGGAAACGCTGCAAGAATATGGTACTGGTTTGCTCTAAGCCTCTCAATCCCATCTCCTTCGGTATGGCAGTGCTGCCAGCAGTAGTTTTCCCTTTGTGGTCCAGTGAGCTGTGCCCCAGAGCTTTCCTTTCTGCTCAGCAGCATCATGTGTGGCCACCTGCAGCCAGGAGCGGAAGGCACTGGGCTAGTGGGCAGCTCAGCACGTCTCACACTCAACCTATTTCTTTTGCAGGTGCTGAATTGTTTTTCCTTATGCTTTTCCCTTCTCAGTCACTGCTTATTGATTGCTGCTACTGAAAACTTTTATGAAGGTGGCAAACGTGATGCTCCATCCCGCGGCAGCTTGCTGACTGCAGTCCTGCCCACCCAGGGCATGCGCAGCAACAAAGCTCCTTAGAAGCAGACCCCATCCCTGCCATGTGCACAGTGACCATACACTGTATTCAGGCTGCCTGTTGTGGTGCCTGGACTTACACAGCAATGAAGCTCAGGAGACTGATGATCCAGAGGCAGAAACTGAACACCCCTAAACCAATCGCTGGGCAAAGGTTGGTACAACACACACATCAGCCTCTGCAGTGACTACATGAATGTGAGCCTGTCTATAGACCCTCCCACTGATGTACCAGCTCTTTGTCCCCGGTGCAGAGCCCTGCTCAGAACACCGGCTCCTGGGCTAAGACCCAGGGTTACATCTCCTCCCTGATGCCAGCTGCAGGACCAGAGGACAAGGAACAGAGACGTTTTCCCCCCTCACCTCCCCACGAAGCCCTGCTGGGCTGCGCTGCAGCAGAGACCCTGCACAGTATTAAAAGTACACTTTATTTCCTGTACAATCCTCATTCCAGTCTCCAGGCATGGGAAATGTCCTCTGTGACCCCACAAAGCGCTGCCATGGGGCACCCCACAACTGTCCAGGAGGGGCTCAAGGCCACGGCCACTGAAATCAAGTGCTGAAGCTCCCCAGGCACGGGGAGGAGAGAGGGAAGGAAGGCGAAGGGGAGGCAGCCTCCGCCTGCTCCCCGGCGAGCAGAAGGCACCCTCAAGTTCACGTCATCGTTCGTGCTTCGCGTGGGAGTCGCTGCGTTCCACCGTCACCCCGTTCCCGTTCCGCGTCACCTCCTTCCTGCTCCAGTCCTTTTCCAGGTAGAACTCAGCGAGCACGGGGCAGTGGTCCGAGGCCACCCCACCCCAGGACCAGTTATCAGGGATCCACGGGTTTGTGAGACCTTCGCGCACGACAGCCCAATGGCCTGCATGGAACAGAACCACAGAGACAAAGGTATTGCCCGCTGGCTCGTGTCACTCGCTAAAGGTTCCACGACCTCCCTAAGAAGCAGCTGTACCTGTGAAAAGCTTCTTCAAGCTCCGGCTGATCCAGATGTTATCCAGCGACTTGGATCCCTGTGGGTTCTTTGTGCTGATGTTGGTGAAGGTGCTGGAAGGGACCAGGTGATGGAACTTCTCCTTCCTCAGTATGTCGTGGTCGCTTGTGTCTGGGGCCTGGTTAAAATCTCCCAGGATGATCACGTCTTTTTCTCCTGGGAAACAGGAAAACCAGGGGTGAATGGGAGGAATGGACATCCATTGCTTCGGTACGAGAGGGAGCGCGGGTGGGTAAATGGGAGGAGGGAAAATGCAAACGCTGAGCAGCAAAGCTGATCTGACTGAACTCGTGGCAGGAATGCTGTCTAAAGGCTCCCTCACCGCCTGTTTGCTCCTGCCTTGCTCTGCCATTCCTGGCGCCGGGACAAGCCTCCTCGCCTGGGGCTGTTGCTGTACAAGTAGCCAGGAGAGGGAGCGCAAGTTCAACAACAAAACCTGCTCCGCTCCGCTCCGCGCTGTGTGTGAGGGATGAGAGCAGCGAGATCGACAGCGTCTGACTTCCAAACCCAAACACTTCAAACCATGCTGCTGCCTGCTAAGACGCAACGAACAGAGAGCGAAACCATTCGTGGTTTCTCTGCCCTTTGCGAGCCACAAATCATACTGGAAATGACACCAGGATTAAGTATTACTTTGCTGCCAAGGCCCCTCCCACAGGCTGTGCTGTCCCACCAGGACCCAGAGCATCCATGTGGGGGGACACGGTGGCACACTTTTCCAGATGTGATTGTACATTGGCTTCTAAGGGGCTCCCTACAGCCTCTCAAAGGTTATAAGAAACCCTAGTGCCCGATGTGTGGGTAACACATCACATATGGCCAAGCTGGATGGGAGAACACCCTGGTCCCTTGCTTCCAGCACTAGCTGCACATCGGGAATAGCATCTGTGTGCTATGCGCACTGAAGACAAACTGATGCTGCAAAGAGTTAGCTATGAGCAACCAACAGCCACCACATCTCTCCAGCACTGATGAAGGGAAAGAACTAGGTGGAAAAAGGAGCCAGGACTCTCTGGTCTGATGGGAGAAATATGGGATCATTAGTGTTCTACATTACAGGAGTAATGTACAAAGAGGCTCCTGTGCCTCTTTGTAAGAATGAAAGAGAACAGAGTAGGCATCTGTTAGCAAACTCACTGCCGTGCCCACAGATAAATCAGTTCTTATTACCCATATTTTATGGGTTGATTTGGAAGAAGCTGAAGGATGATGGTAATCTGAAGCATGGCATTCATTTTGGCAGGGTAACTCAGTACTTCAAAGTAACAAGTGTGCACTACCATTTGTTTAGGAAACAAGACCTGCACTGCATGGGTTTGGAGGAATCAGAGTCTCATTTGTGAAAGACTAAGCAAGAACAAGTACTGTCCTACCACAGGGAAGTGAGCACATCAACTAAAAGGAAGCCCTAACGCTGACAGCCTCAGTTTAGACACAGTGGAAATGCAACCGGGTTCACTTCAGAAGAGCTACACATTTATCTGTGCCTCAGGTCAGCCTCTGGGGATTACACAAATGATCCCTTTGTCTACCTTCATCCTTTCCAATTTCAAGGTACGTAGGCAAATACTTAAAGCAGTAGCACCTAAAACCAGCTCTGACTTCGTGCAGCTCAAAAGGAACAAAAGTAGCACACACGTAAACGACAAACACCTCTTGTGTTGTACACGACAGATGTTCATGCTTCCAAGCGACCAACCTCGCTAAACTGGTCCAAGCTGGAAACCGTCATGCACAGAACCTGGTAACCCTCTTGCACCTTTGTCAAGCAGTAACCCAAGGGCTAGGTTTTTCTGTTCCTACAACAAGATCAGCAGCATGCAGAACCCAAAAGGTGCTGCTCTGCCTCGGAGGAAACTGAATTCCGTTTGCCAGCTTCCAAGGAAGAAGCAAATTCTCAGAAGTGAGGTAAAGAAAAGGAGGCAGCTGCCTCCAGTGTTGCTCAGGTTCAGCTCTAAACTCTGGTGTCCCCCATCCTGCTGTAAAACCAGAGCAGCTGATTATTTACCATCAACAACATCACACTGCACATCAGACCAAAAAAGCAGGCACCAAAGCAGGATTTGGTCTCTTTTTTTACATTAGCATTGAGATTTCCAAAAGGCTTCCAGTTATCCAAGAAGTGAATGTATAGAACCTATTTCTTTGGGGGAAAAGAGCCATTAAGCTTTCTTCTGACATCAGGTGTGCCATTTCCAGAAGGCCCCCTTAAAATAGGGTCTTAACCCTGGGATCTTTTGTGGTTTTTTTGGCTGAACCTGCTCTTAAACTAGCATAAAATCAGAAGGAATTGCATTTGAAAAGATGCTCTCAAAGCATCAAAGTAGAATCCCCTGTGCTCTTAGTGTTAATGAGGAAAGACTTTAGGACAACGAGGAAGAGAGAAGCACATTTGCCACACTGTGCGCCATTCAAGCACAGGTACCGGTAAAGACAACGCTGAGGCTGATGAGGATCACAGCATCCCAGTTTGGGGTTGGAAGGGACCTTAAGCTCATCCAGTTCCACCTCCTGCCATGAGCAGGGACACCTCACCCCAGAGCATGTTGCTGGCCCTGAACACTGCCAGGGGTGTCTGTGAGGCTCGTGCTCATGCAGGCTTCACCTTATGGACCGAAATCCCCTTTGATGGGGGGAGCCCAGCCTCACCTTTCAGTGTCTCCTGCAGAGTCTGTGCAAAGGCCGCCAGTTTGTGGCTGTCGTGGCTCTTCCCGGTGTTCTCGCCCGCCGGCAAGGCCAGGTGAAGGTTAACCAGGGTCAGGTCGTTCATCCCAACCTGGGGAGGGAGGAGGAGAAATCAGTGCCGCGCACACAGGGCACGAGAGGTCACAAAGCCGAGCCACACGCCTGTTCGCAGTGCTCTTGGCGAGGAGGACTCGCTTGGCGGTGTGTGTGGTGGGGTTTGGTTTGTCTTGGCCCTAGGAGGACGAGGGGGACGCGGTTTGCAGCTTTGCTTGCGCTAACGTGACCCCCTCCCAGCTCTGCAGAAACTGGTTTGCATGAGCACGGGCAAGCAGCTTCTCTCCCCCACGGCTGCAGAAGGAAGCCAGCTGCTGATGGAAATGAGTTGATGCAAACCCAGTTGTTAATAAGCTACAAATAATGCTGTGGTCATTACATGGGCTAATTACTACTCGTGATTAGCCCTGGTCTGCCACAGAGACTGACCAAGAAACTTAATGTACCTTGAAAGGAGCTGTTGGCTCCATGCAGTCTTCTGCTTACCTTCAGGGACTGACCTGGCATGAGTAATAGTTACTCCTAATATTGACCTATTAACATTGTTAATTAATATTATTATTAATAATTTATTTACTAAGAATTATTTTACTAATGCTTCTCTCAAAGCCTTACCAGAAATGTCAACTTCCCCAAAGCGGACCCCTCCATCACAGCCTGTGTGGAGATGGGCTCTCTCTGCTTGGATGTTCACTCGAGCATATAGAATCATGGAATCACAAACTGCTTGGGCTGAAGGGACCTTAAAGCTCCTTCAGCTCCAACCCCTGCCATGGGCAGGGACCTCTTCCACTGGAGCAGCTTGCTCCAAGCCCCTGTGTCCAACCTGGCCTTGAACACTGCCAGGGATGGGGCAGCCACAGCTTCTCTGGGCACCCTGTGCCAGCGCCTCAGCACCCTCTCAGGGAAGAGCTTCTGCCTAATACTTAACTTAAATGTACCCTTTTTCAGCTCAAAGCCAGAGCAGATGTACGGGAACAACCTCCCAAATGCACGATGTTCTTTTAGATGGGCTCAGCCTACTGAAACAGCTTTAAAATGGAAACTCTGCAGTATGCCAGCAACATAAGCCTGAGTCTCTCAGGAGCACTGTGCTTTCTGTACTTCCGTATCTATACATCTAGATATCTACATCCATCTCCATCCTGCCTACTCTTACCCCACTCCACCGTTCTATAACCAAGCCATGAGACAGTGCTGAAGTGATGAGTTAGAGCCTCACACAGGTTTTTATCCCTTAGAACACTGTGTCTCTTTCCACCCTTCCCAAATGTTTTAACCAGTGCTGAACGAGGGTCCCTTGACACAACAGCAGTTACCTTGAAATGGGCGAGATAAGGGTGAGGGTACGAGTGCTTGCCATTGCCGTTCGTCTGTGGACTCTCCTGAGATGAGGCATCTTTCAGTTCGATGCCAGCTGTGGTGTCCCAGAGGAAGCCAGAATATTCAACTCCCTGGAATTACAAACAGAAAAGAGAATGAAAAAAGCGAGCAGTAAGAAGGCAAAACCAACCTGTTTGTCTAAGCCTGAGCTCAGTACCTCATGGTCTCACTGGGTGGCTGCTGGGGCTTTGGAAGATGATGCTGCATGCAGTTGTTCCTTCTCCCCATGCCATGTGCCATCTCACAGGCTTCTGCCACCCACAAACTGAAAGCATGCAGGCTCCTTCAGTCTCTTGGTGTGTGATCTGGTCTAGACCTCTCAGCTCTCTCAATCTGCTCTCTTTCTTTTCCAGCTCTCCAACCCTTTCAGCTCTTTCTACCATCCTGCACGGGGTTTTGGTTTTGGTGACTTCAGGATGTGAAGCTGGCATCCCACCCTGGTTACAGAGCAGCAGTAGCTAAAGCAAAGTCTGTCAGCCTCTCCTCCCATCACCCAGACACCATCTTCCTCGGTATCATTCAAAGCCACTTCCCCCAGGTAATCACAGTTAAATCCAGCACAAAGAGGACTCTTTTCCTTTTCAGCTGCAATAACCAAGTGTTATCTGCTCTGCATTCCACCAGTCCCAAGTCTAAGGTCTGAAAACTGCTATAGGAAAAGATGGGGGAGAATAAAGCTGCTGACAATTGCTCTTTGCTGTTTCCTGGCTCCCAATTTCACATGAACACGGTGGTCAAAGTCAGTCCGTGGCTGAAGGCAGGTGGAAGCAAACCCTATGAAGTGTCCCGGTACCAGCCTTGCACTCGGGTTGCACTGTTCCTTCAGTGCACTGCTCCCGCGTACGCAGTGTTCCAACCCCAGGGTCTCACTCACTGACCCCAGGGGCAGAAGAGGCTGTCTCTGAGTGCAACAAGCCCCACCTCCAGCACAGCCTGGATCTCTGTTAGAGCAGCCAAAAGGAAGAGCCAGTGGGGAACATTTCTATTCTTAGCTTGGCCACAGGCTTCTCACGTAGCTCGTTCTTACATCCCTACCAGTAAAACAAGGTAGGTGATGGGGTTTACTCACGCAGCCCATGGTCAGAGCTTTCATTGGTATCTTTGGAAACAGAGCTCAAGAAAGAACGGACCAAAGGCTCTGGATTTCACATGGAAACCGTGAGACAATTACTAACAGTTCTTGGAAAAAGGGAAGAGCAGAGGGAACAGCTTTGACAACTGTGCACAATTTTAAATCCAGTGCTTTAATAACCGGGCCTAACAAGATCCCAAAGGAAAACTCCAGCCACGAATAAGGATGTGTTGAAGGGAATCTGCACTCTGCATCAGAATTAAGTGTGAGTTGTGGTGAACCTTGGACACATTCAGACCCTCCAAGCCTTCCTAGTGGTAATACTTGCACTGCTCAGGTGGTGGGTTTGGGATAGGGTTTTGTTTGGGATTTCCCCCCCCCATTTCTGGGTTTTCCTCCGAAGGGCAATGAAAGGAACTGCACCCCCCCCCCCCCCCCCCCCAACATCAGCCCGAAAACAGCGAGCAGTGGCACAACCCGACTCGGAAAAGCCAAACTAAGGAAACGTGAATTCAAAGCAGCGTGACTCTGGGATACAACTGTGGCTACGTATTTAGTGCTCAGTGCTCAGAACAGATGAAGACAACCCCATGCACTGCTGAGTTATGTGACAAGTCTTGGTGCCTGCTTCCACCCCCAACAACATCCACACTGCAATAACTGCATCATGAGAATGAACCCATTCCGCAGCAACAGGAGGACCTTGCTCTGAAAACTCATTAGCACCCTTAAAGGGAGAGAGATTTTCCCCTGGGAAAGGCTGCTTTTGGGCACTGTTAGTGGTGCACCCGGTGTAGCCATACCTTGAACACTGTCACGGGTAGCAGGTGCAGCTATCTCCACCTTATAAATGAGTACCTCACTGCAGCACATAGGTATATTCCCACAGCAGAAGGTGCTGCAGGGAGAAGCACAGTGCAGACTGCCAGGGGCAAAACCAGGGACTCTTTCCTTGTCCAAATGTGTAGCCTTTCTTCTCTGTTTCTGCACCGTTTTCACCCACCATACCTCCCCCCAGCACACACCTTCCTCCTTGTACGTGTGCCACAGGCTGAGGAGAGCAATTCCTCCACACAGTGAATCGAAAGCTCTAGGAACAGCCAGCTTAAAACACAAGAGGTGCAAACCTTGCCAAAACAGATTTGCACAATGTTTTGCCTTAAACATCCAAAATATGTCCTTGGTTAGAGGGGAAAAAGGAGCAAAGGTGAAGTTCAGGCTTGGGGATTAAAGTACCTTGTGTAGCTGGCCTGAGGGCTTTTCGGAAACAACACCCTTCCAACATCCTCTAGGGCCCTTCCACTTGCGGATGTTTGGCAGCGTCGGCTGGTTCAGCTCCGCACAAAACTGGAGAGAGGAAAGGGAAAAGGGAAAAAATGAAAGAGATCAGCTTTGTAGGGCTTGGAAACAAACCTGCAAAACAAGGCACGGTAAGACATGGACAGGCTGTGCTCCCGGCCCTCCCTGAAGGCTGTGGGACACAGCGCAGGATGACCCACCCCCATGGGCATGACTTGGAAATAAATAGCAATGACAACAGCTCAGTGCAAGTGGTGCAAATGGAACGGTTTTCCCTCAGACCCTTTCTCATTCCTCTCCAAAGCTGCTTGCTTGGCTGGAAAGAGGTTTCCTCTGTGCCACCTCCGGAGATGCTGCCTGGACCGTATCCCACCCTCAAGGGGCTTCACGCATGGGTGCCGAGCTCTCCCCGGGGCAGGAAGCCCCCGTAGCGTGGCTGGCTCCACTCCAGCACTACAAGAGAGGAAGGGTGTTGGCCAAGCTCAATAGCCGGCATTTTGGGTATTTTACAGCAGGGATGGCGCGCTGAGACTCCCTGAGCATGAAGGAATGAGCTCGTACACAGATGCGGCTGACCTCCCGGGAGCGCTCAGTTTCCTGCATGCTGCCGCACAGCCACAGCACTTGGACACCTTTGCGTGTCCAAACACGTGGCTGGAGCTATGGGAGCTGTGTCCTAATGCCCAGCAGGTCAGGGATGCTGTAACTGTGGACACCACGGAAAGCCCCCAGGTCCTTTTGATTGAAGACTGAAGTAATATCCAGAATGTCCCTCCTATTTAACGGAGAAGGATTTTCAAGGCAAACAGTAACCTCCTGTCCACAGTGACTCTTTGCAGTGGTAAAGCCAAACACAGTTCAAAGAGCTACGGTGATAAACTGCACAGATGGGTTTCCTACGTGGGCATCAGCAGAACAGTGGGACAGGTGTTCTCATCTTCATCTTTTGATTCAAAACTGAAATTAAACCCCTGCTCTCTCACCCACTGCCTCGTCTGCAATTGCAGCATCCCAGAGGCTAAAGCTGTAAGTGTTGACTTCTGAGGTACATGCAACCCAGCAACCCCTTCTTGCCTCAGAAGGCTGAAGGTCATTTTGGTCACACACCCAGAGCAAAAATGCCTGGCACACCTTTTAAAAGAGTCTTCTGAAATGCAGAGATTGGCTGGGGCTTCTCATTCAAGATGCCACATTAACATTGAATGCGTTGTGTTGAAGGGACCTTAAAGCCCATCCAGCTCCAACCCCTGCCACAGGCAGGGACCCCTTCCACTAGAGCAGCTTGTTCCAAGCCCCTATGTCCAACCTGGCCTTGAGCACTGCCAGGGATGGGGCAGCCACAGCTTCTCTGGGCACCCTGTGCCAGCACCTCAGCACCCTCATGTTCTTGCTAATATCCAAGCTAAATCTGACCTGTTTCAGCTTCAAGCCATTTCCTCTTGTCCTATCACCCTTGTGAAGAACATACGGTGTCATTGCCCATTGTATGCCATCAGGCAGGAAAAGCTGACATTAGAAATTCAACTGTAACTCAAGGAAAGAGTTTACTTATCCCTGGGTTGCAGCTGCCTCCAAAGTCCAACCAGCACAAGGTATACGTCGGGGCTGAATAAACCCTACAGCACCCGTCACCAGTCTGAACATTCTGTTTCCTCCACAGTGATTTGTTTTTTTAAGGCCTGGATTTAACTTTGCTCAAACAAAAAGCTGACCAAGAAGATGATGCAGTTTGTTCAGACAAAAGCCCCCAGCCTGTCCTTGGCCTGCAGCACCTTGCTTTGGTCTGTGCCCATTCTCCAGAGGGCACGTGGATGTCGAAGCTGTGACAGAGCGCGTGCTCAGGTCACGGCTGTTTGCTGAAGTGAGAAGGGCGTTTCTCAGATCATCTGCCCACCAAACCCAGCGTCAGGCAATATTCTGCTTTCCCCCAGGCAGCAAAAACACACAGACAAGCTCCTAGCCCACACTGGGAAGGAAAGAAATGCCTTTCCTCCTTTGAACAGCTAAGTTAGAGCAACTCCAGCCCTTTCGAGGAGCAGTTCTTCTGGTGGGAAAGGAAAATCAAAATCAGAATCAGAACAACATTATTTTCCCCAAAAAAAATCCTCCTAAGGAAAAAAGTTCCAGTTTTGGCTTTTTCTAGAGCCTTTCTGGCTGCAAATTGTTAACGATTAAGTCACCTGCTTCTTTCAACCCTACACATACAGAGTCAAACCTCACACACACGCCATAATACCAACAGCACCAGGGTTTGGTCACAAGCATGCCCTGCATCACACCTATGCTGCCAGGGTCGCCCTTGCAGCTGGGTGCTGGGTTGTGTGGGATAAGCAGTGCTTCCAGGGAGCAGGAACACGGCAGCACCAGGCTCCAGGCATGCCCCTAGCAAAGACCACGCTGTGCTCTTGAGCAGTCAACCCCCTTGTGCCATGTACTTGCCCACTGCCCCCATTTGGTGTGCCAGGTGCCAACAAGGAACCAGGACAAGTCCTGTTGCCTTTGCTCATCAGCAACACGCCATTCTTCCTAAGGACGGAGGATCCAAAGACGTAATTGCTCTTTGTCCACCCTGGTAAAGAGCCAATGCCTGTTGCTCTGAGCCCCTCCAGAAGCAGAGGTGGGTAAGGAATGAGCTAATGACTTACACTGGAAGAATGGAGGGGCAGTTGGAAGAAACTGGGGAGACATGCATGTGAGGAGGGACTGAGGAGCAGAAAACAAAGAGCCTTGGACTAATCTGGGAGCAGGGAGAGCAACATCTTCTGGGCTGGATACCCTAAGGGAGCTGCACACTCCCTACACACCTCCCTGCCCCCCTAACACACCTTCCTGCCTCCCTAACACACCTCCCTGCCTCCCTAACACACCTACCTGCCCCCCTAACACACCTCCCTGCCTCCCTAACACACCTCCCTGCCTCCCTAACACACCTCCCTGCCTCCCTAACACACCTCCCTGCCTCCCTAACACACCTTCCTGCCTCCCTAACACACCTACCTGCCCCCCTAACACACCTCCCTGCCTCCCTAACACACCTCCCTGCCTCCCTAACACACCTTCCTGCCTCCCTAACACACCTCCCTGCCCCCCTAACACACCTCCCTGCCTCCCTAACACACCTCCCTGCCTCCCTAACACACCTCCCTGCCTCCCTAACACACCTTCCTGCCTCCCTAACACACCTACCTGCCCCCCTAACACACCTCCCTGCCTCCCTAACACACCTCCCTGCCTCCCTAACACACCTTCCTGCCTCCCTAACACACCTCCCTGCCCCCCTAACACACCTACCTGCCCCCCTAACACACCTACCTGCCCCCCTAACACACCTCCCTGCCTCCCTAACACACCTCCCTGCCTCCCTAACACACCTACCTGCCTCCCTAACACACCTACCTGCCCCCCTAACACACCTCCCTGCCTCCCTAACACACCCCCCTGCCTCCCTAACACACCTACCTGCCTCCCTAACACACCTCCCTGCCTCCCTAACACACCCCCCTGCCTCCCTAACACACCCCCCTGCCTCCCTAACACACCTTCCTGCCCCCCTAACACACCCCCCTGCCTCCCTAACACACCCCCCTGCCTCCCTAACACACCTTCCTGCCTCCCTAACACACCCCCCTGCCTCCCTAACACACCCCCCTGCCTCCCTAACACACCTACCTGCCTCCCTAACACACCTCCCTGCCTCCCTAACACACCTCCCTGCCTCCCTAACACACCCCCCTGCCTCCCTAACACACCCCCCTGCCTCCCTAACACACCTTCCTGCCCCCCTAACACACCCCCCTGCCTCCCTAACACACCCCCCTGCCTCCCTAACACACCTTCCTGCCTCCCTAACACACCCCCCTGCCTCCCTAACACACCTCCCTGCCTCCCTAACACACCTACCTGCCTCCCTAACACACCTTCCTGCCCCCCTAACACACCTACCTGCCCCCCTAACACACTTACCTGCCCCCCTAACACACCTACCTGCCCCCCTAACACACCTCCCTGCCCCCCTAACACACCTCCCTGCCCCCCTAACACACCTACCTGCCCCCCTAACACACCTCCCTGCCCCCCTAACACACCTACCTGCCCCCCTAACACACTTACCTGCCCCCCTAACACACCTACCTGCCCCCCTAACACACCTCCCTGCCCCCCTAACACACCTACCTGCCCCCCTAACACACTTACCTGCCCCCCTAACACACCTACCTGCCCCCCTAACACACCTCCCTGCCCCCCTAACACACCTCCCTGCCCCCCTAACACACCTACCTGCCCCCCTAACACACCTACCTGCCCCCCTAACACACCTCCCTGCCCCCCTAACACACCTCCCTGCCTCCCTAACACACCTACCTGCCCCCCTAACACACCTACCTGCCCCCCTAACACACCTCCCTGCCTCCCTAACACACCTCCCTGCCTCCCTAACACACCTCCCTGCCTCCCTAACACACCTCCCTGCCTCCCTAACACACCTTCCTGCCTCCCTAACACACCTACCTGCCCCCCTAACACACCTCCCTGCCTCCCTAACACACCTCCCTGCCTCCCTAACACACCTTCCTGCCTCCCTAACACACCTCCCTGCCCCCCTAACACACCTACCTGCCCCCCTAACACACCTACCTGCCCCCCTAACACACCTCCCTGCCTCCCTAACACACCTACCTGCCTCCCTAACACACCTACCTGCCCCCCTAACACACCTCCCTGCCTCCCTAACACACCCCCCTGCCTCCCTAACACACCTCCCTGCCTCCCTAACACACCTCCCTGCCTCCCTAACACACCCCCCTGCCTCCCTAACACACCCCCCTGCCTCCCTAACACACCTTCCTGCCCCCCTAACACACCCCCCTGCCTCCCTAACACACCCCCCTGCCTCCCTAACACACCTTCCTGCCTCCCTAACACACCCCCCTGCCTCCCTAACACACCTCCCTGCCTCCCTAACACACCTACCTGCCTCCCTAACACACCTTCCTGCCCCCCTAACACACCTACCTGCCCCCCTAACACACTTACCTGCCCCCCTAACA